TTGATGCTCTGGGCCAATGGCAAGACAATCCGACGGGCGCCTTGATCGATGGCGAAATAGACGCAGACTACAGTCAGTTTGAGCTAGATCCGTACGCCCACCATCTAGATCAAGGACAAGAAAAACCAACACCTATGATGCGCGAGCTCGAGTCCATTCTTGCATCGCTCCTGACTCAAGGTCTCATGCGCGGATACCTTACGCACAGGAATCCTCGGTTTGCAATTCCTGGTGCACGACTTCGTGGTGCCTTGCCTACTGGCTTTCCAAATGTCTGGCAAACCATCTCTGCACGCGAAGGAGAAGATGATACTGTACCTGGATGGGTGCAGCCACCACCACCGATGGCATCTCAGTTTGCTGCCGCTGCTGCCGGCGGCGGTGGAAGAGTCGTGAACCTGTCCGGTGCGCGTCCAGTTGGAGTTCAATGATCTTTTGATAAGGATGGCTACGAGAAACACCTAGCAACGAGCCGAAACACGGCGAGAATTGTTGCAGAGCACAGGGTGCGCGGTCGGCGTGATACCCTCTGTCGGAAGGTTCAAAATGATCCTATGTGTGTTGCGCCTGCATTCGAAGATCACTTATTTTTATGAAACTCTCAATGTTTGAATAATCGTTTGGCCGCGGAATGAGACTGTCGCCGACCTGCCCTGCGTTAGCCGAGCCACTACGGAGTAATTCGGTAGCCTAGTTGGTGTGGGCACAAGCTAGGACAAGGTACTATTCCGCTACGTCACAACCCGCTCTCCCCCGATTCCTGCAAGCCATCACAACATGGACGATCACAACAAGGCCGTAGCGACCATTGCAGGTCAGGTCAGAGAATTCCACAGTCGCCAACAACCTTTTCGCATCTATCATGGCTCGACGAATAGTACACGGCAGTCTCAACACGATCACAACAACACCATCAACACCGCGCGTCTAAATCATGTTATACGCACCGATTGCGAAGCTCAGACCGTGCTGGTCGAACCCAATGTTCCTATGGACCACCTTGTTCAGTCCACTCTGGCTGCTGGCCTCGTCCCTCTTGTCGTGATGGAGTTTCCTGGTATCACGGTCGGGGGAGGATTTTCCGGGACATCCGGCGAAAGCAGCTCATTTCGACACGGCTTCTTTGATGCCACTGTAAATTGGATTGAGATAGTCCTGCCAAACGGTGAGGTACGGATTGCATCGAAGACCTCGAATCCCGATCTCTTCCGGGGCGCTGCGTCGGCATTCGGCACTCTGGGTGTCGTCACATTGCTCGAGGTACAGTGTCAACAGGCCAAACCTTATGTCGAGCTGAAGTACGAGTCCACCTCGTGCATGGATCATGCCATGAACATCTTCCGCACTGCTGCTGCAGATCCCCAGATCGATTACCTCGACGGGATCGTCCTCGCCAGGGATCAGATTGTCGTGTGTATAGGGCGGCTGTCCGATACTTTGCCTGCAAATGCCAAACCACAACGCTTCACCGGCTCTCGAGATCCGTGGTTTTATCTTCATGCACAGAAACGTGCCAAGTCGTCTTCAAGAAACCCAGACTACATCCCGTTGACCGACTACCTTTTCCGCTATGATCGGGGCGGTTTCTGGGTTGCCCGGTACGCCTATTCGTACTTCCTAGTTCCATTCAACCGTATCACACGCTACATTCTGGACTATTTCATGCATACGCGGGTGATGTACCACGCTCTCCACGAGAGCGGACACTCGAAGCGGTACATCATCCAAGACGTGGCGGTACCATACACTGCGACAACCGAGTTCCTCGACTGGCTGGACCAGAAACAGAACTTTGGCGCATACCCGATCTGGCTGTGCCCCTTGCGGCATTCGGAGGGACTGATGTCACGTTCCGATTCGAACAATCCAGTCCCACCATCTACCGATCCAGAGGACGGCGGGTATCTCATGAACTTTGGTCTGTGGGCTCCATCTCCTTTCCACAGCGACGCCGATCAATTCATCGCACAGAATCGCCGGCTGGAGGGCAAAGTTCGCGAACTCGGCGGAAAGAAGTGGTTGTATGCGCATGCGTACTACACCGAAGATGAATTCTGGTCCATATACGACAAGAGCAAATACGACCAGCTGAGGGAGAGATATCATGCGTCTTATCTGCCGGATTTGTATCAAAAAGTCCGGGTTAGACTTACGGCGCCTGAGGATGGTAATGGCAGTAAGAGTTGGGGATCGATCCGGGATATTGTGTGGAACCTCTGGCCTGTGAGTGGGTTGTACGGCGTCTACAAAGCCTGGAGGGGAGGGGATTACCTGCTCAAGACGAAGCAAAAGAGTAAGACCTGAGGGCTGCTACGTTCCGCGTTCTCATGTGATAATGGTACCTGAGACACGGGCAATGGGGGGGATGGAAAAGATAATGATATAAATGAACAAGTGCCAATACCAAGTATATCATCCATTGGTCATATATCATAAGTCGTTCTCTATTGTGCGTAGATAAGAAGCAACCATTGCTCTCAGAGCTCCGAAAAAAAAGATCCAACTGCAACTCAAGTTATCCAACTACGAGTCGGCACTACTTCTCGATAACAATGCGCCCCTCCAATCTGGGCGCAATGCCGGGGGTCCACGCCGGCGTGAACCCCTGAGCATCATCGGCCGTGTTGAGCGTCGTAGGCTCGAACCCAGCGGCGCGCATCCATTTCCGGACCGCCCGGCGCGCAAGCCGCAGCCGATGTTCTTCCTCGGCGGCGGAGCGGGCAGGCAGGGTGACGTAGTTGGTGGTTGGCTGCGGGGAGGTCAAGATCTCCGGGTCCGAATCCGAGTCGGAGTCCATGCTCGTGCCCTCCTCCTCGTGGCCGTTGACCGTCCCGTTGCCTTCGATCTCGGCGAACCGGCCGTAGTAATAGTGCTTTGTGCGTTTGAGATTCGGTCGCGAGAAGAAAGGCCGGCTGGGCACCTTCTCGGAGACGGGAGAGGGTTGCGCGGAGGCGGGTTTCAGCCAGCCCTCGCAGTGGAGGTTCTGGTGGACTTGTGCCCAGTGCCGTGATAGACTCTTGCTCCAGCGCTGCCACTTGCCCAGGATCCGGAGGCTGAGGAAGTACTGCCGGAGGATGGTGCTGATCATCACGCCGTTCTCTTCGTCGACGATCTCCTCCACCTCGCCTCCGGCGGACTGCACGAGGAGGGATGTGAACCCGTCCTTTCCGCGGGCCATGTAGCCTCTCGTCGCGAGCACGTAGCTCCGTTCGAACTCGATCGGTTGTCCGCCTACCTTGGCCCAGTTGAGGCGCGAGCCAGGGGGTGCGGACGGGTTGTAGCTAAAGGAAATGTTCGATACCTGTGGGAAACGTCCCTCGAGTGCGGGGAGCTGGCTCACGCCGTTTTCTAGAGCGTCCATAAGTGCTGAGCCCTTGATACGGAGCAAGACCACCGGGTCCTCAAAGGGAAAGCAGTTTAGCAGATCCTTGAGTCGTAGTAGACCGGGTGGGTAGATTTGATCACCGCGGATCGTCCCGCCGGCCATCATAGCGCAGTCGGCGGCATAGTAGAATCGCATGAGATCGCAGACAAAGTTGCCGAGATTGGACTCTCTCTGACGAACCGTGGAGAAGCGACCGTCGAGCGGCCGAACAGTGTATCCCACCGGCTTTTCCAGCTTCGCCTTGAGACTCGAGGTCAACCGACCGACCAGAGCCACGGTGGCGGGGTCTTCGGGAATCGTCCGAACGATATCGCGGCGAACGATGTTGAAGTCCCATCCCGGTCCATCGGTCTTGCGCCACGCCTCGATATAGCTCAGCTGCTTGAAATCGGTGCCGGATCGCAAGATATGGGTGTTGTTGATCACCGCATGTCCGTAGAAATGATCATGGCCTCCTAAAATGAGATCTACCGTGCCAGGGGGAAGGTTCTGCGCTAGTTTATAGTCGTTCGGTTCTCGCTGGTGGGTGACGGCGACGATAATATCCGCGCCCTGTTGGCGCAGTTTCGGTGCGAGCTCTAACGCGGTTTGTGAGGCGGATTTATAGATCAGGTCCGGAGGGAGGGAATTGATGGTTCCTAGCCTTAGGATTGTCAATTCATCTCCTGACCACCATAGTACCATAGGATCGCTCAATAACCTACCATTCGCGCTCTCCCAGCCCAATAACGCCAACCTTGAGTCCGTTCGACGACGTCAGCATAACTGTCTTCTCGCAGTTGGCGATCGAGACGTCTGAACCCAGCGCCGGGTCTAGAACATTGGCAAGCAGCCAGGGAAACCTGCACTGGCTACGCAAATGACGAAACTGTGCGACACCGAAATCGAGATCGTGATTCTGTCCACCCCACAGCGTGTTAGCCACATTCCTGGTCTCCATCAACTCCTTGTGAAACATGTTCACGTACCCCAACGCAAGCTACATCCGTCCCTGCTTTGTTCAGGAACGGTACCATATGTCGCCCTTTGGTGACTGTGCTCTCGAGACTGGGGTTAAAGGCATCGCCGGAGAAGAAGGTTAGGACGTCGGGAAGTCCGCTAAACCGCGGGTGAGAGCGATAGTAGTTGATCACAGATTGGAATCGGGAGACGCCGCCAACGGGTTCAGCGGAACCAGCTCTGGACATGGTCAGTATTCATCGGGGTAGCCTGTCGGTGAAGGGGTCAAGAGTACTCCACGTGGTAGACATCGTTGTAGTGAATCAGACGCAAATCAGGGGCGCCTGTTCTGTTGGAGGAATGTGTGATGGTGAGGCCATCTAGTTCAGTTGGAGTCATCATTTATACGATATAGCAATGTCAAGGAGGAGAGGCGGGAGAAGAAGAGTGAAAGAGGATCAGATCAGACAGCTGAATGAGCTCAAAAGGCAATACGGGGATCAGCAGGTGCTGCCTGAGGCAACCCGGGCTGCAAGGCACCTCCGGAACTAGCTTGCCACCACCAATTACAACGTGGATCCGCGCGGGGATCATCGGGGTTCGTCAGTGGAATCTCCATAGTGCAATTTGCAGAGTAAACAAATGACGTACTACACGAGGGTGATATAGATAGACACCGAGAAGCGAGTCAAATATATTGTAGTGAGCAAAAGCTGACTATGGCAATTGATGGAAGTGGTGATGGCCATCGGTTTTGCACAGCATTGTGTGAATGGGGAGTATTACATGGTTGATGTCATACCATGATTTCCTGAACGCCTCGCCTTATAGAATTTAAATAAAACAAATGAATAGCGACAAACCAACATCCCAAGGTATCCTGATAAAAATTCAAAGCAAGAAAGTAGAACCAAAAATAAGTGTCGAAAACAAAGCCGGCTATACCCTTCTTTCAGTCACTGTCCAACGTCTTCTGGTAGCAGCTTCCCGGTCCTTAGATGCCGGTGTGCTACCCCAGAGACCACGCTGCGAAAAGGTCCTTTGAGGCAAGTTGGACCATGCGGCTGAATCCTCAGGCTTTGATGCAGAGCCGTTTGCCTGACCTGGACCGACGGCATCAGAAGAAGTCGATCTCCGGTCGCCAAAGTTGGGTAGAATATCGTCGGCCGATTCGTGTATAACAGAGGCGGAGCCCCAGAGACCAGTGGAGCCCTTTGGCGCTGTGGAGGGGCGCAAGAGGGACCAAGAACGTGACCCGACACCCGAATTGGGGGATGGACCAATCATGAATTGTCCCTGAGAAAGCGAGGGACGCAACGCAGGTCGATGACGATAAGTGGAGATCGAGGGAGTGACCGCGCTGCTAGGTGAGGGCAAGCTGGAGGTGGATGGGATTGGATTCACGGTAGGACGGAGATGATCAGTCGAGGCCACAAGTCGTAAGCTGTAATCTTTCGTGAGTAGAGCCTCTTCTGCCGGTCCAGGGGACAAAAATCGCTCCCGAGCAGTGTCTGCCTCGGCTTGTTCGTCCGCATTGTCCTTGCGGACGGACAGGGTGAGGGACGCTGTTTTGAAATCCAACAGTACAGGCTCTCCAGTCAGCGCTCCAACTAGGGCATTGCACCCTGCCCCGTGAGTAATCACGATGAGAATGATGTCGGTCGCGTCATCCTCATCAGCCGGCTGGTGTAGATCCCCGTGAATTCCAGGCTGTTGAGAATGTCGCCGCGGTCGGCCAGTCCCAGCACCTTGATCGTTATCGCGGTACCAGGCAAGCATCCGCTCAAAGCCAGCACGGAAGCGCGAATGCATGGCACTCCACTCTTCGCCGTACTCCCCTCCACTGCCCCAGTTCTGGGGCTCACGCATGCTGTCCCACTGGTAATCAATCTTCACACAGGCGTTGCGCGCGTGCGTAACATATCCTATAGGAATCGGGTCGGAGGGCGAGATGGCATAGCTCGGCGTGGGAGGCATGTATGCGCCGTCCGGAATCGGGGGAAGATCAGTGTTGATTGTGCCGAGGATTCTTCTAGCGCCAGGGGTTTCGGCGGACTTGAGACTGTCGTAACTCCCTGCAAGGGTGCGCTGGCCCGGAGGATGGGTAACACCAGAGGAAGGGCCAACGCTGTTTACCGTTCCATCCACGCGAGTTGTGTCGGAGTTTGTGAAACCACCCCAGCCCCCAGGAAAGTTGCCTGTAGTCGGCTTGGAGGCCGTGTCAGCCTCGGGAACGACGTCATCCCCGCGCCGAAGTAATTCGGCTTTGGCCGCAGCGACGAGCCTTTCCGACTTGGGAGGAGGGGTGATCTGGTCAAAGTAGTCTGGGCTCAACCACTCTCCAAGAAATGCGTCCACGCGCAGAAGACACCGATGATCGTGGGGACCAGGCATCGAAGAGGCAGGTGTGATCGGACTCGAGATAGACTCTCTTCGTGAGTCTGCAGCTGACTCCATAGAATATCCATTGGTCTGGGTGGAGTTGGAAGCGACGGCGGAGTGAGCAACCTCGCTGTCTGTATAGTGCTGGCTGATCCCCGAGCTGACAGCGATGGCCGTCTGCACGCAACGAAGATATGGAGAAGTATGAATTATGAATCGGCGCTTCTTTTTGGGATTCGGGAGCGTTGAAGGGAATTTCGGCACGTCTGATGGTACGATGGACGAAACGGGGGGATGGTCGTCAAAGGATTGCAGTAGGTTGATGATTCGAGCTCCGAGCGCGCGGGACTGGAGCCATCCACCATAGGAAAGGGGAGGATCATAGGGAGTCGGAGAGGTGAGATGCCAATTTTTGTCGGCAGCATCTAGTCGAGCGCCATGCCTGGGAGTTAAGCTGTCAGCCGATCGTTGCTACATCAGGAGCTCATGAATTTCCACCATACCTGGCTATAACGATGGCTGCGGGGAGTTTCCCCATGGCAGGCAAGACGTTTAAATGAACTTTCAGGTAATAAAATGAAGGATGAAGAAGAGGGGAAGACAGAGAAAGAGAGTTCTTCTGGTCGTCAAAAATGACCAGTCGAGGGAGGGGGGAGCTCTATAGTTGTTCGTTGTGAAGGTCCGGCGGGGTAAATGTGACTGCTGATGCCTGGTCAAGCCATCAGATCAGAGCATTGCTTTTGCTTTATGTTGCAGATGAGAAACAACATGATCATAAGGATATAGCTATAGGGTGAAGAAAAGTATTAGTTTATCTGACCATCATCCATAAGGTGACTAGTATTCTGTACCTAGTAAATATAGCAGATATCGTGGAAATCACTCTTTTTCTTTTTCCATTTTTTTTTTACCTTACCCCAGCTTTATCAGCAACAGACTAGTGTTAAGTTAGTTAATTAATCAATAATCCGCCTGACTGATAAGTGTCATTTTGCATGACAGGTCATAGGCAGTTGCTCGGACAGAATGGGATCTTCTTGCAGAAAAGGTGCCATCTCCGGGGTTAGCCATAAGCCATAAGCCATTGCAATCACCAACATGTGATTCTGCTTATGTAAAACAGGAATGAAATCGCCGATTCAAGGAGTAGCATTCTTTTAGAGAGAACTGTAAGACTGTGACTTGTCGAATATGTCTGACTATAGACTGTCTATCTATGGTGTATGTTCTACTTATTCTCTTAATGAAGTGAAACAGATCCAACCAAGATCAATATTGTACAGCTGGAGTCAAGTAACACTAGATCCTTTGTGCTGCCTCAGGCACCAACAGTCATCCCCAGAGACAGACCAGGGGGCTGTAAATATTTGATCCAGCTTCACATGTCGCAGTAATACAGGACAAATCAGATAAGAATACACATAATAACAGATCACACTAGGCTTCCACTAGTGCTCCGAATTCGGCACTTACAAACGCCTTGCAGCATACTTGTTTAGGCTCATGCGAGGAATCCCTAGCGACAATTCCGAGCTCGGATGTCTCCGAGGCTCAATATTTCAAAACTGAACTAGTGTTTATTCTTTTGACACGAGAGCACGTTCCTTTTGGTTATTAACCCACCTGATCACGTTGTGCTTTGACATTGTTTCATGATCCTTCGGCGTTGTGGCTGTCTGATGGGATACACCCTAGCAACACACCCCTGTCGGTGATACTACCGCTGTCGGTCTAAGCATGATTTCTATCGTTGTTGGGATTAAAGGGACATATTGGCAAATTATGACAATGAATCAAGGGCTCTTGGATTTGGTATAAATAGTCTGTAATAGATGGATAAGGATAGATGAATAGCCTCGATTGAAATCATACATTCCTATATTCATAAGCATTGTTTACATTAACCTGCGCTACAACATACGATATATCATCTATGCAGATGCAGCACCCCATCCACCACCACCAGCAGTCATAATTACAAATCGGTCATGGGTGCCCACAGACACCGTATTCTTCCCACCAATATTCACCTGGCGCTCCACCCCTGTCTCATTATCCTTCGTAACCCACAGATTCATTCCCGGCTGCGCATCTTCGCCGCCCTCCAGTCCGTACGGACGATGCACCCGTCGCTCCGAGAGAATCGAGCACTGCATCGGCGCAAGGAACTCAATCTCGCGGATCACGCCGTCCCCGCCGGGATGCAGACCCTTGCCGCCCGATCCCGGCCGCAGGCTAAACTGCCTCAGCAGCGTCGGGTACCGCTTCTCCAGGATCTCCGGGTCCGTGATGCGCGTGTTGGTCATGTGCACGTGCACCCCGGACTCGCCGTCCCAGCTTGGGCCCGCGCCGCTGCCTCCCGCGATGGTCTCGTAGTACCCGAAGCCGGGGAGTGTCTCGCCCGTGGCCGGGTCGGTGCGCGCATTCGTGCCGAAGGTGAGGTTGTTGCAGCAGCCCTGTGAGGCGGCGCAGGCGCGGAACGCCTTGAGCACGACGTCGGTGATGCGCTGCGAGGTCACGACGTTGCCGCCGACGACGGCGGCTGTCTTAGTCGGGGAGAGGATGCTGGGAGACGGGACGCGGATGTCGATCGGGGCCAGACAGCCTTGGTTGAGGGGCACGTCGGCGTTGATCATGCACCGCAGGCAATAGATAATGGCCGAGTGGGTGATGGCGATCGGGGCGTTCCAGCCGCCGTAGACCTCCGGGCCGGTGCCATCGAAGTCGAAGACGGCCGAGCCGTCCGAGCCATCGATGGTGACCTTCAGCTTGATCGGGGTGCCGTCATCCATGTAGTCCACTGCTTCCAGGGGTTGGCCGCCGAACTTCTTGTGGAGCCCCTTGAGGAGGTCGCGGACGGCTCTCTCGGCTGTGTGCTGGATGGCGTACATGTACTTCTGGACGGTCTCGACGCCGTACTCGGCGAAAAGAGCCTGGATCAGAGAGATACCGCGCGCGTTGGCGGCGATCTGCGCTTTCAGATCGGAGATGTTGTCGCTGACACATCGTGCGCCCGAGCATCCTTCGTACTGAGCGGGGCCGTCAACCAGAAGCTCCATGATGCGTTTTTCGTCGAAGACGCCGTTGCTGACAATCTTGTCGCCCTCGATAGCTGCTCCTTCTTGCCACAACTCGGTGGATTTAGGAGGCATCGATCCAGGCAGGATGCCTCCGATGTCGGCGTGATGGCCGCGAGACGCCACATAGAACATGATCTCAGTGCCACCGGGGCGGTCAAAAACGGGGGTAATAACCTGGATATTTGTCAGTACATCAAAATAGCGGATGGAATAGTGTAGCGTACCGTGATGTCTGGCAAGTGAGTTCCACCACAGCTGGGGTGGTTGGCAACGAGGACGTCGCCGTCTTTCAGATTTCCCAACCACTTCTGGTGCTGATACCGGACAGCAAACTGCATCGAGCCCAGGTGAACAGGAACATGAGGTGCATTGGCGACTAACCCTCCATCAGGAGAGAACAGAGCGCAAGAGAAGTCCAGACGCTCCTTGATGTTGGTCGAGACCGAGGTCTTCTGCAGCGTCCGGCCCATCTGCTCGGCGATGGACATGAACCGATGACCGAAGATACTGAGTCGGATGGGATCGATGTTGGATGATTCATCGGTGGCAGCAGACGCATCGGTCTTGGTGTCCTTGAGATCAATTACGACGCACGTCTCCAGAATGCTTGCAACAGCGCTGGGTACGACGACAATGGTCTGTGTCTTGTCGATGATGATGGCCGGTCCGTGCACACGGGTGCTCTTCTCGAGCTTATCGAGCAGATAAACTGGGGTGTCGATGCGGCTGGAGTGGCCATCAAAGTATGCCTTGGTGACATTATCAGGCGGGCGACTGACGTCTTTCAGAGACGCTTCCTTCAGCTGGACGAGTGGGCTCTTTTCCGTCCGCACTTTGGAAGAGGCGGTCGTACGCACGCGGATATCGTCAACGAGGACTGCTCGCTCCGAGTTGAAGCCGAATTCTCGGCGATGACGCTCTCGGAACTGGTCGAGGAAACCAGAGTCCTCCTCCGGCTTCAAGATCATCAGGCTGGTGTCCGACCCTTCATACCGCATGTTGAGGTACAGTTCATGATGGACCTGATCGGCACGGAAGCCTTGTGTCACCATCTCCTCGGTAGCAACTTTGGTCATGGCGTCAAATCGTTTCTGCAGCGTCGACTGCGAGGCATGGTAGTCAGCAGAGACCGGCTCCTGAGACTCCTTGACGACTTCAGCCAAGGCCAGACCGTAGGCGGATAAGACGGAGGAGTATTTGTGGATGATGATGCGGGAGATTCCAAGGGAGGCGGCAACAGAGCAGGCGTGCTGACCACCAGCACCACCAAAGCAAGCCAGATGATGGGAAGCAGTTTCATATCCGCGAGCCTCGGTCAGGTTGCGAATAGGACGAGCCATGGACTCATCCGCCACCTTCAAGAAACCCAAGGCGATCTCTTCCGCAGTGTACTCTGGCTGGCCTTTCTCTCTCCTTTCAGTGTTGACCTTGTCCGTGAGTTCGTTGAACAGCTTCGTAGTGGCTTCCAGGTCCAGTGGCTGGTCCTCGTTCGGACCAAAGATGTGTGGGAAGTATTCCGGCAGCAGGCGACCAAGGAACAGATTGGCGTCTGTCACAGTCAGAGGACCACCCTTGCGATAACAAGCCGGACCGGGGTGGGCCGACGCGGATTCGGGACCGACGTAGAAGAGACCGTTCCGCCAGGTGAGGATGGAGCCTCCACCGGCTGCTACGGTGTTGATGTCGAGTTGAGGAGATTGGATCAGAACGCCAGCAACCTTGGATCCGAAAACATGCTCCAGATGGCCGGCAAAGCGCGAAACGTCTGTGGATGTGCCGCCCATGTCGAAACCAATTACGGGGATCTTCTCTGTGGAATCGTAGCTGGTGGCTGCGAAACCGACCACGCCAGCAGCCGGGCCAGACAGAATCGCCTTCAGCCCGCTGAAGCGGCGAAAGTCAACCAGGCCACCGTCGGATTGCATAAATTCGAATCGACATTCTCGCTGTTGTTCCAGGCCCCTTCGAAGGCAGCAGAGATGGAATCAATGTATGTTTTGATGACTGGGGTGAGGTAGGCATCGGCTGCGGCCGACATCCCTCGAGGCACGACCTTGATCATGGGTTGTAACTTGGAAGACAGTGTGACGGAGAAGCCCATGCCCTCGGCCAGCTCGCCGATCAGACGCTCATGCTCTGGATATGCGTATGAATGTACAAGCGCCACGGACAATGACTGATACCCCTGCTCCTTCAGTCTCTGCAGCTCCTCTCGAACGACATCGAGATCCAGCTCCTGGACCACACGAAACTTCTCGCCGGTCACACCTTCGACAATGCGGGCGCCGGGAAAGCAGTCCTTGTCAGCCGACGGGTGGCAGGGCACGACACGCTCATTAACCTCCACCACGCCTTCTGGCAAGACACCAGGCCTGGCCATTGTCAAGTCAAAGATGTTGGGACGCGATTGATCGCCGATCTTCAAGAGATCTCGGAAACCTTTCGTTGTGAAGAGCACGGATCGCGCACCTTTCCTTTCGAGCAAGGCATTTGTGGCAACTGTCGTCCCCATCCGCAAACTGCCGATGCGGTCTAGCTTCAATGGCTGTCCTCGAGGGTGAGGCTCGCCAGTTACGAGCTCGAGGATCTGACGGACACCTTCCGTGGGGGCATCCTCATAGTGACCGGGATCAACCGAAAGCAGCTTGAGAATGATATCTGGACGACCAGGTACGATGGCATGGACATCGGTGAAAGTACCACCGCGGTCGATGGAAATCGTGATCTTCCCTGATTCTTCCTCCATCTTGCTTGTGTATGTGTGCGGAGATGATGTAAGGACTTGGAGAGGATGGAGGGGGAAATAAGTATAGTATGCTACGTTAACGAGGGGTATCACCGATTTATAATATGTCACTCCAGATTCTGGATAACACTAAGCTCGTTCGCTCTCCGACTTTAAAGGGCCGAAAGAGACCATCACTGATAACGACATCACATCACTGGCAAGTCAAGCGCCGATCTGACTGGTTCTCCGCCTGCTGGGCCCCATCATTCGCGCTGTCTTCTCCACGTCGGCGATGCGGGCGCATTCGACCAGATCACGTGTCGGCCCGATGGTCGGCGCGTCGGGAGCAACGGTCCGATGCTGCCGGATTGGCATACGGAGAGTAATAGATTCATATTGATCATGGTGATGAGTGAATTAAAAGATAACAGGTCATGTTACTGGAGAGGTCCTATGGTCCTGCTGCAGGCTGTATCTTGCACAAACTTGCGGTGTGGGAACTATGCTCCAATGATGTCTTATATAGAGTTTGCATGTAAATATATATGGAATGCCAGGAGCGGTAATCTGGCTAATAGCCTAATATATCTCTCTAGCTTATAATTATAAGAGTACCTAAGGTATTAAACTCATTAAAGTATTTGATATTTCTATAATAGGAAGATAAATGGCCACCAAGACCTAGTGGCAAGGATAGGGGCCCAGGACGTGGCCAAGAAGAGGGACAGAAGATCTATATAGATATGGAAGCCAGGCATGATCTGACCTAGGGTCAAATCATAGCAGGTATTTTGCCTGCCTGTATGGTAGCAGCCCGGCACTTACCTGTCGCTAAATACACCAGGTGAATGAAGCATATAACACTATACAAAAATGCAACCTGTGCCATCTCAGGAGACAACCATAACGCCCTGTGGATTATGGAAGATGTCTTTCGGATCCAATTCACCCTTCAGCTCTTCCAATCTTGGAAGGTTGCTACGCCAGTACGCCTGCTGGGCGTTGGGCATTCTGGGATCGGGACATCCAAGATATGCGTGGCCTGCACTGTTAGGCACTGCCTTAGCCAGAACATCGTACAGACCATCTGCGAAACCATATGTCGTCTGCGAAACTGGGCCGAGGGGATTAATCATGAAGATCTGAACCCAGAAAAGCACGTCGCGGTGGCCATATGCTGTGGCATCTCCAGGCACCTTGTTGATAGCTCCACCCTCCAGGCTGAGGGTAACAAACCAGGACACAGTTCCGGGGGTGTTCTCGTGGATATAATTGAGAAACTCGTCAATTGCGGAATCGGGAATCAGTGCGCGAGGTGTAAATCCTAGGGACTTGGCATAAAACCAGGTCGGGGTGTTTCCGACCAGTCTTAGAATGACATCTTCCAATCCGTGACCGACCATTCCCAACCAATCCGTCAGAACTAGCACAGTACCGGCCTCGCTGCTCGGAAACCTTTTCTCCAGACCCAGCGCGTCGTACTCTTCTTTCGAGCCAAAGTAAATACCTTCGAGAATGATCTGGCCGTCAAAGATGTTCATGTTGGAGTAGAACTTCCACGTGAGGTCCTCCTGAGCTATGAATGCCTGCCAATCTTTGACGAGCTTTGCCTTTTCAGCAGGGGTCCCCAGATTGAACGTAAACGAATATTGGACGGCCACCCCGGGTGCCGCTTCCGTGCGCACTTTGAATTCCGTGACTATCCCAAAGCTGGCAGCAGCACCTTTGATCGCGAAGAGAATATCCTGGTTCTGAGTATTCGACGCACGAACAATACTCGAGTTTGCTAGCACCACCTCGACTTCCTCAACGTGGTCGAGCGCCAGACCCCACTGGCGCGCCGTCGGACCCAATCCCCCCATTGTCAGGTGGCCGCCTGTCCGGATGGTCGGACAGATACCGTGCGCCATTGCTCGATGGCCCGCATTATACAGCGCGGTGTCGAGGTCGCCTAGTGTGATTCCAGGTCCGATGGTCGCGGTATAGGTCGACTCATCCATGGAGAATTGGTTGAAGTGCTTCATTTCGACCACGATAGCCCCGTCTTCTCCTCCGAGGCCTAAAACAGACTACGAGTTAGCGGACTTGATGTCGCAGGTTGAAAACAACCACCGAAACCAGTCATACATACCATAATTGCCAAAACTGTGTCCTCCACTGCGCGCTTGCACCTTGTAGCCATATTCAGAGGCGCATTTCACCACCGCCGCAATCTCGTCCGCTGATTGAGGATATGTGACTGCGGCCGGAGTGACCGGTATATTCAAGTTGTATGGCTCGACTGCGGTAACCTGGTACAACAGCTGATCTTGGAAAGCGACATGAGCATGATTCCCCCCGACGGCGGATAGTAGACAGTCACGCCCAGCGGCGATGCTGGTGGTATTGCCCATGATGCAATGCCGAAATCAAAGACGCACTGCACGGCATCGCGAGAAAAAAGCCCCATGGTCCCACGCGCTACTGGGCCCCTTTTGTACCTGCAGTCGGGCTGAGCAGGATGTTCCCATAAACTAAATAAGAACGGGCATAGCTTCCCACCAGGGCCCACTAGGAACTACACCGAGAATACCCAGTTAGCAGAAATCGAGGATTCGAAGGATCAAAAAGATGAGCGTGTTAGTGCGGGAATGACATGAAACGACGGTACTATCCTAGCAGTAACCTCATCAGACAGAGAAATTATTGCTTGAATGCAAGTAGGCTGAACTAGTCCTCAGTATGTATCTTCATGGACAGCCATGTGGGCATGCACTCGTGTTTGTTGATCATTATTTAACACTAATCACCCTAATGACTTTTGTGCACTAACTAGTACTATGTTTAGATAGGATAGGTCAGGAACCAGTGCACAGTGCGCTGGTGTGTGGCATTAGTACTAGTAAGGTACGGAGTACTCATTAATGGTCTCCACTTTTTGTGCTGTGTTGGGGCACATGGGAATTAAGCAACCCATACCTATGGAGTAAAACATGCAACACTTTATATCCATTTAGAAACTAAGCTGGCCTAAGAGAAGGGAATTGCCATGGGAGCCACAAACTCTGAATATAGGACCAAAAAATCCATGGCTTATCACCTTACTAAAGTTGCGATTGTATGCCAAGACTTGATATGTATATTTGAAAGAATTATCACTAAAATCGCCGAATATTTATTGCGCGATATATTGACAGAGCAGTCCTAGTTGCCGAACGATTGAATCAGTCTTGCCTTCTCAGGGTATTCTCAATCCAGTCAGTGTCCATATCAATATCGATCTGACCAAGGACCTCTTCCCACAATCCCGGGTCGTCATTGATATCAAGATTGAACGTGATATGCTGCTGAGATGGCCAGTCGGAAGGACCGACCCTTGTATTATCGTGCCCTACACCGATGGTTTGAGGAGGACTACGCTGCTGACTGCTGGTAGGTGTCACAGGAGCATTGAAATCAACGCGCCCCTCGGCCACTTGATTGGATCCGATAGAGGCCTGAAGTTCGAGCAGCAAGGAGTGACGAGATCCGAGGTAGGTGTTGCCTCGATCAGCCATGCTGCGCAACAGATTCAGTGCCATATCCATTGTTCTGGCATTGGTCTCATTGTGCGGAAAGGCCGCATTGACCATGACCAGCAACAGAGCGGCAGAGAAGATGTATTCACCATCCAAGTAGCCGTAGGTTGCTAAAGTGTTTACAATAAGCATCAAGTTCGGCTTGAGAGGGAAGTTATGAGAACGTACCGACTAGATTGTGCCTGGCTGCAGCATCCATGATGAGCGTCGTGGCGCGAGCTGCAGTGATGCAGCTCTCAATGACGGCAACTGTGTTTTGCGACAAGCCTTCTTTCCAGTCATTCGCCGCAGGTCCGCCGGTCTCTGCATCCAGCCGCCTCTGAATTACATAGAACACCAGAGGTCTGGCAGTCATGTTGATGCACGAATAAAAGTGAAGGAATATGGAGACTGATTCGCGATTGATATGCGTATCTAGCGTGGTAAAATCAATGCGTAAGCGATCTGGCACTTGTCGGAGCCAGTCAGATAGGTCATTTGTAATGCTCTGGACGGATGCCAGGAGATTAGACCCGGATCGGGGCTTCTTGCGGTAGATCTCTGTGACGGGATGTCAGCATGATATTGAACAACCTAGTTTGAGGAACACGCCTTCTCCAATTCTGCCTAGAATGCGAGACAGTCGGGTGTAATGGGTGAGGACGACAGACGGCCATGGAACTGATGCCGAACCGCCCTGCTAACGGTTAACAAAAGTTCATCCTTTGACGGAAAAGAAAAAAGACAGAGTGTGAGGTTTAGGAGTCATACTTCAGGTATCGGCCACATTGTCCCAATGTCTTCATCCTGGATAGTGATTGGATTCCCGGACTTGACAGAAAGTAATCTGTAACATGTCAGTAATAATGCCGCTCTGAGAAGATGCATGCAACAGTACCTGTCAAGACTATACACAGACCACCAGGCTCGCCGCCGTCGATAGCGATCCGCATCACTCACATAGGGATGCGATACCTCCTGATGGAGTCCTAAAGAGATAGCCATGCGAAGCGCGAGGCCAATCTACAACCATGTCAGCGGGTTGTCAAATAGGACTTTAACAAATGGAAAATGCTTACGTATAGAAAAGCAGCATCCCGCCGGTTCAGATTCTGCATATAATAAGCGACATAACACAAGACCTCGACAAAGAATATCGAGCCTTCCTCATGAATGTCTGGCAGAAAACGCAAGGCATGCTTGAAGTACTTGAAGCCAGGTGGGCCATCGTCTCCTGACCACTGGTTCACTGAATACATCAGCCCGTAGGCAATGACAAGCAGGACTTGACAATAAACGAGACATGACTCTCGGTTTGAGAAGTCAGGAGGGTGATGATAGACGATATTGAGTCGTTCTTCGAAGTCCTCAGGCTGTATGAGGGAAAAGATAGTTCCAATGTAGGCATACTGCACCCAGAACAATCGCTTGGCGAATTCGAACGGTGGCATCTGTGGGAGAGCCCGATTGACGGAACGGTGCAGAGACGAAGGATCATCGTACAGAGGGCGTACGTCCCATGCGAGATTGGATGATGAAGGATGCAGTCGCTTGGCTAGCGCGACCGCCGCAGCAGGGCCAACATAGTCTGAGAGTGGTCAGCTGATATCAAGGATGATGCAATCTATTGGACATACGATGTTCTCCTGATCGGTTTAAGAAAAGATTATCCGTTCCATTATACCACCAGTCGTCCCGGTTAGGCGGAGTGCTCTCCCTCGCGTTGCTATAAGGGGTGGGTTGGCTTGGAGTGGAGTGCGATGACAGAGGTGGAAGACTGGAGTCCGACCCTTGTCTTGCGGCTCTAGCTTGCGATTGAAGCTGACGCAGGTAGCTGTTTGAGGTACCATTGTGGTTAGCACCTTGCGCCTCCCCGACGATTATTCCTTTATATCTCCGCTTCCCTCCTGGTCCGCGTAGCGTAGTGTTGCTCACCTTTCAGATACCGACACTCGTTTCTCAGCTTCGGAATACACACATATCTGTCCCGCATCCTCACATGCAGCACAGGGATAGGGTGGGTTGCCAGCGCATCGGGTCTTTCTGCCCCGACATCGATTGCATCTGCCATAGTCGTCAGCAGGTCTCAGTAGAATGTCTGGTGACCATCACACACGCTATAACAGAACGCGTAGTTCCCGACCTGTCTATTGATCGGTTCTGCAATCCACTTCGAGCTTTCCCGTGCGCCATTGGGAAGTATTGGTGGCGGTCAAAGACAGAACATAATTATACTGACTGCCTCCTGCCGTTGGCAGATCAGAGAAAATGGCACCCAATATAGTTGATCTTGTTCGATTGTCCTTTCCTTCACAGCAGGGGCGCTAACAGCCCATTAAATGAGCTCAAGGACCCGATTATTTATGCGTTTGAGTTTGACGACGACTATGCGATGTTTGCCAAACGTCGTATCATGACCCCACAATGCTCCCTTCTCCGGATCGGCTCTCTTTAAGAGTTTTATCGCGTTGGACACTCACACTGCTGACCTTGAGGCTGAGATCGTGCTCGTATTTGGCAAATCTTGCAGATTTCTTTCTTTTCTTCTTCTCATGAATCAATGAGGTCTTCTCCAGATTCCCCGGATTAACCTGGTGGCTGCTTGTTGGTGTCACGCAGCTGGTAGCTGATAAGCCGTCGGCCCGATGGAGAATGGGGCACAACCAATCCAGTTGGGCCTTGAGATGGACATGACTGGAACCCACTGAACAATCAGATAAGACCAAAAGGAAAAGCTGACCAATTACACAGTACCTAGGCTTACCTGTGCTGCTGGGGACCTTTTGGGGCTTCAAGAATTGAAGACTGGTCGCCTGGGGAGAAAAAATGAACCACTGCCCTTTCCCCGGTTCTTTTTCTCGGTTCGGGATATCGCGGTTAAACAAGGAAGAGCCGTAGTGTGCTGTCATGGTGAGTTGTTTCTTCGACCTCAAAACCGGTTCTCTACTGATTTCTTCAAAGGAGAAAAAAGTTCACAGGTATGATTGCAGCTTCATTTCGGAATATGTCCCAGGCAAATGGCTGTGCTTGCGGTTTTACTATTGATTCTCTGCGTGTTCGGCGGCATCCTGTGGAACTATACGCGGCTAAACGCAATCCCCGGCCCTGTGCTTGCGGGCCTATCTGATATTTGGTCGCAGTGTCTCAAATCATCACCACGATATGGTTACGGTTTGGAGCGTCTTCATCGTAAATATGGCGAGGTGGTTCGCATAGGGCCGAAGACGGTCAGCGTCTCTACCCCCTCCATCGTTTTGTGGCTGGATGCCGCCTGTCCACAAACGACGAAGGTATTTATCACTTCCTCTCCAAGCAGATCCTCTCCGAGCAGATGGACTACATGCTGAGATTTATGAAGTCGTTCCTTGATAGCTATGTGGATGAACCAGAAAGAGTGACCGTCAATTCACCACTCAAAAGCAATCATCGTGTTTACCTAGACGAACAGACAGACGATGGACCTCAACATCATGATAAAACCAAGGACCTGGTTCTCGACTTTCTCAGAGTCATTCGAAAACAACGTACTTTGAAACTGGCGTTGTTCCGAACTTTTGCGACAGACATTGTTAGACGCACGTTCGTGGACGACCTTGATCGAGCAGCAGCCATGGGTACCGGGACAAACCCCACGGATAGATGCCGGTTTACAGCGTCCCTGGAGCATATCATGTTCAAGAGCCCAATTGCTAAGCTAAAGCGCAAACGCAACAATAGCCTAACATGGGTTTCTTGCACAGGTACCTACTCCGGGCGGAATGATGCGTCTATCTTCGAAGTCTTGCCGGAGACTGGCAGAAGAACATTCCTGCAGGTAGGAACCCGCGAAGATGCTGATCCGCACGCCTCCCTGATTGCAAAAGGAGCGGACTGCATGATTGCCGCATTCGCTTCAGTGTTTCTCCATTTGGTCAAGTGCCCTACGGCGATGTCTCAACTCAAGCACGAGGTAGACATCGCATTTTGCAAGGAGGCCTTATCCGGTATCCTTCAGAAAGAGAAGGAATTATACACCCTGCCATTCCTAGATGCTGTCATGAAAGAATCGATGCGACTTGCCATGAGATTTGATTATCGAAGAGATGTCGCTGCGGGTGGTCTAGCAGTCTTGGGACATTATCTTCCTGAAGGGACGGTCGTTCAGTTTCGTTCAGAGACTTTAAGAAATAATCATACTATTTTCGGAGAAGACGTCTCTTCTTTTCGGCCTCAGAGATGGCTGCAGGCCAACTTGGACCAGCAGCAACTGAGACGGATGGAGGCAGCATTGTTGGTTCTGCAACCGAATATGCCAGATTCTGCAAAAGCTCGATCGGCTTGGCTAGAATTGAAGCGAGCCGCTGCTCTGATCATCTGGAAGTTTGATGTAAGTGCAGTTGGCAGTCTTGCAGAAGTCAGACTAATATATCTTAGTTTTATCCTCTCAATTATGAGGAAGTGTCCATCCAAGATGCCGTTTCTCCGGAGCAAGAATACGATATCTTGGTGAACTTTACTCCTAGAATGCATTAATTCGAAATATGCCATAAGTAACGATTGATCAGACATCATTAAATACAGTTGTCGCCTGGAACACGAAGACGAGACTACGGGCGTCACATGCCTGATGTAGTTCTATAGACGCTCACTCCCCCTTCACTAGCCCCAGCTTCTCATTTTCGGCCTTGCTTCGCTGACTCCACTCCGGGGCCTCATCTTCGCCCTTTTCTTCCTGTGCATCTCCTTCTGCCTTGGTTTGGTGCATGGTATTCGGATAATGCTCGGCAGGCGCATAGATTGTCACCACTTCCAAGGGGACATCGCCAATGTTAAGGAATTGATGCTGGGTACCTGCGGGAACGATGACCACATCGCCCTCCTTGATCTCCTGCTCCTTTCCAGCGACGATAGCCTTTCCCTTGCCGTGCGTGAAGATGAGCGTCTGGTCGACAGTGTGAATCTAATAGTCATTAGCTTTTGGCCAAGGAATATAAAGCCAAAACGCAAAAGACGAACCTCATCTCCAATTTCTCCATTCACTGGTACTTCCATAGCAACGAATTGGGAGTACAAGCCTGTATGTAGAACTTTGCGGAAAACTCCAAACTTCCGATTGGGCGACATCACACCAGGAAGATAGACCATTTCATTCTTGGGCGGCTTATCAGCCGTATTGCCGTTGAATTTGTCGAAATTGGACATTTTTGCGACGCTGTGGTGGAAACCTTGGTGAGGGTAGTTCTTGCAGGAGATGCTAGATGCAATGGCCACTGTGTTTGGGCAGTAAGTTGCGCAAGTAATGCCAAATTGACGCCGAAGCAAACTCAATCCTCCATGCATTTTATAGGAATCAGCGCTCTTGAGATATCGGATGTCATCCTTGACACTGGCTTATCTTATACACGGCGTCTAGACCTGTTGACAAATTTAAGTAGCAAGGCCGAGGCAATGGTGACGTAAGGAGTGGATTTCTTGATGCGTTCATCTGCACCTACAAACAGGAACCGATGCGATCCGATGATGTATATCTAAGCTTTAATCGATGACTGAACGATCTGATTGCTCGATAGTCTGTTTATTGCATCGGTGGACGAAGAGCGTTAGATGGTGATGATCGATGTCTAGAATGCGTTGTGCCACCACTGTATTATGTGGTACCGAAGCTTGTCCTGTGCTTGATCTACTCATTCCGCCGCCTACATCCCATCACTCTTCAAATTCGGCATGAGATTTTTCTAGGACGGCATCTGTTGCTCTATGTCTGTAGCGTTCCTCTTGTCGATTCCCTCAAGTTGCTTCTCGAGCCTTCCCGCATCCAGCCAGGGAAAGTAGTCAGCGCTTCTGCGATTTCTTCTGGACTCAGAGTTCGATAGCTTATACGTTGCCATCTCTATCGACGTTCCGCCACACTACATCGATGCCGAGGTGGGAGCAGCCCAAGGGGTCTTCTGCAAGGAGCTCAGGGTGGATAATAAGTAAGATTGATTTACCTGTGCAGGAGGATCCCTGTCCCTGAGTTAAGACTGTTGTTACTCTAGATAAAGCTAGCTACTGTAGTCTTTTGATAACTCTAGCTATTTAGTATCTATATATTTCTACAATTCCAAGCACTATTATCCCGCGAAACCGGGAGAGGTTCTTGCCAATCACACTATCAATTGTTGGTTAAGATTGGATGGGGAGCAGCTTCAACGGTGTGGCTTGCACGAGATGTAGCAAGGCATGTACTGACTTCCATCTATAATTGCGGTCAGGGATTGCATCACTAACATTTAGATGGCTATTCGGTAGACATCGATGGCAGACTGAGCGCCTTGTAGCTCTAAAAAGTTATCAATAACGACAACCCTAAAGGCGCTTACCAGGGCAACCGAATACAAGAACCATTAGCTAGAAAAACAGGACAGCTCAAGCTATAGACAACCGATAAATCCAAGAGCATTAGCATAGAAGAGCACCAACAAGGATCTGAGACTTGATCGTTGCCCAATCAAGTCAAAGTGGGAACTTGCCAGTTCACCCACGGCTTGCTATCAAATGCAATCCCCGCATAATTCTTCTGCACCGTGGTATTGACTTCCATCCCCAGCAAGAACCGATTAATAAACGCAAACAAATCCTCCCGCTGCTGATCCGGAAACGAACAATGCGGATGATTCGTCGACATTGAGTACCCCATCCGATCCGGCACCCCCATCGCCTGCCAAATCAGTCTCGCCGTCCCCATACACCCCAGCGACGACCACGGCCCCAGCCACTGATACCCCGCATTGTCGATGGACAGCAGACCGCGCGGAGCAATCAACCCTGCCAGCATGTGATGGTCGAACGGGAGCCGGTCCACATTATTCGCATACGCATTGAACGCAGTCGAGAACCAGACATTCTCCTGCACGATCTCCCCCGCCGTCTGCACGTTCTGTGGCGCGCCTTCAGACGCGGCCGCTAGCCGCCAGCATCCTGAACCCCCCGTGCCGGACTCCTGCGGAACGGTGAGTGCGATTCTCGAATCGAATGCCCCAGCAACTAGTGCGCCCTTGCCGTTCCGTGAGCACCCCGTCACCCCGATTCGAGCCGTGTTGATTCTCGCGGCGGGGGTGGCTTCGAGCCGGTCGATAATGAGCGATGTGGCCCATGCCCAGGCCATCATTGCGCCTGCGGGGTGGTTGGCGCCGTACAGGGTGTAGAAGAGGCCCTTCCCCCGACTGCTTTGGTCGGTTTGCTGCGCGATTTGGCTGTTGTCGAAGGTGATGGTTGCGACGCCCGGTGGGAGGGGATGCTCAGCCCCCGTAGGCGATCATCGCGGGGTAGGGTGCTGCTCCTGAGGAGGGATAGGCGATGGTTGCTGTGAAGGAGATTGTTTTTCCGGCATTGGAGGCGGTGATGGTGAGTTTGTTCTGGCTGAAGGTGGAGGTTACGCTGGAGGGAGCGGGAGGCTTGGTGCCGAGTTCGAGCTGCTGGAGGAGGGTGCTAATGTGGCTCTGGCGGCATTGCCAGTCGGAGAGTGTGGTAACACGGCCGGACTGCTGCAGGGGATACCACGAGAAGGGATCGGGGAGTGTGCTGATGGCCTGCAGCTGGGGTGATGAAGGGAGACTGGGGCAGGTGGCAGCCAGAGCTGGATGGTCAGTACAGCAACCAAAGAGAGAAGGGTGACTTACCTCCACTGGAGATGAGGGAAAGCAGGACTGGGTAAAGGAACATCATTGCTGTCGTGCTGTACTGGTGACCCTCTCGGTAACCTCAGTCATCCTGCGGTTTATATGCTCGAGAGGCATTCTTCCGCTCAGCCGATGAGCCTATACAATGTTTCAGTGCCGACATGATTAGGCTAATATCTATGTTACATCAATGATCTACATAATCTTGTGACCGTACCGTATTCTGCAAGGATCGTGGAAAAATGGGCAAATTTAGCATATATGCTCCGAATGCACGGACTTTAAGTGACAGGCTCAATTGTAGGACGACGGAACCAACGAGTTGGCCCACACCTCCAGATATGTATAGCCACTACTATGCAGTTTCATAGAATCGTTGGTGTTGGGATCTGTTCCCAGCTGCGTCTCCGCTTCGTCAGGGATTCCATCCCCATCAGTATCCTTTGCAGGAGTACCTCCGTTCAGAGTACCTGGCCCTCCCATAGTAGCTTCATCGGAGATCAAAGCACCCTTTGTGCCCCAAGACTGTACTTGTGCGATCAATTGCGTGTCGACACTATCCCTAACCTTGGATGCTCCGGCATCTGTTGAATTTAGTCAGCGATGCTCACCTGGGAAGAGATAAACTCACATTTGGTCACATAGGTCACCGCTTCAGCTGGGCTCATGGTATAGGCTACCGCTGGATAGTTGTATTTAGACGACACGATTGCCATGCCACCGTAGTTCGAAGACGAGACTCCGAGTTCAGAGCCGTCCAGTGTCCCATCCTTGTCAGAGTCATAGTAGTTGTTGTCGACGTATCCGTGGAAATTTGCATTGCCACGAGTAAACGCCGTCACTGACGTTGAAGGGCCGCTGATAAAGTAATTGCCAATAATATTGGCGTCTAACAATTAGCTGATGCCAACACAGAAGGCAGAGGCACATACAAGATTGCCCATCCGAGTCTCCAGCAATGTATCCACCGCCACCGCCCCAGTTGTACACGACATTGTTGGTAAACTCGTTCACGCCCTTGACTTTGGGATTGCGCGTCTTGTTATCGATGTACAGGTTGCGGAACAACGAAACACCACCGTCGGTCTGAATCAATCCGCCGCAGGAATGGGTCTCCAGCCCTTGCGCAATGATGCTGTTTTGCACGGTGATGTTGCTAGCATCTCCATTGATGGAGAATGTCTCATCGCGTCCCCATGACACCGAAATGTGGTCGAAGATCATCCTAGTTCCTTCGGCGATGCCCATGGCGTCCTTTCCTGAGGAGCCGCCCTTACCCATGCGACTGGAGATGTCAGTAAGTAAGCCCAATAGAATGGCCACCGGAGAAAGCGTATACATACATCCGGATATATCGGACAATCGCATCATCCGCGTTAGAAAATGACCATCCATTTCCATAGACTGTGATGCCGTCTCCAGGCGCCGTCTGTCCCAGAATCGTGACACGCTTCGAAACCACGATTCGCTCGGAGATCTTAATCACACCTCCGACTGCAAAGACAACGATGCGATCAGTCGCCGAAACAGCATCGCGTAGCGAACCTTCTCCAGAATCGTTCAGATTGGTAACGACGTAAACTTGGCCTTTGCGGCCGCCGATCGCATTGGCGCCAAAACCTTCAGCGCCAGGGAACGCGACCAACGCCGTGACAGCTTGAGAGAAAGCAGCTAAGCTGACGAGAAGAGGTGCGGATAGCTTCATATTGAAGGTGTGGTTTGCGAAAGTTGGATCAAGGGAAAAGAGGAGCCATTTTTTGTTTATATACGGGATTTGCAGACACGAAAGGAATAAAAACACCAAGCATGATTGCTGCAGAAATTACCCGTGCCAAGGAAACGCCATCAACCTGGGGAACGGCAGGGTCCGAGATAGATTAAAAAGGTTCGTGCTGAGGATATTCCGGTCAATCGGAAGACAAGCTTGAAGAACGCGACAATTTAGGCAATCTCCTGATGGACCACTACGGCAATAGTCTCCACCTATCAGGCTCAGTAAGGAGGCCAGTGTTTCGGATAATCCGGCTCATTTGCCGTATCAGTCACGCCTGAAACCATTCAGATTGAGCAGTTACAGAGGTGGGGACAGCCGGCGCAGCTGCTGAGTAGATTACTGAAGGCTACTTCTGCGGAATAGATAAAATCGGTAGTTCATAGACGAGGAAGAGTATATCCGTGCCTTAGGCTCACTCTCAATGCGCAGTGGTAAGGGTGAGCCTAAGGCACAGATACAGGGTACCGATTGACCAGATAGTTCGTTTTAGATAGAAAAAGAGGAGAAAGGGAATGAACTTCTAATCCATTTTAGTTGTACGGCCTGAATGCTATTAAGAAGAAAATAAAGCAAACAATTGATACAGTGCCAGGCGAATGAAACCTATTATCATATTAGGCTATTATCACAGTACTTGGTAAAGCTTATATGCGACAATGATGAGCTTTCATATCTTATGGTCAAGCCAGACTATTATATAAGAAAGGTTTGAGTAAACATGAGCAAATCCCTCTTGGTACATGCTCAAAACAGTGATTCAATCGCGGCACCGGCGACACGGTCTCCTACGTTTAACGTCCGTTTGCTGACTGTCCAATATACTGTGACGAGGGCAATTTTCTCGAAGACTACGCTGGGGCCAACAAGTTCCTGGATCGTAGGAGGGAGAAAAGACCAAACAAAATAGCAAACAATGCTCTCGACAAGCAATCTGCCAAAGCGGACTTTCTGGATCGGATCAGAGAGTTCTCCGTCGTTAGGCTCATCGACTACAGGCTGGAGGATTTGCGTCTTCAACAACAGCGCCTCGATGGTCCCGGCGACCTGGGTGTATCAATCAGCACCTGCAGAAGACTTGTATGGTCATGCTAAAACCTGCCTGGAGAATCAGAATGACCAGTGATTGGCCGCATACATCCCCCATCACCGTGGCCAGGATATTAGGGTGCTCGCTAAGGTGTAAACGTCCCAAACCTGCACATAACGTGAATCTGAATGCATAAAATCTCTCTGTGATCCGTCCGAGTCCGTATCCTAATCCGCAGACGACAAAAATGAAGAAGAATCTACGCTGAGCGTTTACACGAGAATGTGTAACGTGCAGCTCAGCCTTCACCGGCTGTGTGAATGGTCAGCTAACAGCATTTCGGCGGGTGCACAACAGGAGGTAGACTATAGAACTGACTGGATGTATTGCCGATTCAGCTTCGATAATCAAAGCAAAGACAGAGAGGGCATGGACAATCCATTTCTCATTATCCTGTGACAGACCTCGTGAGTTTTTTATAAAGTATGAATGCTCCACAATGTGGTCTGAAAGCTTGCCCAGATACAGTGCTGCGATAAGGAGACCTGTGTAGTACAGCATATCTCTTCTATAACTGTGCTGACACGGCAGATTCTCTTTAGTGAACCCGGCGTAAGCGGAGGTGCATACCACGACTGACAAGATATTGAAAGCACTGAATGATTCCGACGATGAACGGCAACTGAGACTGTAATCTGTGGCAGCCGTATACGAGGTAAGCCAATAGTGAAAAGGGAGACTGAAAGAGAAGTAAGACAACATCTTTCTTTGTCTGACGGTCAGTAAAGTATAGTATGTACTTGTAGCGAGGTTGATGAAGTGAAGTGAAACGAGATGAGACATCTATCGTAGTGAAGATAATGATGAGGTAAGGGAGATAGTAGGTAGCGACGAGGAATTCCATGGGAGCGTAATGAAGCATCCAAACTTTTCCAGACCCGCAGATACCTCACTTTCAGGTGCAACTTTGACCATTCGATCGTTTTCGCTGAGCTGCCACCTAACGAGAAATTCATATGAAATGCAAATCTCCCAGGTAACCATTTATACACACTAGGGTGCCTCGTACTAGCATAGAAATCAGGAGGTATCTCTGCGTTTCCTCTGTTTGATCTAGGGAACAACAACCGCGAAGAGAGATATACAAAGAATAGAGCCCTGTGACCACTCGCTCGCCGTATCTTGCTGTCTGTCTGCGAACTCTCCGTCGACTGTTCTGTAGTTTGATGCCGCTTCATGCTGCATTCGTATTAAATTCCATTAGGGCAAGTCTATTCACCATGGTGAGAAGCCCAGGAGCTTACATCGTTTCGTCTCCAACGCTTTGATCTCGTTCCTATTCCAAGTATGACCATGTGGCCTCGCGTGAAGTACCGAGGGCTTCCAGACAGGAGTATATCGGCTTCTTGAGTGGTCTGGGATACAGAAAGGAAATGGCAACGGATGTAGAATGGCAAATCAACCAAAGCTGTATCCCAGAATTGGGAACAGTGAACACATTGTTGTACATGATGGTTGAGGATCCCTGACGTTGTCAATCATGCTCATCGTGCTCCAGCTTCACAATGGCTAATTCTGAAGGACAAAAGACAAGTCAGTAACTAAAAATTGCCGTGTAAGGCCCGAGCAAACGCGAAGACTCACGACAGAATTTCGGTACATGAGAGTATTTGATTCCGGTGCCACAAGGATCGGAGCCAGCAACGAAGTGATCGCCACTGTGCCGGTGGTCAGCTACATACCAGATCACTGCGAGTAAAACAAGTTCAGTGTACCTGTTGAGCTTCTCTCTGCTGGATATCAGGCGTTTTATGAGAGCCTCACCCAGGCGGGACAGGAATCTTTGCATGGCATCGGGCTCGAGAAGCCAGGACATCTTAGAAGGAACCGAATTGTCAGACATTGATAAGGAAAACAGGCGAGATGCAGTGGAGAGAGAAAGGGAAAAGGAAGAAACGTGCACCATGATCTTTTACGAGTTTTCTACGATCTGAGCATATTGAGTTGCAGTCTCTGTTCCTGGATGGTATTGTTATAGTGGGCTTCCAGAGGGAAAGAGCCCCTGAATCTACGCACTTCCAGCACAGCTGCTGCTCCAACGGAGGGAGGCTGCTACGATACTATTTGATGGCAAGTAGCAGGCATTCGCACAGAGGATGTGGTCTGTAGGTCTTAGCCACAGAGCGGCTGGAGCAGAGTACCCATGTAGATGCAGTTGCAAAATAGCACTAAGGCGCACTATATAATGATATAGGAGACTCTCAACTCTGCGCGACTCAGGCAACAGCCTACTGTGGGAACCACCTAGCTACCTAGCAAGGCGACTAAGCAAGTATATAACCCCAAATGGTTACAGATATTAGCAATTATTCAGACACTGTAGGAACACAGTGTAGACTAAATTTGTAGGATAAAGGTTCAGGATGAGGGGCAGTGATTAATTAGCACATGGTCACGAGTCTGATATGCGATCTTCTGCACTGCAGCCACTTCATCCCTTTGACCCCCTAACAATTGGCTCTAGGTCTGTAAAAGCATCATAAAGCTATTTAGGGCAGCATTAGTCGTGCGAACATTAAACCAGGACCAAATCACAGTCGCCTTCATGATCCGCCATCTCCTGTTGCTGTCCTTACTTCTACCGGTGAATGCACAGCCGGCAGAAGACCATCTCCTGGACGTCCAGACTTATTCGAATCCATCCGTCTATGACTTTCCGGTGCTTGGTACCAGTGGCTCTTCTTTGTTTCCAATGCGACCTTGTCACGGAATACAATTGGAAGAAGCGACCATCGACGACTTGCAGGAGTACTTATTCTCCGGGAAATTGACAACCCTTCAAATGCTTCATTGCTACCTGGATCGTATTTCCCAAACGGATAGTTACCTCAAGTGAGTATCTGTTCTACTGCCTAGCGCCGACCACATTTCATGTTGCTGAATCAAAGTACAGTGCCATCCTCCAGCACAATCCCGACGCGTTCGCTATCGCGGAGGCCTTGGATGTTGAACGCGCTCAGGGTAAAATACGTGGCCCGCTACACGGTATCCCATTCATTGTCAAGGATAATATCGCGACCAAGGACCGCATGGAGACCACCGCTGGCAGTTGGGCTCTCTTGGGGTCGGTGGTGCCACGCGACGCGTTTGTTGTCCGGCGGTTGCGGAAAGCAGGGGCGCTGTTGCTGGGGAAGGCCGCTCTGAGCGAATGGGCAGATATGCGATCTAACAACTACTCTGAAGGCTACTCTGCTCGGGGAGGTCAGTGTCGCAGTGCATATAATCTCACAGTCAATCCCGGCGGCAGCAGTTCTGGCTCAGGCGTGGCTGTGGGTGCCAACCTTGTGCCTTTTGCTCTTGGTACAGAGACGGATGGCAGTGGTGCGTTTCCCATATGGGGCCCTACTCCGGAATCTTTCTGACAATCAAGAATAGTGATCAATCCAGCGCAGAGAAATGCTGTTGTTGGTATAAAGCCTACAGTGGGCCTCACGTCACGCGACGGCGTCATCCCTGAATCGCTGCATCAAGATACAGTGGGAGTGTTCGGAAAAACGGTGCGCGATGCAACATACGCCCTGGACGCTATCTATGGTGTGGATACGCGCGATAACTACACCTTGGCCCAGAGAGGCCGGACACCCCCTGGCAGCTATACTCAGTACCTGAGCGATCGGTCATCTCTCAAGGGTGCCGTGTTCGGCCTTCCATGGGAATCTGTATGGCGCTTAGGGGATCCAGACCAAGTATCCCAGTTGATGGAGCTCTTGGATTTGATTAAGGATGCCGGTGCCACGATCATCAATGGCACCGAGTTACCCCATTACCGTCAGATTGTGTCACCGGATGGATGGGATTGGGACTATGGGAGTAGACGTGGATATCCCAACGAGTCCGAGTACACCTACGTGAAGGTCGACTTTTACAACGGCATCAAAGCCTATCTCTCGGAACTGAACAACACCGATATGCGATCTCTGGAAGATCTAGTCGAGTATAATAAAGTCAATTTTGGGACGGAAGGCGGCTACCCCGGTGTCCATCCGGCATTTGGTTCAGGGCAGGATGGGTTTGAAGCGGCATTGGCTACAAAAGGCATCATGGACGAAACGTACTGGCAAGCATTGGAATTCTGCAGACGTACTACACGCGAAGAAGGAATCGACGCAGCATTGAAGCACGGAAACCGCACTCTGGACGGCTTGTTGGTACCGCCGGATGTGGCCCAAAGTATTCAGATTGCAGCACAGGCGGGATATCCTGTCATTACAATCCCGGCTGGTGTCAATGAGGAATCAGGGATGCCGTACGGACTAGCAATATTACAAACTGCCTTTGCCGAACCCACTCTGATTAAATACGCCAGCGCCATCGAAGACCTGCAGAAGGCCACGAATACTCCCTGGAAACGTACCCTTCCTGAATGGCGGGGATACCTGACTCGCAATCTACCAGTTATCAATGCATGAATAGACTGATCCAATTACTACTACCTCGATACCTATGCCTATATCCAGACAGTGGCTTAATGGCATGAACTAGATCTGTCGTACTAGGGCTCTTGGCCGTTGCAATTTCTGTACAATATAAAGCCAGTGAGAAAGGGACATGAGTGTAGCACCAAGTAGCTATGCTCATCGATTGCTATGCCGCAGAAAGAACATCTATTATCATTCAAAACTTGAGCTCGTTAAAATCATCCTAAGCGAAACGATAGGGAGGCGGCGGAGCGCCGACCTGCGATACCACTGGCACAGCTGGCGATGTCTTCTTTGACGGCCGTCGACAACAGCTGCAGATTACGCAACCCAAGATGGCAAGGACCAGCGCACCGCCGACCCCAGCAGCCAGACCAATAATGAGTGATCGATGCCTGTCCACCCATGAGCTCTCGTTTCCTCTGCATTCTCCGTTGGAACATGACGGGGTACGGGATCCCCCATCACCATCCCCGCAGCGTTGTCCGCCCGACAAAACCTGATCCGCGGGACATATGGTCGAATTACCAGTACACATCTCCTCAACATCGCATGGGCCGGTGCTCGGACGACAAACTGTATCCGCCGAAGCAAACTGGCAGTTGGTACAGCACGGACTCGCGGCATCATCGCAGAGAGCCCCGGCTCGCAACCGGCAGGTCGAGCCATCACAGCAACTGTTCTGATCGCAGGTGGCGCCGCAGTCGCATTCCTCGCCAACTTCCACAATGCCATTCCCGCACTGCCCGTCTGTAATGGTGGTTATGTTGCTGTTGCTGACCAGGCAGCGGGTGCTGACGCGCCCAGAACTGAGTTGCGAGCAGATGTTCCGGATACTGCATGGAGAGAATGCTGTCTGCGAGGGCGAGGAGACCGGGTTCATGATGTACTGGCCATTTGCGTCGCAGGTCGAGGAGGCCAACGGACAGCACTGACTCTGGGCGGAAGCACACTGCGTTGACTCACAATCATGGACGGCTCCAAAGGTGTGCCCGGACTCGTGGCTACAGAATTCGCAGTTCAGTCAAAACTGAAGCATTGCTTGTGCAAGGCAAGGGGAGACTTACGCAAAAACCTGCCATTCACTGCGAGTGCGTGCCACCACATTCGCACCAGTTACGCTTTGCCGTCCCCGGTTGGAAGCACACAATTGACCGAGCCAAGAGACACCGACCTCCTGACCCGACGGACATCCGGTCATCAGCGTCCAGTATGCATTGTCATCGTTGAGGGAACCGCGCCAAGAGGTGAATCGACTCAATCTCCAGTTTAGATCTCCTGCCGAGCAGTCGGCATTCCACGACGTTGAACTGGACGGACTGCTCGGGCAATCTCGATCGCTAATGGTCAGGTCGTGGAGGGCGAGGGAGATGTTGAAGGTCCGCTCGTAGACTTCTGAAGCCGTATTCACCATGTTGATGATGTTTCGCCGGAGCTCATCGCTGGAGGTGAACGAGGCGGAGTACGTGCAGTCAGTCGCGATACCTACCAACGCGACCCTTCTGGTGCTAGGGCAGGGTAAATCTTCGTCTGTGATGAAGGGATTCCCTGAAGATTGTGGCGATCGAGGCGCCAGTCGGTCCCATGTGTTATATGACGAGTGATAGTGAGCAACCATCTGAGGTTCGCTGGTATTTCCGAATCCTGATGTTATCGTCACCTGGTACTGCTGATCGACCACGCTGAAAATGCCGTCAAACAAGGGATAATCTCCATCTCGATGTATGGATATCCGAGCCCAGCCAACCTGATTCCGAGTTGCGCCTGAGCCAACGTGCTGAGCAGACACGACTCCCTTGAATACCTTGTGTTGGGCTTTGTTCACGACTTCCATCCTGCGAACAACGCCATCTGTACCGATGTACTGGACACGGGAATCCTGTGTGAGGATATCATGGTTCGGCTCCAGGCTCAGCTTCAGTGCTCCTTGTCCGGGAAGGTTAAAGGACAGATCAAAGTGTGAGTAGGCGTCCACTCGATGAGACGGTGTTCGGATAATAGTATGCTCGACTCGGGTCTCGCTATCCCAGAGGGAGGTTTGTACCGAATGTGCTAAGAACGTTAGGATGCATAGTGCGCGGCAGAGTGCTCACACCTTACCTGCAACATTTCGTTTTACAGCAGCAATCAGACCAATGGAACTGAGGAGTTTGAGGATCTTCATGGCTACCTCCCTGGAAGGCTCTCACAACATGAAGGAGACCGACATCTTCTCGATAGACCTCGTTTCCATATATGTATTGCACGCCACTTCAATACAAACAAGCCAGAGAACCATACAATAATGCGGATAGAGCATGTCATTGTCGCTTTCGCTAGGCATCCAAATAAATCGAAGACACTTTACGGTTCCCAATGTCAAATCGACGTACTGGGAAAGCCAAGATAGGGACTCGTCATCTCAGAAGAACCCAGTCGAACAGGAGACTCGACATAGTCAGTGGCCTGGCTCATTGGCCGGGGCCTTGATATGGTGTATGCACAGCCACCGGCTGCCGATTACGCTCTGTCCGGTAGCTGACGGATGTCTCGGAGACAAGGCGTTAACGCCAGCCAAGATGACGGATCCCCACCGGTCATGAAGTCAAAATTCGGAGACTGTGCTATATTATCAATGATAAAGTGGCTATGCTGCTTTCCACTTGATCTTGGCCAACACTGCCGGACGGTACTGGTGAACCACAGTCCCAGTATGGAATAGCGGGCGGAAATACTGGAGTTCACTGCCGGCGGAAAGTCTTGGCTGTCAGCAACTCGCATCTAGCCCGGAAAGACTCCGATGCTATTTGTAGGACGAAGTTTGACTGAATCCTCGTTGGTTGGGCATGGAGTTTCAAAAGTGGACTTTAACCATTGTGCTGGATGAGCTGATATCCTCGCTTCGATTTTCGATGATGATGCAGATCCACGACAACATGGAGAGTCACCATCACCTGCAGACATTTCACGAAGGGTGTCGCATATGTCCTTGTATTTCCATGTTGGACACCATTGACTGGGAAAGACAACAACTGCCAGATTTAGGCAGGTGTCCACTCAACTGGGGTAGTTGAAAGAGAAAGGCGTGTAGCACTGACAAGAGGTCCAGAGATTCCCGACTTGTGTTTTAACGTAATCGGTAAGCGAGCGGGCCATATAGGCCAGCGGGCCACCTCTGTATTCCATAGAAAAGAGCCTTTTTTAAGACTTCTATATCTCACCCAAAAATCAATATTACAAAGTGTAAGTTAAATATATAGTATAATCAAGTATAAATAGTTCGGAAATTATTTTTCAGAATTTTAGACTTTGAATTTTACTGTATATTCTTAAATTTTCTTAGGATGTGAAGATAACAGCTATAATTTATATTACTTAGGATATCAGTGTTTGTTAAGACATACTGAAAACCTATATAATATTAAATAGTATAATAAACAGTATGCCTTACTATTAAGCTCTTAATAGGTGTTTTGGTTGAGATATTGAAGTCCAAAGAAGGGCCATTCTATATGGCATATAAGAGGTGGCCTGGCTCACTCACCGATTACGTTATCTTCCTGTGAGTCCACTTACTAATCCTGTTTGTCTGGTTTCCTGTGGCCTGAGGCTAAGACTGCCTGAGGTTGCTTGATTACCTGTCAACCATCAAATCCACTACGCCAAAAAGGTGGCTAGACGACCATTCCTAGCGTAGTAGAAATGATAAGGCTTATACTGGCTGACATTATCTTAGTATCGAGTTCTTGATCTTGTTTATGTCTGAAACACACTGTCAAAGTCTTCATCTAACATGGCCACAGACATCATGGATCATTCTAGATCCTATTCTACAACCTGACATTTGACACCGAAAAGCTTGTCTTTTATCCGGAATGTTTCTTCCTAGAAATAGAAATCAGACTCGAACCAACAGCGCGCGATACTTTGTAGCAACTCTTTGTTTGAGAGTATTCGACAGCATCTTGTGCCCTCTCATTTGAACATCCCGTCAGTATCAATAACTTCGGTGTCTGTGTTCTGGCGTCTGCATAGCGACATATGTCGAACTATTGTATCCGCCACGAGTTATGCCGTCCTTATGCCACACAGACAGTTATGACGTGTTGCATCGCATCAACTGCGAGGATGATGAGAATATCCAATCGAATATGATACCGCGGTCCACAGGGGGAGAATTCCGGCTAAAATCAACGTTGGGTTGTTCCAGCTCCACTCGATTCGAAAGGTGAGAAATTTCCCCTCCTGAGTCCTGAGTATTCTTCCGACGACCTGAGTTGGCTCCACCCCCCGATTGAGGCAGAATGAATCTCTTTGTGTTGTTGATTGGTAGACTGGAGTCACTCTTGTCAACGCTAAAACACTGGCGCCGCTCCCATCACCGTTTCCCTGCTTAGCTTCACGACTAACCGGCACTGCATGGAAAGGATTGCGATGCCGAGCCGGCAGCCGGCATGGCGTCTCGTTCCGGCAGCCACGAAGCTTAACAATATTGGTGATATTGAAGACATACATTTCCAAGTTACAATGCCATTTTCCCCGCGTTAGATTTACCCAGAGTCCGAACGATGATTCCCACTATTCTGAACCATAATCACAAGGAAATGGACATACTCCAGGCGACTGTGGCCCCACGGGGATAAGGCCGGGGAAAAGTGGACCACTCCCCATTCAGTCTATCACCGCCATTGGTTCAGGATAAATCCATACCGATCATTGCCGAAAATCGTATCGTACGGAGGAGGGGGTAAACGCATGGAGGCTCGCGCAGGTTCTGGTCGGCTAACGGGTTGAAATCAAGCATTTGTTGGCAGTAGAAGCTCGCGCAAGACTGCCTTGGCTGCCGAGTTTTCCGAACTGAAATATGTTTCAACCACATATTTAATGACAATGGAACCCTTCCTTTTGTTTTCTGGTCTCTCGCTAGCACGGCTTTGATCCTGTCTTTCAGCTCTTGTTTATTCACTTCACTACACCAACCTAGTCAGAATGGGCGGGGCATGACTTCCCAAGACATCTCGGCCAAAAGAGCCGAATTGGCTGGAGGAAAGGTCGGTTGGCGTGGCTTGCTCAGCAGCAAGAAGACCTTTGGTATTGCCTTGTTTGCGTCTCTGGGTGGCTTGGTTTATGGATGTATGATCGTCTTCTATTACTCTACTCTCCATAAGGAATGCTTCAGAGGCTAACGTATCCAGACAACCAAGGAATGTTCGCGCAAATTTTGACAATGCACTCATTCATTGAAGCAGTATGTGATTATTGATGACATTACGTCGCTAGTCGCTCACATTTTCAGACCCAAGGATACGCAGAGAAAACTGGAGTAAAACAAGGAATGTTGACCGCGATTCTGGAACTTGGTGCATGGCTCGGGACTCTCATCAACGGATATCTGGCCGATGCTACTGGTCGTCGCATCACGGTTGTCATTGCGGTAGTCGTGTTTTGCGTCGGCGTCATTGTCCAAGCCTGCACCAAGAATCCGGACTACATCTACGCTGGGCGGTTCGTAACGGGTCTGGGTGTGGGTAACCTGAGTATGATTGTGCCTCTGTATAATGCGGAACTGGTATGTTCAAAGGATTTATATGACAACTCTGTCTGACCCTGTTAGGCCCCGCCGGAAATCCGTGGCTCTCTGGTCGCTGTGCAGCAGTTATCCATTACTTTTGGCATCATGGTCAGCTTCTGGGTGAGTATATGGTTAACTGAGAATGATTAAATGCTGATGTTTTAGATTGGTTACGGGACAAACTACATTGGAGGGACTGGCGAAGGGCAATCCATTGCCGCCTGGGAGATCCCCGTCTGCATCCAAATCCTCCCAGCCCTAGTTCTGGCAGCGGGAATGCTCCTCTTCATGCCGCAATCCCCGCGACACTTAATGAATCAAGGACGGGAGGAGGAATGCTTACAGACCCTGGCCAGACTGCGCGATACTTCGGTTGATGACATTTCGGTCCGGATCGAGTTTCTCGAAATCAAGGCTCTGCGCATGTTCGAGGATGAAGCGGCTCGGAAGAGGTATCCTCACTACCAGGATGGCTCGTTGAAGAGCCGATTCATGATTGGGCTCAATGACTATCTCTCTCTAATCACCGACAAGTCCTTATTCAAACGAACCACTGTAGCTGTAAGTATTCTCTCCGCGTCCTCTGCAAGTCGCTGACTCGCGCAGTGTATGATCATGGTATTCCAGCAGTGGAACGGAATCAATGCGTAAGTCAATACATTTGGTGCAATAAGGAATCTTGCTGACAGTTCACAGTATCAACTACTATGCGTAAGTGTATGACGCTTGAAGTCAATATCATTGTGTTGACTTGGAAAAGCCCGCAGATTTTCAAAGGCCTACAGCTGGGGGGAAATACGACCTCCCTCCTCGCAACCGGTGTCGCCGGTATTTTCGAATTTGTCTTCACCATTCCTGCCGTTCTTTGGGTTGACAACATCGGCCGTAAGAAGATTCTGATTGCTGGAGGTATCGGTATGGCTGTCTGCCATTTCATTGTCGCCGGCATCATCGGGACGTACTCGGGCCAGTTCGAGAATCACAAGGGAGCTGGCTGGGCTGCCGTGGTCTTTGTGTGGATCTTCATTATCAACTTCGCATATGCATGGGGCAAGTGCCGTTCTGGCTTGGAATGAATCTAGCAGAGGAACTGACAGAAGCAGGCCCCGTCGCGTGGATTGTCGTGTCGGAAGTCTTCCCTTTGAGTATGCGCGCCAAAGGCGTTAGTATTGGTGGCAGCAGCAACTGGGTATGTGCACTCCATTGCGTCATATACACGTTTCTAACAAGATGCTAGCTCAACAATTTCGCCGTCGGCCTGTCAACTTCTCCCTTTATTGAAGCCTCTGATTACGGTACCTTTATCTTCTTTGGCCTGGTAACCACTATTGGTGTCCTGTATGTGTGGTTCCTCGTCCCCGAGACCAAGGGCCGCACATTGGAAGAGATGGACGAGTTATTCGGATCCGGAAGCCTGGCCGTCGAGGACGAGGCGCTGAAACGTCGCATCGAGAGGGAAATCGGCTTACTGGCTTTGTTGGGCGAGGACTCCGACGCGAGCGAGAAGACATCCGAGAAGCTCGAGCATATGGATCATCACGAGCGAGCTGAGCTGCCCAAGGCTGCGAGCTCGTAGTTGTTGTATTACTCTAGCGGATGCATCATATGTTGATGTTTCGACCATCGTTTGAAATTGTGGCTGCACCTATACAGGAAATACTATGCTAGAACGGGATGCTAAAGACGCTTTGGCTCAGTGGAATATAATAGACAATAGTCCACGAACATTCGGCATCGTTCAGATGTTAATAATACCATCTTACCCTGTCAATCCTCCCGTCACACCTGCATTATTCATTTAGACTTAAACAGCACTAGTATTTGGATATACACTGAAGAATCTTATAAACCTTGTTCCCAGTAAAACATTATTTTCCACTATCTTGAGCGCACCGAATATCTCCACTGTTCAGTGACTGGACACTTTGTCTTGGTGAATAGCCTTAGACACAGAAAGAGACATGGCCGGTACATCTGTGACGAATCCAAGCAACCAAGTATATGGAATAGGGATGCGTCTAAAGCACGGATAAATGGGGCGTGTTTAGCCTGAATTCAACATCCGGGAGAGTTGAGACTCGAGATGGCCGAGCGTATCCGTGTACTATTGTGCCGAGCTGTGTCCGATTAGTTTTAAGCACTTGCAAAGTGATTGCCCGAGGCTTGAGATGACCGCAAACAAATGAGTCTAGATGCTTTGGCGTCATAGAGCTAGTTTCAAAGCAGGTTTCTTACCGGAGGCCTAAAGCGAAGGTAAACTGTATTTAGTAACCATACGGGATAACTGTATTTGAGAAAACGACCAGTGAAAACGGCTATTGAACATTTCCCATGAAGCTATGAAGTCGTCAGTCGACTAGGGGTATAAGACATACAGAACATTTGAAAAGCGTAGCAACGTTTCTTTCAGCCACAGCAAATCCTCCCAGTAAACCCAAGCGTGTCAAATAGAGATGCTCCGAACGTAGCAGGAAACAAACTTCATGGCAGCCATTGGCTAGCGATAACTCCGAGGTGTGATTGTCGATGATTGACTTCTAACCAACTTCGTAACGAAGGTAATCCCCGAATATGTGAAACAGCTCTGGTTCGTCAGGGCTCATGGTGTCCGGCTCGCATGCTTGCATCAGCTCAAAATCCACCATTGTTACAGCATTGGTTGCCGGGTTGTATAAGAAATTATGCATCCCGGAGTCGATAACAATCGTACACCCTTGCCTCAGTACCTTGATAGCCTTGTAAATCTCTGAATGCATATGCTCGTTGTCGTTGCGAGCACGTCGTCGGCCCCGTAAAGGATCGACGACGAGCCAAGCATGTCGGATAGCTCCTTGTGCCGATTTGGTCTCGGAAAGCGGACGGACGTATGGACGCTTGAAGTGAAGGCTCCGTCGGGACGCGGAGCTGGGGTCTAATGCTAGGAGATTACCGCTATTATTAACGGGAAAACTCACCTGGGCTACGTTGAACTCGGGCGGTTCAACAAATTTCCAATCGTTAGAAGCAAGTACGCCTAAAGCTAAGAAGCACTGTCGAAGGCTGGGGCTCGATACATCTTTTCCAATCGGTAATGACATGGCAAACCCGTAAGGAGCCGTTCTGCGAATGAAGACCGACCACTCGTATGTGGATAAAAATGCAAACTTAAGCTCACTCAACCGCATGTACTTGACGAGTTGGGCTGAGGAACCGTTAACATGGCCATGAATAAGGTTCGACTAGACTTACCATGTGATGCTGGATGCCGATTAATCATTTGTAGCCCTTGCGAATAAATGAATTCTCCAGTCTAACTGTCCAGAAAGGTACGAGTGCTCCAACAGCCGCTGGACGAGGTGGCCCGTTGTGTTGAACATAGTGATGATTGTATTTGGGTTCGTTGGCCCTGCAGATGACTGTTAATCACCAAACTTCAAGTGGGAGAGGCGAGTAGTGGCAAACACTTTGGAAATAGGGTCACAGACGTTCTTGGTGAATGTTTGGGATATTAGAAAATAAATGGCAGATATTTACTCTCAAACACGTTGTGGCGGGCATGATGGGGATACTCTCCCTATAAGACCAGTTTGAAACAAATATTGAAGCATGCAGATATTAGTATGTAGCTAAGAACAACCGATTTTTATCCTCATATGTTTTTATGTAGCTATAAGCGATAGAATCCCTATTTCCTGGCATTTTATACAATGTCATTACTACCAGAGGAAGAGTCTACACTATGATAAAAGGTGCTGTTATTTATGCCTATTCATGTCAATAGGCCAATAGGCCCTGGGCGTTGAACTTTGGAACTGTGGTGTATGATCTTATACAGTTCTTAGAATCATGCATATATGAGGCCACGGCCATGCTTATAAGTCCAGATCACCTTCTAGTTGTAATTGCAACCTCTCTGTTAATATCATTATTATTAATATAGAACTGCAGCAGATGGCTATAAACCTAAGGGAGTTAAGATGTATTCTTCCTTTCTGTTTGCAGGCATCTGAAAGTACATACTGTATATCTTTCCTTGAACTAAAGATAGACTACCTCTACATGGGGTTAGCTACCATGGATTGCCTATATAAGAATAACATCTTTTTATGAACCAGTAGATCCTGGCATGAGGGTTTGAGAACCTGGCAGCCTCTGCCATCTGTGACTGGGATAATTCCCCAATGTTGATCGCCGGCATGAAGAAAGCTCGTGTCTAGAAGTGGCTGGAGTGGGCACCATCTTGGATTGGTCACATTTTTTGGCTGTCCACGCTGGACCATTTTCATTGCGGAGTGTATTTGATAAGCAACATAATTGCCTGGCTTGAAGATCTCCTCTCATAGAAGTATCATTCACTGGCCGCTTTCTACAGCATGTGCCATATCGCCCAGAGTATCAAACTTCCAATCATAGATAGTATCCTTAGTGTTGCCCATAATAGCTCCTGGCCTTACAATCCACACCGACTTAATCCCGACTTTGGAGGCAGGCTGATGATCATGGAATTGACTCTGAGCAGTCTGCAGGACCTGATTCTTGCCGACTCCCAGCTCGGCCTGTACAGTGTTCAACATGTACTCGAAATTGCGCAGATCAGGCTTATACGAGCCCACATCTTGTGCGGTAATGATGCGATCGAACTTGACACCCTGCAAACTCCCTGCGTTCGTCTTGGCGAATGATTCCCGGTCAACGTTTGACAAGACAACCAGCTTGTAGTACTTTGATAGACGCTTGAGAGCATCGACAGTGTCGGGGAAGGCGTGCCATGTCCCTACTGATTCGCCAAATGCGATACTCTCTTCCTCGCTCGGCGGGGCGAGGGAGAGGCGCTGAGCAAGTTTGGGATGGATCTTTGCCAGGAGTTCGGAGTATGGCATATCAGGTGTCAGAGCTTGTTGCTCATGCTCGAGCTCATGGTAAACAGTAAGGAGATGCTCGCGTGAAATGGAGAAATTGTTCTTGTCGAGGATCGGCTGAAAGGCGTTCACGATCCCGGATTCCCAATCGACTAGGGTGCCATAAACATCGAAGCACAACAGACGGTAGTCGAAGAGTTTTGTCATTTTGCTATGTAGAAGATGAAGATTTGAAGATTGATGATGCGACGAAGGAAGAATGAGGAAGAGGATGAGGGGTACAAGTACAAGTACAGTCTATATTGCGGGCTTATCGATAGCGGGGACCAAAAAGGGAAATAAACATGCGCCTTCCAAACAACAACAATAGGGACATTTCTTGACGCCCAGGTAGCTTATGGGCAAGTATTATATATATATATATATATGTGCTGGAGTTCTCCCACAGTTGGCAAGTCCAGAAACCTACCTCTGGCTTTTCTCTGGTGATATAAAGGCATGTTACTATACAATTTGCAGCGCCAGCCAGAGAGGGCTAGAGGGCCAAGCAGCATCACATGATGGAGCAGGTTCTTCTCCTGAGGTCGCTATTATTCTTTGACATACATCTCTCTACCCATCAATTATGATTTCCAATCCAGCTGCGTCTGGAAAACCAACTATTCTATCTCTTCCGCGAGAGCTCCGGGACATTATCATAGAATACAGCTTCCTAGACCGGGATCCAGTCAGCATTGAACTACCAAATTACCCCACCCCGTCCCCGCCGCGGGAAAAGCGGTTCAAGGGAACCAAGTATGCGTCCCAGGGACAGCGTCTACTGCACTATCCACTTTTGCTGGTCAACCACCAATTTCGAGCTGAAGGTTGGGAAGTATTGAACAAACTCGCTGCATCCAGATATGAGGCGGACATTGTGTTCTTCCAGAGACAGCGCCTGATTCTCTTCATGCCAACGCAAAAGTTCCCCACCCGATTCAAGCGTGCACGCGCGAAGTTCTATGTTCTGAAAGACGACGGGACACGCCCCATTGAGTCCTGGTACTTTAGATATCGTTCAGTAAGCGGGGGCGCCCTAGAGGACTGCTGGGACTTGTACGGGGTTCTACAGCGCTTCCTCCAATGCGGGCCTCCTAACGCAACCAATGCGCCTGCGGACGCGCATATTCTGATCGAGACGCTCGAGTTGGATGTTCGTACTCGGACAGGTATCCCAGAGAACCTGCTTGGTCCACCGAATATCACTACCGAAGGCCGCAGATTTGTGATACCCGGGACGCATCGCCCGAGGTCACCCGAGATTGGTAGACTACTCAGCTTGATAAAGGAGATGGGGGTCGACTATAAGATGCATCCAGACTATCTGGTTTCTGTCCTTCATGAGCTCTTGAATTTGCTTCTCTTCTATCGTGATGGCAGGATGATCTACGAGCGCGTGGGAGTCCTCAGGCTGTTGCTGGATGGAGACAGAGTGCATGAGTGGAACCTTGATGAGTGCCTCGAAGGAATGTACTGTAAGGAAGAGGAACACGCCAAATGGAGAAGTTTTGCACTTGCACATAGGTCGCAGACAGGGTTCCGGCATCTAACCACTCGTCACGAAGAAGCCTTGGTCTGACGCGGAAAGGTGTCCCACTTCCGCCATGCGAGCTTCTCCAAACGTTGTCGTATCAGATAATCCTTCATGGCAAGTCAAGAGCAGGACATGGTTCAACTGCGGAATATGTGTACAAAAGTCGGACAGATCTTGGCTGATTCTTGCGCCCTAGTGACGGAAGCAGGGACATGTATTTAGGTGTAAATAGTCGATACAGAACAGAAATGAGGCAGTAGTAACTGGGTAGCTGCTTAACACATATGATACGCATGAAATATATGCGACGATGCAGCCACGTGGTTCTTGGAAAGCCCTGGGGCACCTTCAACCGCCCTGATGGCCATCGCACATGATACCAGAAATCCTAGAAAACTTATCCCTTCAACCCAAAGCCTGTCGCCGACTCTTGCTATTGGGATCATGATAGGATCGCTCCCCCAGACTGACAGCTCTCTGGCTCTCTCGTTCCTCCACAAAGACATCGTAGTCGTTCATGGCAGTCTGATGAACACTGCCGTATTCCCAACGTCCTATGGCACCATTTTAGCATGTTGCGAGTGCTGTCAGACCTGAGGCATCATTCCCTCTGAATGTGTTATCATTATCATTAAGATATCTCTATTACCATAAGCCGCATGCACTACTGATTCGGCCCCGGGGTATACGGATTCGAATATTCCACCTTCTCATCATACTCGCTCTCATTCAACCGTCTCAAGAACCCCCCATTAATCAACCCCATCACATTGGTATAGGTCACAAACTGCGTCCCCATACCAGGTTGCTCAAACCAGGGCGCAATTGGCCCCAGCCCAACGACAAACTCCTTGGTCACCTGGTACACGTGGTAATTGTACGGGTAATTCCCGTCAAACGTGTTGAGGTTACTCGGAGGCAGCGAGCGCTCGATATACGGTGCTCCCAGTGGCGCCAGGAAGCCGCCATACTCTGAGCCGAACCGGTCGAGCTTCATGCCAACGGGCAGGGTCGCGTTACCGAGGATGGGGTGCTTCTCCGTGTTGACGACGAAGCCGTTGGCGGGTGGGTAGATATATGTCCCGTTTGGAGCGACGTCGGTGGCCCATTTGTCGAGGAATTCGGCGGGACAGAGGGCGCCGAACCGCGCGTAGGTGCGTAGCTCGTTACTAAGGGGGAATTTCCGGGGTGGGACGACGGGGCCGAGGCGTGGGTCTCCGCAGACGTAGGTGTCGTTCTTCGAGGTAATCCCGGCGCAGGGGTCGGGCCAACATCTGGCCGGGAAGAGAGAGTCCTGAAGGGTTAGTCAAAGAAGAATTGAATGGTGGGATGTTCACTTTTACCTCAATGGTTTGGAGGGAGAGGACAGTAGCAGGGAGCAAGGTGCTAAGCACCAGAATGGCGTTGGTGAAGATCATCGTGAAGATGCGAGGTGTAATGCTGAGGAGAATAAATCCAGAGCGAACATGTTGCTATTTATCTTTGCCTTGCTGTATCCTGCGTGCAGTAGTCATTATCACCTTGCATGAAGATCGTCCTAGGTTCATCCTGCCGACCTTACCACGAACAGCCTTCAGGAATGCGATTGAGAATGTGGCATGGACTTCAAAAATGCGACGAGGGAAAATCGTCCTATGAAGATTATGATTAGGGAACAACCTTCCTTCCTTCGGGCCGCAGATGCATCTCTGTGGATGCACTCAAGCATTTCTAAGTTGTCATTTGTCAGTCTCAGCTGGACTATTGAACACTAAGTGAACTATTGACGCCAATTCGATCGAGACCCACACCAGGTTCTAACAATCCACAAACAATTCACAATGATCGTGCACACTGTAGAACAGCAGAAGTAAGACAAGTGTGAGTAACTAGTATTCAGCCGTAGCTGAGCGTGGTGCGTGGGTACCTTAAGTATCAGGCGTTTTACGGATGTCCTAGCAAGAGGTCATGCTGTGATTGGCTCAGAGGGAGCAGGGGTCCTTCCAAAAAGGGATGCATACATGACCTCCAGTTAAAGTTTTGCATATCTTCTTCATCAGTATCGAGATTATCATCTCCTTCTTTTCTTGCTCTTCAATATCAGTTATCTTCATTATTAGCTACAGTTATGTACATCAAAAAAGGCCCAAATATTTACAGTGACCTTGCTTGACTGCTAAAGTGCTATACCCTTGGTACCCAGCACGCCTGCACGCCGTCCTGACTCAATGATCATGTCAAGAGCCTGTCTCTCATCTGGACTGAATTCTCCCTTATGTTCCGAGGTCAAGCAGCAAATGTTATGCGCCCGTAATTGCCAGGCGCCCGGTTCGCGAATCTCTCGGGGTTCCCTTAAGAAGGCCTCGAATTGACTAGGCTCTCGATCCTTGCCTTTCTCGAACTTATTTGGGAGGAGCCAGCCGTTGAACCACAACGGTCGACCACTGCGATCAAGATGAAGTAGTTGGGGAGCACAGATGGTGTACATCTCTGGCGCAGTTGTCATTGTCTGGTCCGTAGTATTGGTCTTTGTAAGTTCTTGTGCCGGTTGGCCTTTTACCGGGGGAGTCTTCTCCAGAGTGCCCATCACTCCTGCATCGCCATCATGGAACGCATAGTCCAGGTCCCCGATCAGCTCCCATCCCAGCCAAAAGGTCTCTTTGTCGCCTGTTTGATTTGCGCCGTTAGTTCGCAGCAATCCAAAGACACGTACAGCAGAGAGGCAGGACGTACCGTAAACCATGTCATACACGCCCGTCTTGTGCTTCGACTTGTCGCCGTCGCGGTCAGGTCCATTCATCCGTGTCACCAGAAGCAGCGCGATAAAATGTCGCCATTTGTCCACCACAACCACACCTGATTCTTGCATATGCCCACTCTGACCCCTCCAGAAGCGACTCTCCATGGCTTTGTTGGACACTGGTCTGGGCAGAATCTCTTGCAGCCATCGCTTCTTAGACTCGGGCATCATCAGGCGGTCTTTGAAGAACAAGGCCCCGGTCTTTTGATAGGCCTCGTCTTCAAACAAGATCTCCGGGTTCTGCAGGAAAAGCGAATCTGCATCAATAAAAATCGCTTCCCTAAAACTCGAAAATAGAATCGCAAACGGTTTCCCGGCCCACCCAGCCAATGTCCAGCCATTGTCGTCCACCATCTGCCTCAGATCTCGTGTAGTAACACCAGGTAGCGCCTCCAACTGCTCACGCATGTCCTGGCTCAGGTCCTGGTCCCCTAGATACATGACTTCAATTGGCAGCTCGCATCCTAACTGGCGGATGGCAGGGATCGAAGCGAGTAGAAAAGGTGCTTGGTTGTCTCCGGCCGAAAAGACCAGCCCCCGGCCGCCATTATGGATCTGTGTATGAAGATGGATATGGTCTGGGAAATGCGGCGCAGTCCACGGAAAGAGCAGTGTTGATAATCGCGTAATGAGCGAGCGATATGACTCATAGGAGCGAATAATGTCTGTTGTGTTTCTCACCATACTCTCTGCCAGCTCAGGATGTCGTCGCAGGTACTGGATAATGTCGTCGCGGATGTACAGGCCATCGTCGGTTGGCACCAGGTGCACGGTTTCCCACGCCTCGAACAAAGCCCAGAAATCGCGTGTTCGCAGGCCCAAATCACGGAGTCGCTCGCCGCCGGTCGCTTCGAGAGGATGTAGGAGGCTTTGCATGCGCATTTCGTCCGGCAGAAGGGCAATCATCCGATCGAGAGACATGCTCAAGTCAATTCGAGGCAGTGGTACATAGTCTATCTCTGGCGCAGTTGGCAGTTCGTCCGGTAAGTCATCAGGGTCGACTACAGGATCTTCGGGATCTAGCTCTGACTCAGTAGGCTCAAGCCGCGTCAGTTCGGGGTCTGTCGACGCGTCCTTCTCTTCGACAAAGTTCACTCCATCTGTCAGAGACGAGATTTGAACATGAATCCCAACATCGGTGGCCTTAGGCGGTGATGAAAGGCTCACAGTCCCAGCGACAAAGTCGTAACATATCCAGAGACCAATCAATATCATCAGCAATTGAAATGCGAGAGCCCGACGCCTGCGTCTTAGCGGTGGCCGTGGTCGCCATCCTTTTGCGTCCAAGATGGCATATTTCTCGATATCATCGCTGGACATGATTTCAACTGTGGAGGATCGCAAGAACATGGGCAGTCCCCGAAGGGCTCTCTGATGTCTTCTACCACGGAGAAGTCGGGCGCATACCGATCGACCCATGAAAACCGCTTGACTCAGTCTTAGGGAAAAGATGAGCCTATCGGCAAGGGATGGTGAGGTCAGACCCGTCTTCCTTTGGTCATATGAGGGGCCTATTGGATGGGCTGTCTTTACGAGGGGAACCACGAAATGACCTCCACGTAGCCTTCCATCGGTAAGAGAGCCAATGACATTGCTTGTTGGAGTTCACTGGCAACATACCGTAAGCTAAAGAATATAGCAAATATTCTCTGCCTTATCCTAAATGAACCCGGCTCTTCGGCCCTGAAGAATGGCACCGGACTCCGGGGTAATGGAGCCTACCAACTAGGAAAAGTGTGCCATGCCAGTGCAACACTAACCAGGATCACTGCAACCTCATGGATGGATTTCTGGACCCTTGTATAATCAACTCCCGAATTTAGGCAGGGGTCCGAGTGTCCACTAGTGTTCTACCTGGTTAGGCGCTAGGTATTCAGAATGGTACACCGTATTTGCATCCAATCTGCAAACAACATAATGCGGGGTGGTCATCAATCCTTCCAAGACATATCAGCCATGTCTCAGCCAGTCAGCACCAATGTGAAAATTGCGAGAAGTGTTTTTGACGCTTCTATCACAAATCACGAATGTTGAGCAATTCTCGCCTGAGTCTGGACTGACTTGAGCTCAGGGAGCGTCGGTGCGACAATGAAGTCCGCAATCCTGAGTCGAAAACTGTAGGTATCTCATTTGTACGGACGGGAATCTGTGAGAATGCCATCTAACTGGGCATTCTGGGGCTGGAGAGAAGGAAGCTAAGTCTCGGTCCTCAGTGCTTTGACTTTACACCCATCTTGCAAGGGTTTAAATGAGTCTCGTGACTCGTGCCAATCCGAGGTTGAGTCTACTCATAGTAGACTGATATGCCGGAGCGTAAGCACTAATTGCACGCGTGTGCTTACCAAAGGTAGCAATAGGTCGCATTCGCTACTGGGGAGCTATGATACCACACCCAATCAAGAGCTCGAACGATCAGTAGTCCTCCTGGATATGCTTTCCACAAAATTTGCTCTATTCTGCTGGCTCGCACTCCACTCCCTGAACACCATGTCAATTATTTCGGGCCGCAAAGCCATTGAACGGAAAACAGTGCTTTTTGGACAGAAAGCAGGCTTGCAGGACCACGAGAATAGGCTTGTCCACCGTGCGACTCGCGACAGTACGTCCTTGGTGCTCTTGACGACCTATGGAGTGTCGTTTGCATAAGGCCGATTGTCCAAAGCTTCATTGATTAGCGAGTGGTCCCTGACGAGGCCAGACTGCTGGATGACAGACTCACGATCTGGGAGAAGTATGACAAGTTAGTTGTGTGTCAGATCCAGTCGTTGTAACCGGCTCTCGCCGACACCCAACGCTTTGAACCGTCGAAGAGAGTGAAGACTGATGTTGACCTTCATGTTATACTTTTTCAATGGCCTGCTCCTGGTCCACTGCTCATCCACCTTGAACTTTCTCCGATCGATCCGTTCTTCGCGGCAAGGACGGCACTGGCGCTCGTCATGATGGATGTAGGTCCCTCGCATGTGGTGATCCCCAAGTCAGCGCAGGTCGATTGTTATCGTCCTGACAGCATTGAAAGGCGAAGCGGTGTACAGACACTCTTGACCTTGGGCCCCCACGACGGTTGGGAGCTCTAGGTGCTGACAGAATGATTACGTACCCAGGAACATTAATTTAATTGGGTGACGGCGAAAAAAGCTTCCTTATTGCATCCGTCGCAGCTGGGTTACTCCCCCTGCCTGGTACCATGGCTGTCCGTGGGCTTTGATCATACTGAGTGCCCTGGTACTGGTAGCCGTCATGGCGGCGTGCAGACAGGTTGAGGTATTCGGTGCTCCCGATCAGGATCGCCTGTCTACTGTGATGATGGCAGTCTTTCAGCTTGATATCCCATGGACATGATCACTCGGCAATATTGACGGGCAGCTGCACAGCTCAGTAGCCTAACTGACTTCGGCTTTCTCAGCTACTGAATAGCAACTGGAGCTCGAAGTACCGAGCAACAGCGGGCAACAGCAGTCCCTAGGACCGTGGCTTGAACAGAGAAGATTCGGCTGCCATACGCGTAGGAATGCCCTTTCTAAGGACAGAGATATTGAGCCTTAACGTAGCCCTTACAGCGTCATATTCTTGGTAAGGTCGTGATTGCCGCCACCCGCTGTCAATGGGATACGTATATGGCACTCGTGCGTGGTACAGAATTAGCTATGATATTGATAACAATGGCTATTTCAGTGTACCCATCTTCTTTACTTGAGCAATGATGACGGAGCGCGAAATTAGTCGGTAAGCACTCTTTTGACTTGACCGAGGAAAGATCCCATATCAACGATTCAACTTGGCAGAATGCCAGCTTGTGAGGAGTCTGCAACTCCCAGGGTGAGATCAATTTAACCGATACAACGAGTCATTTCATCTCTGAGACACGAGTCCCTCTTTCTATCAGATGAACCCACATCGCGTGGGGGTTGCCAAGTCCATCAGGATACTGTCGACGGATTTAGTCCCGCACCCAATCGGGAATTCGGCTCGAGGGCCGTGAAGATCGTCAGCTTGTTTAACCATACCAAACTTTTATCATCACTGTAGCTGTGCTGGTCTAAGACCATGACAAAATAACCATCAATGACAACCCACTGAAGATGACACCCAAATTCGACGTCGACTATGTTTTAGCCAATATCACCGAGGACGACAAGATCGCTCTTCTCTCCGGTAGCTATTGTTGACCCAACTACTGCCTACATTGACTAATGGCTAATAGGAAGTGACTTTTGGCACACTCATTCGATCCCCAGGTTCAATGTGCCTCCGATTCGGACCACTGACGGCCCCAATGGTATCCGTGGCACCAAGTTCTTTGCCGGTGTGCCGGCTGCATGTCTCCCGTGTGGCACAGCCTTAGGCGCCACCTGGGATCGTGACCTGCTGCACCAAGCCGGTGTCCTTCTCGGCAAAGAATGTCTCGCCAAGGGGGCACATTGCTGGTTGGGTCCTACGATCAACATGCAGCGGTCCCCCCTGGGAGGACGCGGGTTTGAATCGTTCGCGGAAGATCCCCATCTCTCGGGGATCATGGCCAAGTCGATCATCCTGGGCTGCGAGAGTACAGGGGTCATCTCCACCGTCAAGCACTACGTTGGGAATGACCAGGAACATGAGCGCCGCGCTGTTGACGTGCTGGTCACCCCGCGAGCACTTCGGGAGATCTATCTCCGTCCCTTTCAGATTGTTGCTCGGGACGCCCATCCGGGGGCCTTGATGACTTCGTACAACAAAATCAACGGCAAACATGTCGTTGAGAATCCCGCCATGTTGGATATTGTTCGCAAGGACTGGAATTGGGATCCCTTGATCATGAGCGATTGGTTAGGAACATACACCACCATCGACTCGATGAATGCCGGTCTCGATCTCGAGATGCCAGGTCCGGCGCGATATCGTGGAAGATACATCGAATCAGCCATGCAGGCGCGATTGATCAAACAGTCGACGATTAACAAGCGCGCTCGCAAGGTGCTTGAATTTGCCGAACGAGCCAGCCGCGCTCCTGTGTCGGTGGAGGAGACTGGCCGTGACTTCCCAGAAGACCGGGCGTTGAATCGGACGCTCTGCGCGAACAGCATTGTGCTGCTGAAGAATGAGGGCAATTTGCTACCCATTCCCAAGACAGTCAAGAAGATCGCGCTCATCGGGTCTCATGTGAAGACTCCCGCTATTTCAGGCGGCGGTAGTGCTTCTCTTGAACCATACTATGCTGTCTCTTTATACGATGCCGTGGTCGAAGCCATTCCTGATGCCGAGATTCTCTACGAAGCGGGCGCATATGCTCACAAGATGCTTCCTGTCATTGACCGAATGCTTAGCAATGCCGTCATCCACTTCTACAATGAGCCGCCCGACAAGGAACGCACGTTACTGGCGACAGAACCGGTCGTTAACACTGCTTTCCAGTTGATGGACTACAACGCTCCCGGTCTCAACAGAGGCTTGTTCTGGGCTACTCTAATCGGAGAGTTTACGCCAGATGTCTCTGGACTGTGGGACTTTGGACTGACTGTGTTCGGTACGGCCACGCTTTTCATTGATGATGAGATGGTCATTGACAACACCACTCACCAAACCCGCGGAACGGCCTTTTTCGGAAAGGGTACGGTGCAGGAGGTTGGGCAGAAGCAGCTCACTGCAGGACAGACATATAAGATTCGAGTCGAGTTTGGCTCTGCCAACACCAGTCCTATGAAAGCTATCGGCGTGGTCCACTTTGGTGGTGGCGCCGCCCATCTCGGCGCATGTCTACACATGGACCCTGAGCAAATGGTTGCCAATGCGGTTAAAGTCGCTGCAGAGGCGGATTATACGATAGTGTGCACAGGGCTCAACAGAGACTGGGAGTCGGAAGGATTCGACCGTCCGGACATGGACCTTCCTCCGGGCATTGACGCGCTGCTTTCGTCTGTGCTTGACGTGGCGGCTGACAGGACTGTCATCGTTAACCAATCCGGGACTCCTGTTACCATGCCGTGGGCGAATAGAGCCAGAGGGATTGTTCAGGCATGGTATGGGGGCAATGAAACCGGCCATGGCATTGCCGACGTCCTGTTTGGAGATGTCAACCCCTGTGGGAAATTGCCGCTGTCCTGGCCGGTGGATGTGAAGCACAACCCAGCGTATTTGAACAATATGAGCGTGGGGGTAGAATGCTCTATGGCGAGGATGTGTATATGGGATATCGATTCTACGAGAAGGTCGGCCGCGAGGTCTTGTTTCCATTTGGGTAGGTTGATCGTCTTGCTCACTAAACGCATGCTGACCCCTGCAGACATGGTTTATCATACACGTCCTTCAGTGTCTCTCCTGAGGCGACTGTCTCTCCGAGCGTCTTCTCATCGGACAGTCCACCCACTGCCAGAGTTCTAGTCAAGAATACCGGTCCAGTGGCAGGAGCGCAGATCCTACAGCTTTATATTGCGGCACCAAATTCAGCAACTCCACGCCCGGTCAAGGAGCTGCACGGCTTCACCAAGGTGTTCCTACAGCCTGGAGAGGAGAAACTAGTGGATGTCCACGTTGACAAATACGCGACCAGCTTCTGGGACGAAATTGAGGATATGTGGAAAAGCGAAGAGGGCGTCTATCAGGTACTCATTGGGACTTCGAGTCAGGAGATTGTGTCTCGAGGAGAGTTTAGAGTGGACCAGACGAGATACTGGTGTGGTGTATAGAGAGCATCGTAGCAATCGTGTTCCACCTTTCAGTTTGAACTTGAATCTCACGAGCTTGGCACCGGGTAAAAGACGTGCATTTATCCAAGAGTGCAGGCTGGGGCAGTGTGGGGGGTCAATCACTTACTGAATCGAGCCACTTCCATTACCTATTAGAGCCATTACCGTGTTCAATCCGGGGTAAACGTGGGGCATGTGATGCTCTTCTGACTGTTTAACCCAACTGTAACCCAAATCCTCCGTCAGCTCGTTGGATTGTCTCACCAAACCCCCACATGAGGTCTTGGGCCGCTCTTGGCAGGTATGCTGACAGCATTCAACCATGCTCACTTCAATATTCCATTGGTGGGGGATATAACCAGAGTTCCCGTCTTGTGAACGTGGGGGTTCCAAGATGCCTTTCCCATCAAGGAGCATTTTGGACGAAGACCCCGGTCAGAGCTATCAACAGGGTCATCGTGGCTGAAAACCGGCCTGCCCTGGCATAAGACATCTCCATGACGGGATTCTACATATAGCCAGGGAAGGCCGTCTCCTGACAGTATCATGCCATCAGCACCATCGATTATACAACACCGATCATCATGGTTGTAGTGCCAAAGCATCGTGAGGAAGATGTCGCGGAGCCCGTCCTGGCCAACCTGCTGGCCGACGATCATACTCCTTGGTACAAGAAACCCAATCTGAGATACTTGTATTTTATTCTGTTCCCTGCATGCATGGGAATCGAGATCACTTCGGGATTCGACTCGCAGATCATCAACACTGTGCAGATCGTCTACACGTGGAACAAATGTATTCCTCACCACACGTTATACTATAATCGAAAACTGCTGACATGTCTAGATTTCGGTCATCCAACGGGAGCTGTTGTCGACGGCAAACCCAAATATGCGATCGAAGCAAATCTCAAAGGTTTCCTTGGAGCCGCATATTCTCTCGGAGCCATCCTCTCCCTCCCGTTTGTCCCCTGGGTAAACCAGCGATTCGGACGACGATGGACGATCGTGTTTGGTTCTTGCGTCAGTCTCGTGGGTGCTCTTCTGCAGGGCTTTGCCAACGGAGGTATGCTACCCACCTCGGCTCAAATCCACATGCTAATTCTGTAGTCGGCATGTACATCGTCGCGCGGATGGTCCTCGGATTCGGCATTCCCTTTTGCATCGTTGCCGGATCTTCCCTGCTTGGTGAATTGGGATATCCCAAGGAACGGCCCATTCTGACCTCGCTGTTCAATTCTTCGTACTTTATCGGCCAGATCATCGCTGCTTCCGTCGGCTTGGGGACGGTGACCATCAAAACCGACTGGGCTTGGAGAATTCCGTCCCTCCTTCAGATTGCTCCGGCGATGGTGCAGATTGCCTTTATCTTGTAAGTTGTATTTATCTTACTGTCTCTGACAGGACTGACAGTGTGCAGTCTTCTTCCTGAAAGCCCCCGGTATCTGATTAGTAAAGATCGCCACGAGGAGGCCTTTGACATCTTAACCAAATACCACGCTGAAGGAGACCGCAGCTCGGTCATCGTTCGAGCTGAAATCGCCCAGATCCAACGCACCATCAAGCTTGAACTCGAAGAGGCCAAGCAGACATGGTGGGATATGTTCCGCACCGCTGGTATGCGCCGTCGGTTGCTGATTACGGCCTTTTTGGGGTTGTTCACCCAGTGGTCGGGCAATACTTTAATCTCGTATGTGCCCATCTTACCATCTTGGTAGGTTGGTTTGCTAACGAGGTTAGATACTATCTGAGTGACCTCCTGGAAATGGTCAACATCACCGATGGGGTGGTCAAGTCGAAGATCAACATCGGCATTGCGTGCTGGGGTCTCGTCTGCGGCACGACGCTGGCACTAACTGCTCCTCGATTCAAACGACGGACAATGTACCTCACCTGTGCCTGTTCGTTGCTCTGCGTGTATGTCGCCTGGACCATCTCCATGGAACGCTTCATGACTACGCACGCCAAGCCCGCGGCCATCCTGACCATTTTCTTCATTTTCTGCTATTCGCCGGCTTATAACCTCGGCTACAACGCGTTGACATATAGTAAGTCTTCCCCTTTTCAAGATGATAGATGGCGACTGACTCGTCAGCCTACCTGGTCGAAATTTTCCCCTACTTTGGTCGCTCCAGAGGTATCTCGTGGTTCCAGTTCTACGGACGGGGCGCGAGCTTCTTTGCAACCTATGTGAACCCGGTCGGCTTGAAGAATATCAGCTGGAGGTGGCTGCTGGTGTATTGCTGCTGGCTGGTTTTCGAGGTTGCGTTTATCTATTTGATCTTTCCCGAGACGTCTGGCAGAACTCTCGAGGAGTTGTCCTTCAGTAAGTTTCATCTCTGATGTTGCAAGACAAAACTAACGAATACAGTGTTCGAGGGCAAGGAAAAGGCGAATGAAGTGGCTGCGGCTGTCCACAAGCAGCTTGATCAGGGGCACGACGAGAAGGCGCAGGATGTTCACGTCGAGGTGGCTTCGCGGGCATGATTGAACTGTTGCTTATTCGAATATACTGTTCCTTGACAAGCAAATCTATAACATGATACTATAAATCATCCAACTACCGTTCCAACTGGTGCAGACAACAAGGCTAGCAGAATCTGAATTACATTGGTACCCCGACCAAGTATAGCTCTCGGACCCGTCAGTCCTGTCAGAACAGTTTTCGTCGTGCAGCCGTCATCAACAGGGACTCCATCCATGCGATTCTACAACCAAAACAGCTCATCCGGGACAGCAGTCAACGCCATCATCGCATGATCCGACAATCCCTCCCGCAAGTATTTCACTTTCGGGCCGGAGTCACAGTAGAAAGCGACCAGAGCATCTGTGTCCTTAACCAGACTCACCTCATTATTAGCAGATTTATAGATAAACAGCGGAATCTGAGGCACATGCTGACCCATTGCATTCACATCCAGGACCCATGCCACGTCCGGCTCATCGATGAAATCCGCCTCCGTGACATACATGTTAATATCCTGGAATTTGTACTTAGCTATATGCCCGCTGAAACACAGGTCCTTGGTCTCAACAAAGTCTAGCTCCTTTTCCGGAACAAGACAATCATACAAAGTCTGTTTAAAAGTCAGGTATTCATTCGCAAGGCCCTGCAACCCCGCAGGAATGAGTCCAGCCCACACGCCCTTTTTAATAATGACAAACACCAGCTGCATACGCGAGACTGTTCCTCCCTGCACGGCCCTAGCAATGCTAAGCTCCAGTGCGTATAACAGCTGCAGTTCCGCAGCGAACCTGTACACCAGGCTTCCCCCAGAGTACCCTACAGCATGACTGTGGCCTGGTGAGAGATGTCGGTAAATCTAGACAACCCTAAGGCTACACAAACATTATCAAGCACCGCGTGTCCAGACAGTATATTTGCTAGAAACGTGGCATTCAGACCCAGGTGGTCCCACCCACCCCTTATCCAGTGCCGCAATGATCATTATAAGCTCGCCTTGAGGCATGAGCATGCCTAGCTCACCATCAGTGGCTGCCTAAACTAAAAGGCGTACGACAGGGCGCAGTTAGGGTCAGCCGCGTCTTCATCGACTTGGAAAGAGAGCAGCTTGGTGGTGCCTACATTATATGGGATGAGGATAGTCAATATGACTGCAATGTCCCCACCGAAAGAATAGGTTGATCGGTACAGGAGCTGAAATAATGCAGCAAAATTAATTAGGGCAAACCCAAACGCCACGATAGGATGGGGAGGTAGACTCGATATATGAAAGATGATGGATGCGATGTACTTGAGTACAGACTAGCCGCGCTACCCAACAGAGTAAGATACAGCAATTGCCATTTCTAAGTAATTGATTCTTACTAATCCTTTTTGAAGCCGTGTCAAGGACATTTAAACAATAAACTTTGTGTGGTTGCAGTAATTCATAAGTCATAAGGTATCCCGTGTCTATTGAAGACCATGCATATTTCATGTTACCTTTGCCATAACCAGACCCAAACGCCCATCAAATCATGAGTCGTCAAGAGTCGTCAAACTCCGTGCTCCATGCTGTAACATTCATAGAAGACTTCATAATGACAAAGGGACTTTTTCCCTCCCTTCATCCGCCTCAAGAGCCCCCTCCAGTTCGCTTGTCAGTGTATACACAGACAGATCGGACATGCTTTCATGCGTTGGGGGCGGGAACATTGGTTCCCTCATCGGGACGTCCGCTGTTTTCTTTACTGAAAGATTTGGTGGCACCTGGGTAGACGACATGCAGTCTCGGAAATTCCCGGGGAAAAGTCCTTTGTCCAGGTCACTTTGCCATAACCGGCGGGTGGCATCAAACGCTTTATCGACCAGGGCTCGCCGCGCGTTCTCATACTCTACAAATATATGGTGGAGAGAACGGTGACGCCCGCGAGCAAAAATCTGTGCGAATATGACCGCATCTTCGATGGCGTACGCGGCCGATTCCTCGCGTGGCGGCATCTGCAGTGGTCATTTAGCGATGCTATCCTGACGGGGAAAAGCTTACTTGTACTTACTGCGTGAGCGGCATCCCCGAGCAGCAGAGCGCGATCAATATGCCACTTCCCCCGCTGCCGAACCTGATAGATGGGATACAGCTCCCAATCACGCGTCTCGTCAATCCACTCCCGGATCCATGGAAAGGCCGACGTGCCGAATTTACTGCGCACCTGATACCGAAGTGCCATCTGTGCCGACGTCAGAGCCGCGATATTGGTGTCTGTGTCGGCCAGCGCGCGGTACCGCTCGATAATGTGTTCATTCACACGCATGATCGCGGCCACAAACATGGTCTGATGACTGGGGTCGCAGTAGCTGGCCAGCAGCGATCCTTGCTTTGTAAGATGAATGGCGGATTCGTCGAAATGAGATGGTAGCGATACCCGCTCGGACGGAGCTAGGCTCTGAATAAAGGCGATGCCGGTATATTCGGATCGGTTCCCGGGATCCACCAGCTGCGTGCGGACCGCCGAGTGGACGCCATCGCATCCCAGCAGTAGATCACCCGTGGTCGTCGTCCCATCGTCGAATTCGAGAGTCACTACCTTTCCAGTCATGCTGGTGCTGGATAATTTCTTGTCAAACTCCACTGAAATCTGCGCGTACCGGCGCGCCACGGCCAGCAAGGCGCGAAAGAGAGCACTCCGCAACACTCGGCGGCTCTTATAGCCTCCGTAACCGCGCCCGGTCTCGTCGGCAAATCGCAAGGGACCCAACGATCGCCCGGAGCGGAGAGAGTAGATGTTGATTTCATCCACTTCAATTCCCGTGTCCTCTCCCATCTGAGAGAGTTCAGGCAAGACGCCTAGCTGATCCAGGTAGTGCTGAGCGACCGGGGTGAGACTGATGGCTCCTCCATCCCCCATCGAATGTTCATTTCGACTGTCATAGATGGCAATGGCCAGATCCGGTTCGACTTGTGCGAGCTCTTTCGCCAGAGCGATGCTGGCCGTGAGACCGGCGATTCCCCCACCCACAATCAGGATGCGGCGCGGCATGATGCGATGGGCTTGGGAAGAGAATGCTGAACATTTCAGCCAGAGACTGTAAATAATATAATCCCATTTGGTCGGATCCGAACACAAAAGCGAGGGGGCGGCCGAAAGTGAGAAAACTCGGTGATCAGCATCAAAGGACCATTTTGAGCGTGGACACTGGTTCGGCAGTTGTGCATTTGCGCTGTGTCCCCGTATTAAACTCAGTGATTTGATTGGTTGCTTTGATGGCCTCGGCTGGCTCGTGGCAAAAAAAGGGTGACGGTCAAAATATATGCAGTCTGATTGGGTGGAAGTCTTAGGCGTGACATGCGCATCAAGAGACCACCCACGGATCGTCCACTTTTTTGTATGCAGGTCGGATCCGAGACGGCGGAAATTTCTTCATCTAATAGGGGGTACAACTGTTTCCCGCTTATTCCAGCTCAGAATTGACAGCTCAATTCTTTCTAAATGAAGTCGAAGGCAATTTGAGGTTCCAGACAACATAGGACCCGGCCCCGATCAACGAAAAAGCCAAGAATAGGGGCCCCGTCGCACGTGACTACAAGCGGATCGCCGAGATGGGCAGGGTGTTATGATTGGTTGCCACTGGTTTCTACCTACAATAAGCTTAAGGGACAATCGGTGGAGAATCAATCAGTTGTCGCCTGTTGACGGGTTATGCCCTCCATGCCACCAGATGCCGGCGGGGTTCGTATAAGAGATGTGCACGGACAGGTTTTGCTGCTCTAAACTTCTGCTCTGGGGAAGTTTGGACTCCAGAGGTGACGGCAGTTCAAGTTGTTGCATTTTGGGGATTTATTCCCTATGATCCTGCGGCAATTATATGTTCCTGACTCCAGAGACTCTATCTATTCCATGACCAAAGCAAAAGAATAGCACGCAAGAACAGGGACATGTATTTCATTGCTAGGCTATATAACTCTATAAACTGATTTTCTGGTTTGCTCCCTCTGATAGAGTATCATCGGCAGTACATGAAATCTATGGCTATCACTTGGACTGCAATGTCCATGGAGACGGGAATGCTGTTGTCGTTTTATTGTAACCACCATAGTTGATTATCTAATTCCCTCATTCTCCTCGGCTATAAGGATTGTTTATGTACTATGATACACATAATCTTTGTGCGAGTATATATATGCGCTTACCTCTCTATAAATTGAAGATCAGCGAACCCTATCTTAGTATTAATCCTTCAATCATGGCAACAAACCATCACTACCCTGGTCTCTGCTTACTCATAACTGACTAATGCTGTCGTCTCAGCCGAATACGGTTAGCAGGCTGACTTTGTGACAGAGCATTGCTAGCGACATGAGCAATGCTACCGGCTTATCGGATAAAGTTAGTCCACCTGTCAGGTGGAGACTGTTTCCATCTGAAACCCCCGATCTTTTTAGTGCATATGCTGTCCCTTCCAGGTACTCTTCCGGGCACAAGGGTGGGCCGAGGTTTAGCTGTCATCTCCACGATTGCCAAGATATGTCACAATGTCACCTACTTTAGTACTCCGAAGTCATTGACTCAATGTTCCTTCGCAAGTGAACTCAGGTAGTCAGTGTAAAACTCAGCCAGTCAGGATAACGCTTTGACTGCAGAGAGGGAGGAGATGAATTCCGTATCCGGTTCTAGTCCGACTCTAGCACAGACTTGGCACTTCATAAACAGGGATTATAGAGGCTAACACACGGCATAGCTGACATAGCTATCACTTCAATTTGCGCCGTCGGCCAATTAATTCCCTCCAGGTCGACCAAATTGCTCAATGTAGGGTTATTGCCGAAATAACCGTGGTCGTCAAGCCATAGTGTCGTCAAAGTCATTGGATGGGGTTTATGGATTCTTTAATATCAGGCCGAGAATACAAGCCCACCGGGCCAGCTGCAGATTTATAAACCATGTGCAAACCCCCGATGCGCGAAAGTATCATCTACTTCTGAAGATAACTCTCCCTCAAACTCCAAGATGTTATCGCTCGCATCTCCTGTCCTCGGCCTGGCCGCAGCCGCGTCTCTGGCCACGGCTAGTCTGTTACCAAATATCCTTTTTAAGGACATTGTGGTTGTCGGTGGTGGTGCTTCTGGTGCCTACGCTGCGGTGCGACTTCGCGATGACTTTGGCAAGAGTGTTGCTCTCATTGAGAAGCAGAGCATACTTGTAAGTTTGTCCCTGTCTCTGGTAAATGAACAGTTATTGACACCGACAGGGTGGTATGGTCGACTCTTATGTCGACCCCAAGACCGGCGCCCCTCTTGACTATGGCGTCAAGATTTTCATCGACGCCGGCAATGCGACGGGTTTCTTTGACCGGTTTGGCATCGCCAGGGGCAACTCATCCAACCCCACGGTCACAACGGAGTACATCGATTTCCGAACCGGAGATGTGGTCAACATGCAGCTGCCACCTTTTCCCGACCAGTTTGCGGCCATCGCCAAATTCCTCGAGGTGGTGGAGCCGTGGGAGCACCTGATCCAGCCGGGCTACTACGACTTTCCCCAGCCGGATGCCATTCCCGAAGATCTTCTGATTACGTTTGGTGATTTCGTCACCAAGCATGGACTTGAAGATGCCGCCCCTCTGATCTACGAGAGTACCGGCCTTGGCCTCGGCAACATGACGCAGGAAACCACTCTGTTTGTTCTACAGTCGTTCGGCCCCTCCATGGCTCGAGCGATGCTCGGCACGCAAGGAATGTTTGTCCCTGCGTCCGGTCGCAACCAGGACCTGTACGATGCCGTAGCCGAGCATCTCGGTGATGACGTCCTGTATTCAAGCACAGTTGTTGACAGCTGGCGTACCCCATATGGCGTCTTCCTCACAGTGAAAAACAGCAAAACAGGCCAGATCACCCTGATCACAGCCCGCAGACTCCTCCTCGCCATCGAGCCGACCAAGGACAACATGGCACCCTTTGACCTGGACGATAACGAGCGTACGGTCTTTTCCAAGTTTACCTACACCAACGAATACTCCGGTCTGGTAAACAATTCTGCATTCGCAACCAACTACTCCTATTTCAACCTCCCTGCCTCTGCCGCGCCCGACAACTACCTTGCTCTGCCGAATCCCTCTTTCACGGCTCGCATTGACTACCTCGGCGGCGACAACGTGTTTAGAGTGACGATCGTCGGTGACGAGACACTCGACTCTGCCGGCGCCAGACAACTGGTGCAAAAGGACTTTGATACTCTCCGCAAAGCCGGTCGCCTCTTGGATGCGAAGGAAGGGGAGCAGGTGAGCTGGGTCGACTTCTCTGCACATGGGCCCATGCATGCCCGCGTGTCGGTTGCAGACTTGAAAGACGGCTTTTACCAGAAGCTATACGCGCTGCAGGGGGGACGGTCGACGTGGTGGACGGGCGGCGCTTTCTCGGTCAATTTCCAGACCACGTTGTGGCAGTACGATGAGCTTCTTTTTCCGGAGATCCTTAAAGGGCTGAAGTAGTCAGTGTCTTTCCGGACCTCTTCTCCGAACTAGACAGATGTTAAATACAAAATGCATTCTTCATTTCACATCTCATTGATGACACAGAATTCAAAATGCCACAAGGCAAGATTCAACAGCATCTTCGACGCCAGCTCCTATATCTCGTCTAGAACCCTCTTGATAAAATGTTCAAAGCTTCATATTTCAGCACATACAACCATAGGGTGTGGAGAACAGGGCTCCTATCCCACTCAGCCATACTTAAACCACAGGCTAGCCAGTTAGTACTAGGTGGGTAACCACCAGCAAATCCCGGCTATTATATATTAGAGTTCACCTTCCTTTTCTAATTTATTTGGTGGAGCACCCTTGCTGCCTTACCTTTACTCTCTTCACCCTATTCACCTAAAGCTTAGCTAAACCTAAATATCGTTTACCTAGTAACCCCTGCTTAATCCCTATTCTACTGAGGCTCTGTGGATTTCCAGGCCTGACCCTAGCTTAGCTGTCTTGGCATTCTCTTGACATTGGTCATTGCGCCAACAGGTCGCAATGGTTTGTTTACTACTATTCGTCACCTTTGGAGCGTTTGCGGCGCTGTGGTTGGGCGCTGAATTAGGGCCGCGAAGGCCGTACCTTCATGCTACTTGAGAAGCAATATATATCAATATATAAACCTTGTGCTCTTTTCAGTCAATTGTTAGTACGGCAACTGGCCAAAGCCAAAGTCAACCCCACTTGCATATTCGACGAACTCCCCATCCCGTCCTCCTCATTTCTCAAAGGTCTTCGCGCGGCTTCCAAATCTTAACAGGAAATAACAGAACGTTGTGACAGAGATTGTGTCACGGGGCTTTTAGATTATTCTAAGTATCCTACTTAAGCCCCCCCTCTAACCATTGTGTCAACCTCATAGCAATAGGCATGTGTTGTCAACATCTCCGACTCGCGCTTCGACCTTGAAAGTCCATAAACCACTCCTCAAAAACATGGTAGGAATCTGGAAATCTAGTAAAATATCACTGCGGTCGCTACTAGGCATGTATTCAACCTGAACTCCACCGGCATTACGAATAGTAAGATGAGCTAGATCATTAAAGGGCGTAGTCTTTAATGGTCCTGTAGTAGAGTCTTCATGGTCGTGACTACCATCCGGGTAGACAGCAGAGGCGCTCACTTTAAGGGTTACATTGATGAGGCCCTCGTCGGGAAGTGTCAGTTGCTTCTTTTTAGATTCAGGTAGATAACCGCGTAGGTAGACAAAAGAAGACACGGTCGCTTCATCGGATGTTAAAACGTTATCATCAAGCTGTATTTCAAGGCGAGGGAGGATCTTACGCGAGAATAGGCGTCGGAGCAATCTCTAGGAGCTCGATCTTGAATATCTGGTCATCCTTAGGCACGGCGTCGTAGATGGCATCTCTGTGGCCGGGGAATTAGTTGTCTTGTTGGGCCATAATGCCCTCGCCGATGAGCAATTCTTGCTGTTTGGGGTTGGTCTTGGCAAGAAGGGGCAGCGAGGGCAGCGGTGCAAAGAGACAAGGTATGTGGGAGAATTGATTTTTTGCGATTTAGATTTTGAGATAACTTCTGGTGAGTGAGCAATGAGGGACGAGAGGAGTGTTGGCTTTATGTCAAATGACAACTGCCTGATACTAGTAGCCGTCCTAAACTAGCTACAAGGGGTGGGTGACCGTGGGTCGATATGAGCAGATCTGCCCAGGAGGCTCCCCTGTCCAGAAAGCCACCAGAAGACTTTCTCCGCTTTCCCATGGTTCTTTCAGGAACCACATGAATTACTCACTCGATATTGATATTCCATCTCTTTGGTATACTCCAGGTCAGGTTTCGGCTGCCCAGTTGGTACGAGTCGGAATAGCCCATTCGTACAGGCTTTCCGAAATGTGGTTATACCACACATTTTCTCTCCCTCTTCCCCAAGCCCTTGTGCCAAAACAAGAATGAGGGATCAGCGGCCTAGTCAGAAGCTGACGGCTACATATGACTAGGGTCGTACCGTATGAGAAATAGTGCCAGATGCCACGAGGGTTCGAGAAAGAACAGGGTATAGGTGGTAGAGCCGCTTTTCGAAAGGTGGCACAAATCTCATTTAGATCGCATGTACGGAGCATCACAAAGGTTCTTCGCTTGAGTTTGCCATACAGGTAGCGCCATCTTTAGGAAATGATCGCCGAATTCGTCGATCAGCTTCGACGACGCCGCATCAATATCTTGGTCTAGCAAAGCTGTAGAGGGCGGGTTCATCTCCCTGAAATCTCGGAAACTGAAATATTTCCAAAGGCTTTTCCAGTAAGATAGCGCCTCGATTGCAGAACGCCCCTCAACATCGACATTTTGGGCGACCAAATAAAATGAGGATGTGTCACCATGGTGTTTCGGGTGCTTCATCACCCTAATATCGGCGAACATACTGATCATATAAAGCATAGACGCTGTTTCCCATGACTCAATCCGATGGAGGAGTAGCACGAAGGATCCTCCGGTCTTGAGTCGATTCAACGCAAAAACCAGCTGAGCCAATATCAATCGTTGTCTTTCACAATTGCTGCGATACTCCTCCCTTTTGTGGCCCTTCACAACAGCACCTCCGCAGAATATCAGATCGTATCGACTGTCCACGAAAGGACGATCTCTTCTGAACTTGGGCCGGTCAGGGTGTTGGTCTGGCAGGTCAAACTCGATATCCATTTTCTGAAATGTACATGGTGATATCACCATATACTATTTCCCGGAATATGTCTTTCTCCATCACCTCATAACCGCCCAATTCCGGAGGAAGAGTTACCGCATCGATATGAGACTCTGGCAATTTTTGCCTTGCGGTGGCACTAAAGCCCCCGGGAGCCATGCAGAGATCGAGCACACGTGGTCTATCATTGTCAATTTTGAAAACCTTTGTTCTCCATGCCATTTCTTTCCCAATCTGTAGCGTCACCTTGTAAAACCCCTTCTTTTTCTTTTAGCCCTGATTAGGGGTAGCCGCCGCCTTTCGCCGAGCTTCCCAGTACGTATCACCAGCCTCTGTTTGCCAGCCCTGCAATTTCGGTCAGCCACCAAACTTCTCATAGCTAGCGATGTTTTGACCTTTTCTCTTAGATCCTCTAACTCGCGAAGATGTGGGTCGGCGTAGACAAAGTCTCTCCATGCTGCGGGCTTGCATTCTTCAGCCATAGCGATGATAGTTCAAGGTAGACTGTCGCGATCTGCTTCACTTAGAGGAATGGTTTGGCGGTAGGGAGAAGACTATTCCTCGACATCCCTGCAGTCTCTGACGTGGCAGTGAGGGGCATTGAGGTGTTGGAAAGTCGTCTCGACTCTTACTCAGCAAGCCCTCTTTACAGCTACGGAGTACAAGTCACACTCCTCGCGAACAAGTATAGTCTGCTCAAATTATGCTGCCCGAAAATGCCCACTATTCCATCTGATACACTTATATCTTCGTTTCTGGCTGGCCGGAGGACAGTCAAGGGAACAGGGCCCGTGATGGACAGGTATAGATATCTCTGATCCAGTGATGCCGTTCCCATTGACTCCTACTTCCTGCCCATTGTCTTCCTGCTCTTCGCTCAAGACAAGTCTAGTTCGGTTCGGGTTACTATTGACTTTACGACATTACCTTCATACAGAAACAGATTACTTTGGTTGGTCGAAGGTGCCGTAACATCAGGGTCTGGAAGTAAACATGCCCTAGGAACGCGTCTTTGCCAGGATGATCTGTCTCATAACCTTTCGTCTATCTTCACCCCCGATGCAAGGATGGCCTATACAGCAGCCCCTACAGCGTGTACCTACGGAGGCCCGATGATAAGGAGCCAATTGAGGCTGGTCGTGCATACAAGTCATTTTTACTATTCCTGGATGGATTTCAGTCCGTGGTCCGGTCTACACCTAGAGGCCATTTTTGGCGAAACAGGCTCCCTCGGCTGTACATGCTTTGACTTTTAGGTAGCACGCGAGCTAGGGAGAGACTCGACAATCTCTCGCGTCTGATGATAAGCAATATGGGCGGAAGAAGCTACAGTTATCCCCCTATTAACTTCACTTCATGCATCTGCCAAATCCTTCCAAGGTGGGCTAGTTCAGGAAAGATAGATCACTGGTTGACCCCATCTCAGCTCCTCTGTGTGCGTGAGTTGTCGATGCCGAGTGGATATACGATGCAATCCTCCGTATAAGAGCTGGAATTGGTGACGAAATACGGCCAGTCGGGCGAGATGAGTCGTACGGCCACTTAGATGGACCAGTTCCTTATATTATTGTACTGGCGAAACTGGATAGCTCAGCTGATTCTCGGTTCGGTCTAGACAATGTTGCCCTCCGAGACCGCTCACAACCTGGCATTGGCGGTCAGGCCACTAGGCTTCGAGCGATAAGGGACCATGTACTTACTGTGGTGATCAGGCTCTCACTGTTATTCTTATCCCCGCTACTCTCCCACCACATGGCGCCTCCGAGTCGGTTCGTCGAATATATTTTGCTTTCCACGATCCCACCAAGGGCGTGTCATAACTGATCATCATTCGTCTGGCTCCATCGTAGCTGTAGCTCGCGACAAGATCCTCCAGATTGTACTGAGTCGATCCGTCCGGGGGCAGATTTTTGTAATCCCACACTTCATCTTGTAGTAAGGCTAACTATCTTTAGTCTAAACTAATACTTAACTCTACTTTAGTTATACGTAGCCCTGTTAGTAATAACTACAGGCCTTAGAGCTAGGTAAACCCTTGTGACTTTTGCTCGCCCAAGGCCTTGAGAATTTTATAGATTAAATATAGATGTAGATAGATTAGGGACCATGCTGAAAATTTCAACTACTTTCTAAGAATCTGGTGAATTCAGGATTTCTAGCTATTTCACTTCATACACTGAGAATGAAGACAGGCTACGAGACGAACACCATCCTGATATGCGTCCACTGTCGGAGGATTCTCCTGATTCAGAGCACGGGCTGTTGGCATGATCCGGGAGCTAGAAATGAAGAATTTGAGAAGCACTATATAGATTGGACTGACTGCAATTCAACGCTCGATGGATTATCAAGTTAATAAGGTCAGTAGGATTGAGATAGTAAGGAAAAACTGTCATGCCCATTTTCACTAGGGTCGTATAAAACTCGAGTCGTTATGCAAAACTTCCATACCTATATTCAAGCTAGCAATTTCAGCAACAGAAATAGAAGAGCAGTACCAAAAACTTCAACGTCGCATAATTCCACTCAGTTAATGGAAGCACAGAAGCAGCCTAACACAATTTAGTATTGTTGTTCTGAACCGACGGCAGAGGTCGCTCATTCATCAAAATCCCAAACCTCCGCGGGAGGGATCCAACTATAGTCACCCTCATGCTTCGTGCCGCAGCGAGAGCAGATAATGTTGTGAGCGGGACTTGGTCCTGTCGGCCCTGTTTTCAAGATATTCAACATGAATTCTGGAGTATGCACGCCAGCAAACATTGCGTTGTGGACCATGTCATCAAGACCAGTATGTTTACCACAGCAAGAGCAGACTCCTCTATCTTGCAGCATGATATTGCCGCGAATCGAGAGATCGGAGACTGTGCAAAGGCCGCGTCAACGAGAGGTTTTCTTGATGAAGAACCCTTGTACTTATATACTTACTGTCAACCGTCAGCATCTTCGCGATATGAGCGCGCTCGGTGGCGGTCATGATCCAACAGTAGCCTTTACCAAAGCTGTAGTCTCGTTCCTGCGAGGGGAGGGGTTGGTCCATGGGTAAATCATGGATTGGAAGTTGAGTGATCATTGCTATTGTTAATGTGAAGAAACAATCAGATCTGGGATAGTCCGGTAATTGTTCTGCAGTATGGGACAGTAGTTTGAAGAATTAGGGTTGGGAGAGGGCGTGAGCCATCTTATTTACTTGCCAAAAGATGCTTTATTCCTTTTGCCCTTTTGCTCTTTGCCGTTGAGGCAGGTGAAGCTAGTCCTAAGGCTTCGCTAGTGGTTTGGTGTCACTTGCTGCTCCTTCTCTTCCTTTGATTGCTTGATGCATTGAAACATCAATGTACACCAATCGGACTGTGTGCTTACCCCGGGCCGCTGGGCTGTCTGATTCTGATTCTGACCGTGGCTGCAGATCGTCTACGCGATGCTGCCCAAGAGGCCACCTCCTCATTACTATCCGAGGCTTCCAAGGATAGACTCTTTGCCAACAGCAGAGTAGGTCTAATCCTGAAGCATTAGATAGCGCTAGAAGCGCCTCACTTTTGACTTGAAAGGGTGTGTGCGGCCACGCAATTTAATTGTCAATAATTGGCGGAAGGAGGTCTTTTCTTAGTGCTGTTTGCACTCAACTAGTGCTTATAGGAATATAAAATGTGTGTCTCCCAATACAGAAAGACAGAGATGGCAGATGAATAAGTTCACAGCGTACAAAGTATCAATATTGACTTTTCAGGTATTGACTTTTCAGGTTGTTTTGATAACAAGACAACTGTGAATAGATATGAACCAGTAGGCCTGCAGACTGGCACCCACACGTTGTTCCTGTTCATCTCCAAATATAGAAAATTGGTTGCCTTTTACTCCTCTAATAGTATCGCCACAAAGTCCTGTGAATTAATAGTCTTCAGCCTTTGTGACGCTGCAATAAACACCTCAGAATGCTGGATATGAATTCTTCTCACTGTCGTCAGCCCTATTACACATCTCCGTTCCGGTTGACAGTGCTTATCAGACCACTCCTACTGTCATTCATCGAGAGATTGGAGAACCTCCGCAGGCGTGCTTGTCCTCATCCAGAGGGCGCCAGATGCCCCTGGGGAGACAGGAAGGCGGTCTAAGGAGCGATTCATCATCACCCACTGTCTGCGTAACAAGGCCAGATACGCAGCCTTCCTTGCCAGCAAAAGAAGCCATCAGTCAGCACAAGGAGCTCTAGTTACCGAGGCTCGATCTTCCAAGCAGAGAGATACAAATGACGAACTGGTGCCATACGCTCTTCACCAAGATTGTCTCGTATTGATGTCCGGATAGACCCAGCCAGAACGGACGCAGAAGCCAGAAAGCTCCCAAACTCAGTTACGGCGTTTACTGCGCACCAAGTTTCGGAGGCTGCAACAGACCTTGTGGGACAGGATTAAGTTACAACCCCAGTCCTAAAGCAAACCCTCTCACGGAAACTGCCCTAGCAAGATTCTGTAATGTAATCAGACACTAAACTGGCCCGAACAATGATCCAAACTCCTATTTTGATCACTGTCACCATAATTAAGCCACCAGTACCAAGGGCTGATATGCTGAAAGAAAAGCGACTTCAATCAGCACTATAGGCTTACCAAAAAGGCCAAATCTTGTCTATTACAAAGGTAGTAAAGGCTTATAATCTGCCTCCATCCATCTTGAAGACGTGCGCCAAAGGGACCCCTTCTTGCACCAACTTGACTCTAGATTGCCGCAAACCCACCTGTACAGAAGAGGCCACACATTTCCACATAGATTGTTAATGTGGAATGATAATCTATTCTAAGCTTCGTTGGTGTACTATTTCCTTCCGCTTTGATTTCCCTGACATTGAGTTTGGAATCATATACTAAATATAGGCCCGTCTTAAGTGATTTTGTCAACATTCACTCATTAAGTTACCTATCTATTACTCACCCAACTAGATTGACCACATCAGAATCAAATAATAAACTTCCACTTTCTCTTCATTTTTCATCAATACAACGACAAACTAACCGAAAGCACTTCAAAGAAGCCTTCGAAAAAGTTTCTCGTATGATAATACTCGCCCTAACCTTAGATATCTAGAGACAGAAGCAAATTTCTCAGCGACTGCATCAGTCCCTTCAAGAACTCTTTCAATTTCATCATGGAAACACCAGTAAATCATAATCCACAACCCAGTTACTACAACGTCGAGTCTAATCGTGTCTAGGCTGAAGTCATCCCAAAAGGCTGGACCAACGATCCCCGGTTCTTCGAAGGGTTTTTCTTCCATGACTCTGCGGAGGCCCACCTGGCCCGATGCCACGGGATAAATGATCCCAAACTTCTCTTGATGACGACCCCCGATACTGGGGACATGGGATACATAATTACATCGAGCGGCCGTTTTTACTGGGGTGATCTGATGATTGATCACATCGCGGAGATCACCAACCCCAGGACCTGGCCGGAGATTCTGCGCGCTCTTGCAACGAAGGGGGAGAGGGGTTTGAGGATGAGGGTGCTTCGGCCGGTGGTTGTGGGTGAGGAGGAAATGGTTGTTGAAGGGCAAGGCCCGTCTGTTACTTCCAGTTCAGACGTTCCTTCCACTTCAGAGAAGTGACAGCAATTGAAATCGTTCTCAGCATTTGTTGTCCAACGTAGCCTTGTAGAGGATTGTAGACGCCGTTCTGGAGTAATTCACTATGGCTGAACAGTTGCTATCGTGGCTGAACGGCTGTGTCGATGTCTGACAGGCGTATACCATGAGCTGGAGCGATATTATCGCGCTTTTAGCGGGTATCGCCAGCAACCCGGGTGTATACGGAGTTCCCCTGGAGAAATGCCGCCAACCTGCGATTAATACATGTGGATATCATGCGACTGTGGTAAGCTGGTAGTCAAACAAGCATATTCAAATATAGCTGATTTTGAAGAAAGCCGCCCCGATGGCCCCGGCTACCTCGTCCCGCCGCCACCGCAAAATCTCGACCGCAACGCTCATCCCAACTGGCCGTCTTCCCTTGCGCGATTTTGGCTGATAAAGTCGGCGAACGATGGGGTGGAATACTGGGCCCTTCCGGACATCCTGGGGCTCTTTATGAGCAGTTTAGGTCGAGCACCGACGGCAGCGAGCAAGAGGAATTTCTACCTCCCGCTGACCGCTGTCTACGGACAGTGGTGTATAAAACTGATCAGGAAGGGTATACGCACTTGGCCAAGAGTGTTTCAGTGCACCTCGACCGAAGACGAGGAGTTTTATCTTGGAGCCTCCAGAGGGGGATTTACGCCCGATAGGCGGATAGGATCCTGGCTTGCCGTGTTGGACAGGGCTCGGTACGGGATCATTAGGTCCCCATTACTACAGCTGACCAATTGGTCACAAGCTTGGGCTCCTACCATCCGAGCTCGAGGCCGAGAAAGGCGCAGGCTGTTTGGCCGTTGTGCGGAGACATATCCTGTTCACAAACTTCTGATGTTCGTCTCATCCCCCGCTATTGCTATTCCCAGAAACATTTCCTAGTGAGGGACAGAGGTAAAACCGAAGAAGAGGCGGCGAAGGTGCAAGGTTAGCGTTATGCAACAGCTACATACACCTGGCCCCTAGCTACGACGATCGACTCTCTGGGAGGATCTGGGAGAGCCTCTGGGACCCCTGTGACAATTGTCGAGTCCTCATCAGCATCAACAAGGCCAATATTCTCAACTTCGGCTGATTCACCGGAAGCGTGGGAGCCCCGCCTTGATTGTGAATGGACGTCGAAAGTCGGTTTGCGGACGGCCTTGGACATGTCGGTAAAAGATCTCCCCTGTGCATGTTGACCTGGCCAGGTGTCTGGATGGTGACGAGAAGAAAATACCGGAACCCGGTAGGGGCTTCTCCGTCCGTGGAGTTTGGGAGCCGCCTTTTGTGGCCTGACACACCGAAAGGACCTACCACCGTCTAGCGGAAAGCAAACCGCGTTACCAAACTCTAGCCTTGACAAAGGTATTGACATTGGGGATATCTTGCCATTCGATGACTGTTTGACCCGGTTGAAGTCTCGATGCAGACATCTTGAGCCCTGATGCGTTGAAGGCCTGTCCAACACTGGACGGGAGAGGCATACAAGGAGATGGCACAAAGATCCATGTCGTTATGGCTATGAGCTGAATTTGGCGGGGCTACTAAGGACTTTAGCCGGCGCTCGCCTGTAACATGCATAGTCTACTCTCAACAATAATGGTCCTGGACTCCTGGTCACTCAGGACTTTGGTTTCTGATATACGTCTCTTGTCTTTCCGCGGTACTGTTTTTAAATCATCATAGTGGGTTTCGCACCAGATCCATCTGTGAGAATTCGATACAGTCACTAAGGATTCATTTTATGATTGTATCTTTGCGGAAGTAGTGGCAATAGGTAGTACATTCGGCAAAAAGTAAAAAAGCTTCAAAAGTCCACATTGTAGGTATAGTCCGCCGTTATAGCGGACTATTTGTACAAAAGGGACTTTTGGATTGTTTTTACTGTTCACCGCACGTATTACCTACTGCCACTACCTCCACGAATCTCCTACCTTACTATGGTTGCACTTGATGAGAATTTAATATCAATACTACATGGCATTCAATGTCGATACTAGATGGCATTCAATATCCTACTAGGTGAGAATTTAATATCAATACTAGATGGCATTCAATATTAATACTATAGTAATTTAATATCTTATGGTTAAGTTATACGAGAATAATCATCTTTATTAGTAATTAGTATGAATAGTACGTAGTAGTATTAATATTTAATATTATCTAGTAGGAATAGTGCAGTGCGTGCGACCGTACCAAGGGGTGGTGTGGTGAGATGTAATCATTGTAAAAAAACCAAAAGTTCCTTATGTACAAATAGTCCGCCGTAGTACGGCTTGAGACTCCATTGTACCTGTACATGTCATCCGCTCACCGCCTCCTCCAAAGCTGTGAAGCCTGTTGAGTGAGCAGTCTGAGCCTCTTCGGACACATCTCTCAAGCCCGGCCCTGAACCATGGGACTAGGACTACTCCATAATTCCGAAACCTTCGTGCTGATAAAATGACTCCTACAAAGGCTCCCGATGAGATATTTCCAATCACAACATTCATTTCGGAGCTACCGACCAGTTTCGTTCCGCAGTCCCTCCCATCATCTTCCGAAAATGGCCCTGTCAGCAGACGCTTGGTCATTGTAGGCGATGTGCATGGGATGAGAAAATCCCTCGAGGCGCTCCTAGACAAAGTTGGGTTCGACAAACGCAAAGGAGATCATCTAATACTAGCTGGCGACCTGGTCAATAAAGGGCCCGATAGCCCTGGTGTGGTTGATCTAGCTATCAAGCTGGGAGCCAGCGCAGTGAGAGGCAACCACGACAATGCAGTTCTTAATGCGGCCGCGGAGATCAAAACCACAAAGGCTAGTTCCATACAACAATCTGGAGGCTTCACGGGCAGTCCGGCCCTACCAGAAACCCCTGAAGCCGACGTGCCCGGGGATACTGTCCAAGACCCCGAGATACCTGACAAAGACGCATCTACTACAACCGGCGCAAGTATGAAACATAGCGCAGCAACATATAGTACAGCATTGGCACTTTCGACCAGCCAGCTCGACTGGCTTGCCGCTCTGCCTTTGATATTGCGCGTCAAGCTGCCTCCTAACTTGAGATCCTCCTTCGGCGATACTTTAATTGCTGTACATGCGGGCCTCGTTCCTGGTATCCCGCTTGAAGCACAGGATCCACACGCTATCATGCATATGCGGTCTCTCGTCCGCACACCTGGTGACGAGAGTGAATTCAAACCTGTTGAAACCTTCGGGGAAGAAGGCTGGGCTATGGAATGGGACCGATGGCAAGATAAGCTAGCGTCCAAGACTACTGTGATATTCGGACACGATGCAAAGCGTCGTTTGCAACTGGGAAGGTATTCCATCGGACTGGATTCAGCGTGTTTATATGGCCATCGGTTAAGCGCGCTTGTGATTACGGGTTGCGATGGAGAAATCAAGCACCAGATTGTTCAAGTCGAATGTGCTGATGAGCCTGTACTCCCAACGGATAGTTGAAAAGTACAGCAAGCCAATTGGACAGAAATATATATATATAAATATATGGATGACTTACGGCTACGGGGGAGATCGGTTTACTGGAGATTGACACTGAATGCGTAGAGGAGGAAAGACATTGATTTGCAAACTAAAGATCAAAGCAAAGCGGAAGCAAGGCAATCAAGAGATGTAACAGAATATCAGTAAAGCATAAACAACAATCAAGCAATCTAACAGTCATTGATTCGAGTCCTCTCCGTCTCACGATGGATTCATCTAAGTAGAGTTGGGGTTGGGAAGGGCGTTCTGTAGGTATTTCAGTATGTTAGTAATTCATAGTTTTCTGCTAGTAGTAAGCACCTAACTATTTTTAGGTTTCAATTTCTCTTCCCTTAGGCGTATTAAATGATTTATATCATCAGATAGCAGGGATACTAGATAATCTGAATCGCCATATAGCAGTAGAGTTATATTAGGTCCAAGTTCAGTTCTAACCTTTGAAACTGTCACTGAACTATTATAACTTAAGTTGAAATTTTTGGAAATCAGATCCAAATCAGATCTGGTCTGATGAGGCTACGATTACATGGGCCGCGATAGAAGTTATTTAGCATCAAGGGTTGACACAGACTTTGAATGCAACAGATCACCATGCCAACACCCATCCCTTCTCCCATGCTCCCTTCCTGGTCATCTCCTCCAGACCGTGAATCGAAAGGACTTGAGAAGTGGCATTATACTCAGCAGATTTGACCTTCCGGCCATTAAACCTGATCTGCGATGGTGCCTTCTTGACCCCCAAAACTGTCACCTTGTGCATATTGTTCCGTTCTTTCCAACAACCAGCAACAGAGGCAACCAGTTTCGTACCGGATGAGGCAACTAAATTGACTGTAAGGGTTTCCTCCGGACTAATACTCTCCCCATCATCCAGGTAAAGCTGGCCTGCCGCATCCCCCTTGTCATCCAGCGCAACCAGCAAAGACCATGACGTATTCCTCGCCTCGCGTGTTGTCAGCGCCGGCTCCTGCATTGGAATGACATGCCCGCCCCGAACAAAAACCGGGATATGCCCCAGCGGCGCCGGGATAGTCGTGTTCTTCCCCGGCTGGGCATAATCTACCTCACGCTGCGTGTACCAGTCATACCACTTCTCGCCGTGCGCCAGACCAGGGAAGACTCCCTTAACTGCATTCGCCTGCGGCACTAAAACGGGAATAATCATTAAGGCCGGACCGAGCAGGAACTGCGTCTCCACGGCCGCCAGAGCCGGATCATCTGGGAACTCCCATGCCAGCGCGCGCATGACCGTCGAACCCGTGGCGTGAGCCTGATACATCAACGTGTACATATACGGGAGAATAGAATAACGGATCTTCATTGCGTCTTGCGACGCCTTGATGACCGAGGCCCAGCGGTATGGTTCTTGCGGGATAGCAGCCAGCCGGTTGTGGTTGCGGTAGAACGGGAAAAAAGCAGAGAGCTGCATCCACCGGTTGCAGAGTTCCTCGTCGGTGTTTCCGTCGAAGCCGCATGTATCGACGCCGAACATGGGAATGCCGTACAACGAGAAGGAGAGGGCGTGGGGGATGGATGAGTACATATATGCCCATTTGGCGTAGTTGTCTCCGCCCCAGTGGCCAGCCCATTGGCCAGAGCCTGCAAAAGTTGAGCGGCCGATAATGAAGGGGCGTTTGTTCGGACTGATGGCTAGGAGCCCTTGGTAAGTCGCGTTGATGACTTGGTGCCCGTACAGGTTGTGGACATCGTATTCGAGAGTTCCATCTATGTGGGTGGCGTTGGGGGAGAGGGCATGGGCTGCTAGGTCGTGGCCGGATTGGACGTTATTTATCGCGTAAGGAGGGTAGTTGATATTGCGGGCACCAGGAGTAGGAGTTGTACGTAGATAGGTGATTGCCGTGGATGTGACAGGGTCCTGAGTGGCAGAATTGGCCGCGTCCTGGCTTGAAGCAGCTGCGGATGCCGAGGCGGCTTCCGTAGAGTTTGTGACGTTGAATCCTTCAGGATAGTCGAATAGACGATATCCGGGATCACCGGGTAGCTTGAAAGGGGGATGGGCAGGATTGTGAATAATGAGATTAGACCCGCAGCTGCCCACGCAGAATGAAGAAGCCTCGTTCATATCCATCCAGATGCCGTCAAAGGCTACCTTCTCATGGTATTTGACCAGTTCGTTAGCCCAAAAGTCCACCGCTTTGGGATGATGGAAATCCGTGAAAACGGTGTATCCAGGCCACACAGAGCCGATGTACAGACTGCCGTCCGGGTTCTTGAGCCAGGCATCATCCGCTGTACCCCTGGTGTAGGTATCATAACTACGCGTGGTTAGCGAGACTCGAATTTGAACAATGGCGCCAGACTCACGCATCGGAAGCATTCTCAGGGTTTGGCACGTAGATACCGGTATCGAGTATAGGCACATAGTGTCGGCCGCTCTTGTGCAGTTTGTTCAAGAATTTCCTACCCTCTTTGTACCCGAAAGTGTTCTGGTCGTTTTCAAAGTTGCGGTACTGGTTCATATAGTCGATATCAGTCCTTAGTATTTCGTCAGTACAGTGTGGAAACAGCAGCCGGAAAAAGCGTGCCAGATAGTCTCCAACGGAATCTTGAACTTCTCGAAATTGTCCACAACGTCTTCGAGCTCGGCCCAATTACGATATCCCCAGCGAGACTGATGATAGCCGAGAGTGAAGTATTGTTGCATTGCAGGCAATCCAATGGTGCTGACCTGATAATTCTGGGTTACAGCAGTCTGAGAAGGACCGGCATAGAAGTAGAGATCAATACTGCCACCGATGGCGCGCCAAGTCAGACTGTCTGGCAGTAGCTTCACTTCCTGACCATGCGCATTTCGCAGGTACACTCCGTGTGAGAACGAAGTGTACTTTTTGGAGCGATCGGTAGTGTTGCTTGAGACTGGGGTATACGTCCGGTTACCCGAGCCAATTTCATAGTATCGAGTCTCAAGGTAGAAGGGATGGGCGCCATACAGGTTCCTTCTCGTCAATCAGTAAATGCCCGTTTAACTGCGTTGGCAACTCACGTATTAAAAGGATCACCAATATCCGCCGCGTAGGTTGTCAAGGTCAGGTTGTTGTGCAGCCTAAAACTGGTAATGTGCTCGCCCAGACCGTAGAGGTTATAGTCATCCGGTAGGGAGGACTTGAACTCCAGGAATTGATCCTCAAACACCAAGACGCTACCCTCAGTGTTAAAGAGCACGTCACCGTTTGCCTTCCGAGTCACTTTAAAATTGAAAGTGGGATCATTAGACCAGGCAATCTCTAGGTCACTGCTGCCCAGTGACATGCCGCCCGCAGCCTTGGGCTTGGCAACCAGGCTTTCCGGAAGAATATACCAAGAGGAGTTGGAGGTATCAATATTAGCCGGGGTGATTTGAACATTGACGCGATCGGGCGCCTGGTACTCAACCGTGAAAGTCAAGCGATCCAAGTCTGTTCCGTAAACGTTGCATGGCTTCCCAGCCAGCTCGAGAGTGGCCGTCAGGCCGGACCTGGTTTGGCGGACATCCGACGCCTTGTAGCCCGGGCAGACCCCTTGCGCATCGACAGCTTTGGGATCCTCAATATTGGCAAGCACGTTCTGGCCGTTGGAGGCCGACGAGGGAATGGTGTACTGAGAACTCGCGGAGCTCTTGGTCGCAGTAGGAAGGCTCAAGCAATGAGCAACAGTAACCAGCCAGAGGCTGCACATATGCTTGGAGAGACCGACCATCCTGAGAAGTTGGAAATAGATCTTCTGAGATGGTTGTGGTTTTGTTTTCGACTGAGGCAACCGGCAGCCTTATACATCCTCAATGTGCGATGTCGGGACCATATGGATGGACCGAGCAGGTAACCTGGAGTTGATGAGTAGAGCTCTCCTTGTCCGCAACATAGAACATGCGTAGCTGCTAAATGGACACAGTGTCCGCCAAATCTCCGCGCAATGCCCGCCCTGACGCTGGATTTGGGAATTGGGACTCGTGTACGGGGATGGGTGATAGAGGTAAGTCTCGACTTCAACAGCTTACAAAATCCCCTCCAAGTCTATCAAGTAATCACTAATATGATTCGCGGTATCATCGTGCGGCCTGTTATTAATTCTCAAAGTTCTAAGACCTCCTCGCGGAATGATTCGCTCATCCGCCGAGGCTTTTCTCCGGACATGCTGCAGGGTCTAATGGCGGTTTTCTCTTGAGTCAGGGAGTATGCTAAGCCCATGTGGCGCTTCGTATTCGGCTCAGCCTGACCCAATCACTACCGTAGGAGTGGGAGGACGGTGGCAGGTTCTTGAACTGGGTGAGTAACAAGATCTTCTCCAATGATCTTATTAAGCTCTCATGTCGGACCGAGTGCTACACAAAGTCACCTCTTTCCTTGGTCGTTCATGTACAACGAATTATCGGAGCGAATTTCCTGAGTAACGGCGTTCAAAGTGCGCATTGCAGCGATATGTCGCTCACTGGTCATATGATATGCCCATAGTCTGTGGCGAGCTGTTCATTGCATTCCTCGACTAGTGGCGACCTGGTTGACGGTCACAGACAATACATCATGGAAATAAAGTCAAGGAAACTTTCTAGCTTCAGTACTTAAAAAAACTGAAAGATTGCAACTTGGCCTTTGACAAAGAGCTAATAACTAGTATTTACATAACAGGAGGGAGACAGTTATGTCACTTAACTAACCACATCACTAACCCTGCAAGGCTGTTGTGCACAGAACAGCTCATGCAATCAAGGATTCTATCCAAAAGCTATTTTTCTCGGCAATATCAGCCGGACGCTCACCCTATCAAGTTCGACGTTTGATCTAAATAACCCAAGCTTCCGCAATGATTTAATGCACAAGATGACCCTGCTCTAATGTAGATAATTTAACATACTAACTATTATGTCCTCCCTATATGGTGTCATGATCTCTCGCAGTGGTTGTGGATAGTCATCGTTGGGGCAGTAGATCTCAATATGAGGAATCGACTAGTACAACTAACTTGAGAACTGTTATTTAGAGCCTTTTCAGTGAGCAGCCTTATGGATGAACACAAACCTTCTTGTGTCAGCACTCCGAGTCAGAGCGTACGCCAGTACTGGTTGTTTATTTTTTCGAAAATGCAGTAGTCCAGCCCTAGTAAGTGAATGACTATTTCCAGGAAACTCTCACCCATTATAGCCAAAAGAGCGTTGCCTCCCTCTGTCTTGTTTAACAGCCTCCTTTTATTAGCATTCCAGTTTCAGATCACGACTCTAGAACAGCTTCCGACTATCGTTTTGCCAGAGGACAGTCATTTGCTTCCCACCCGCATTAATCTCCGTCCCTTAGTTTTCCTATCACCCTCACAATACCGATGCCCTCGTATGAACTTTGATATTTCACACCTGGCCCCTTGGAATCGCCAAGATTTGAGACAACGATGCAGGATGGAACCCCGGTTTCCTCACTGTTGTCCACGAGAAATGAAACCACGCAATTGGCCACTGCGCGACACCTCTCTGTTATTTTGAAGTGCTCGGTCCGAGATCGACCCTTCAAAAAATACTGCAGCTGTTGCAATTCAAATGATTATTTTATGTCGTATGTTTTCCGAAGTGCGGTCTACTCTCCGGAGCCGGGGATTTGACAAGGGTCCATCAAATGCGTTGTCTAATGCCAAAGGCACCCTTTCACACGTGGATTGCTGCAAGGATGGCATAGGCATATTATTGCAGAACATGATCAGCACATGTATGACCGGAGGAATACCCTAAACAGACCCCATCCGAAGACAACTATTGCACCCTCATGCCTGGGAATGCTCTACGCACACGGAAGGATACACATCTATGTCTGACTTCGTCACGGAGCAGTTACCGTGAAAGAGTTATTTGTGGTAGGTTGAAAAGTCCGTGAAACGAAAATCAAGTGCCGTCCGTTGTCTTTCCGAGACTGACGTAGAATCTCCGCAGGATGAGCCTTGTCCCTCAATCCAGATATAACATCCGAACCGGGCCGACAAAAGGGCTCAGATGTCGCAAAAATTATCTTCTATCAGCGACTAAGCACTAAAATTGATCAACGGTTATTCGAGTATCAATGGAGGAAAAGAAAGAAAATCCACTACATCGGAAAGGATCGCACTTGACAAACTGTGTTCGTTAACTCGCCTTGCATACTATGCAACAAAATCGACTAAAAGAAGGGCCCAATATCGTTCAATGGTTGATAATATTACTTGTGCTTTCACTCCTTCACCTCTTGCATCGTCTCATTGCGAACAAGACCCTCCTGGGAGGGGGACACACCGATGGCATACGGATCCACGTGGGTGGAGGCGAACTTGCGAGCAGGGGTTTTGGTCGCAAAGAGGATGTCCAGCTCAGCATAGGTACGCCCCTTGGCCTCAGGCAGACGGAAGAATGCCCAAGTGAAGATGAGCAGCGCCGTGCCACCCCAGAAGAATCCAGTCTTGCCAGACGCGTTCCAGGCAGTGGGGTTCATGAAATAAGGCTCCAGCACCTGCGAAATGACATTGACTACCTGGTAGGCCGTGCGCGCAAGGCAAACAGTCAAGGGTCGCAGACGCACCGAGGAAGTCTCCGATACAATGGCATATGTGATGGGCCCAATGGTCAGAGCGAAGACGAACAGCCAGAGGAAGCAGAACGAGGCTTGCGCCCATAGGGCGCCGGTGGTATGGGAGGTCGAGTTGACGATCCCAATGATGAACAAGAAAGTGCAAAGAAGGCCCTGACCCCAAATATAGAGGGTTCGCCGGCCAAAGTAGGTGATCAGCCACCAAGATAGCGCAGTTCCGACCAAAGCCACTCCGGTACAACCCACGCCTAGCTGGAATGCCCGGTTGTTATCCATGCCGGCCTGCTCGAAGAAATACGTGGGGGAGTAGGCAAACGTGCTGCCGGACAGAATCTGGCCACAGAAAGCCACACAGCAGATTTCTGTGCGGCGCAAATCGACCCCCTTGAAGCAGTCCCAGTACGTGGTGCCTGCTTCGATCTCGGACTCAATTTTAGCCGTGTGGACCATCATCGCCAACTGGCCATTGACTTGATCCTCAGTCTTGTCTCCCCCCAGGCGACGGATACTGCGCTTGGCTTCCTCGAGACGATCGCTGCGGACCAGGTACCAGGGACTCTCCGGGGCCAACCAGCAGATAACTATCAAGGGCACTGGCCAGATCCACTGCAAGGCAAAAGGGATGCGATAGGACCATTGATCCGACCGGTGTAAGAGACCATAAAGCACGCCAGATGCAATCATCTGGCCAATGGCCCAGCACATGTTGACATAGATTGTAAGGTAGCCACGCAGGTTGGTCGGGCAAACCTCTGAAGCGTAGGCGGGTCCGACCGTCGCGAACACGCCCCAGGACAGACCACAGAGGACCTGACCTACGAGAAGCACACCGGCGGAGTTGGCGAAAAAGACGATGAAGATGAACGCGGTCAAGAATAGCAGCGCAATCATCATGACCTTGCGATACCCAAACTTGCTGGCAAAGTAGCCATTCAGGAGGCCACCTGGGGGGAAAAGAAAGGAAGACTCAGGTCAGCTCACAAGGCGACTATTACAACCACAGCTACTATAAAGCTCCTGCAACTCACCAAAGATACAACCAACTGTGCTGGCCATGTTCAGCCCGGTCTGCCAAGGGGCCGACACCTGCCAGCCAACTTTTCCGCCATAGTATTGGCCATACTTTTTCTGGAATGTGGGATAGGCAAAGAAGTTGCCCATCAGGATGGTATCGTATCCCTCCATGATAATCGACATGGAAATCAAGACAGACCACATGACTGCCTTGCGATTGGCTCGCAGGGCTTGCCAGAGGTTTTGTGCATGCTCTTCATCGGTGGCCTGCTTCGCCTCAATGATAGCACCAGCACCCAGCGTATCCTCCACATGATGGGCAGCCGACTTCTCCAGAGCGATCGTGGCTTGGTTCACGTCCGTCACCATATTGAGGGCTGATGATTAAGTCAATAAAAGCGCTGCAAAGCACCGGGGACAGGATCCCGTAGTTCTCGAATTTCGTGAGGTGGGGGGTTAAAGTGGTCTCGATATCTCCCTTGACGGAAATGGCTCGATCGCCAGGGAACCCCGCCCTGTCTTATACGCCTGGAATTCCAGCGGACTGGCGGGTTGCATGTTCCAGGCAGAGGAGGATCTCGGTAGTTGGGGAAAGCCAGGAAACAGGCTTCGGGTTGCATTTAGGCTAATAGACACAGCAGGAGCTAGAGACCGGAGCTAGTCATAAGACTTCGCACAGATTGTTCAGGTGCCCCTGGGAGCCTGGAACCAAACTTTTCGGAGGAGGGATCAGCAATTCATACTTTTCCGCACCCATTAAAGCTAGCGTCGACGGTACGGAGCTAGAGGGGTAGGGTTCATATTGAGCTAGATCGAATTACCCCACAAGTAGCGTGCGGAGAACTATAAGGCTCAACCAATAGTGGGATGTAGCTCTACTAATATCCGAGGGAATACCACTTCTCCAGTGTGATTTATTATATTAATATAACCCTGCTCTAATTTCTAGGTCTGCCTAGCTATGGGTCGGTATAATGTGGGGATTTAGGGGTAGCCTTGGTGCGGGATAGGTTTGTCTACTCTGAGTCTCTGTACATATAAAATCCAGTGAAATCGAACATCTGGCGCGGGGATCAGGATTGGCAAACCCGGTATTCTCCGTCCATGTACCTCACTCACACAGTAGTTCATCATCAAGCCACTTCTGGAGAATCCCAGTGGCCTTTCATGAATCTCAGTACCGCTATATTATTGGAAATTTACCTTGACTTTATCCCCAGTTTTGCTTATGGTCTACTTGCATTGACGAAAGCCCTCCGTCTGCAGGCGTGGCGGTGCATGGCTCTGAGACTCCCGCTAAGTAGGTAAAGATCTAACGACCCCACGGGGAAGACTGTGGACTGCGGAAAAGAATAAGGCTTTCAACCAACCAGGCTTGCTGAATCCCGGAGCTAACGGAGAGAGCAATGTCGCCGGTTGGACAATGGCGAACAGTAATGACGCCTCAGCTTCTGCAGTCTCAAACCGCCGCTTACCAGTATCGCTGCTGCGAGGAAACTATACTCATCGCTCCGGTCTATTCTACCCATATCAACGCTTCTCCTAGTTTGCTATGCTCGAGCGAATGCATCACCCCATGAATTCGTCTATTGCATCCACAGTTGGCGGCCGCTTGCAGTCGGTTCCCGATGTCCCTTAACAGCAGCATGCTTTTATCCGAAGGTGGGAATGGACAATACATCCGCTCCTCCGGTTGTATAGGATTATATTCGATTCAACGAGATTACTGTGGCGCTGGATGAACCTCATTAATACGCCAACAGCAAAGTAATGTACCGCAGATTTGGGCTACATTTTGCCTGCTTTGAACCTTTTTTTCTTTTCATGTATCTGTACCTATAAATCGGCCGTGAAGCTGGAGGATGACTTGAAATCAATTTAATGCGCTGGGGTTGCAACGGTCGACTGCACGATATTCATTTCGCGACCTTGGGGTTCGCTGATCAAAAACACAATATGGCACTAGTCACGCTTCTCGCATCGTGCATCTATCTCGCTAGCATGGCGAATGCCTTGGCCGTGACACAGTCCAGCAGAGATAGTGGGCCAGGTGCTCCAACCATTGACCTTGGATACTCGAAGTACCGTGGTGTCAGACTTCCAGGGGGATGTGGATCAGTTCCTGGGGATGCGATATGCGCAGGCACATGTCGGTGAACTCAGGTTTAGAGCGCCACGGGAGCCAGAGTACAAGTACGAAGAACAAGACGCCTCCCAGGTTGGATATGTCCCAAAGAATGTTGTCGGTAGCAATGCCGAAGCTTGGACTAACCCGACTTGCTTCATTATAGTTTGGTGCTCTCTGCCCGGCTACCGGACAGCAACCTGGCAATGGTCTAGATGAGGACTGCCTTTTTGTCAATGTGTTCAAACCATCAGACGCTACTCCAGAGTCTAAGCTGCCGGTATTGATATATATTTAAGGTGGCGGATACGCAGCAATGGGGAATCCAAAACTATAACGGCACAGAAATCATTCGGTCTTCCGGTGACAACATGATAGTAGTCTTGTTCAACTACCGCGTTGGCGTCCTTGGGTTCCTCGCCAGTAACTGTTTAGGGCACGATGCAGACTTAAATGTCGGCCTTCTCGACAAACGCCAGCTATTTCTCTGGGTTCAGTGCGTTGACGGATCTCCGCTAGAACTACAGACATTAACCGTGATTTCTAACTTTAGTTCGGCGGCGATCCAAGCCATGTTGTCATACAAGGCTCGTCAGCTGGAGGTGGCTTCGTACGCCATCACCCCACGACCTACAGAGGCCGCGACAAAGAGCGCTCTTTCGTCGGAGCAATCCTGGAGAGTCCGTTTCGGCCAACACTTCGAACTGTCTCGGAGATCGAGTTCCAGTATCAGCGGTTGATGGGATCGACAGGCTGCTCGTCTGTGGGCTGTCTACGAAATATGAACATTTCTTCTCTCCAGGCAGCGAGCGGTGGCTCTGCCTTTCCTGACACCACACCTGCCGACCCACTACCGCTTTTCTACTGGCTATCCGTCATTGATGGTAAATTGATCCCCGACCAACTCCATACCCTCTTCGCGGCCGGCCAGTTCGCCCATATGCCCATGCTCGTGGGCCATGTTGCCAACGAGGGCTCATGGTTTGCCAACAATGCGTCTAGCGCCGCGGAGGTCTCTTCTTTCCTTCGCTCCAACTACCCACACCTCAAAAGAGACCCAGTGAGAAGAGATCAATCGCAAGTACGTGAATATGGCTCCGCTTCCTGGCCACGCAGCCTTCTTCCCTAGTGCTTCAGCTGCGTATGGTGCTGCCACATTTTGCCTGCCTTGTAGCCCGCTTTGTTAGCGCTGCTGAGGTGTGAAGTTACCGGTGCAACGTGCTCGATCCTGGGATTGTCGCTGGTGGCTACGGGGTCCCCAAGGCTGAGCTGTTCTACCATATAGGGGCCAACCGGAAAGGAAAGACCTCTCGGTGCAACCAAGGAGAGCATTATCGGTTGGAAGGGACAAGGGTCATGCTCCGATGCAGACGCCCACCTGGCCGAAGCCGATAATCAGTCACAACGCGAACGACCTGGTAGCTACTGTACTTTCCCCACGGGCAGGATCCACGGTGCTCTTTATTTCCGTCCACCAGGTTCCTGCACGCTTTTCCTTCGGCTGACGCCCGTGGAGGGCATCAATGTGGGAATAGTCGCGCTTCACGGCCCCTGTAGCATTCACTTCAGCCACTACATCATACTCCGCATGGACCGCTGTTGCATCAGCGACTTCTTCAGTTACATTGAACAGGGGCGTTGCCAGCTGCATGACAGGTGGCTGGTCACGACGATTCCAGATTTTGGTTCCTGGTTTCAAATTTAAATTGGATGCGTGAGAGGTTGTCAAGACGGGCTTTATTATGCACTGCTGCTTTGGCAATAGCATCCTTGAAGTGCCCTGGCTTTAGCAATGCCATCAGGAGGAGCATCCAGGGCTCGGTCCGTGCCCGTCGAGTCAATCGATGTTGCCTATGTCCGTGTCCATGTTATGCAAGCACCTGGAATGTCAGGAGACCTCAGGCTAATAGGGCAATGGCCCAGGACATTACACCACGCATAACAAGGAAAACAATTAGTCAATAGGAGAATGGAACAGATATAGTGATAAAAGAGTGAATTGTAATAATAGAGCGAATGACAATACAAGAGTGACTGACAATGAAAGACTGAACGTGCAATAAGAGAGTCAATTTCTGAGAGAACTGCTCTTCATTCCAACAGCAAACCGCTGTAGTTATACCTTTTGGCCAACCTGCCCAGCTAGGTATCGAGTACAATTCAGCATCCCTCTGACTGATATCTTGAAGGGACCGGAGATGGTGATTAACCCCTGCATATACTGAATGCAACTTAATGAACTAAGTTGCAATATCTCCAATTGGAAGTCCTAGTCTGTAAGCGAAGTGTTGGAAAGAGCTAGATCCAAGCCTCGGTTACATCGCTTCTACAAGTAGACCAGGGTCACCATTCCGACACGAACGCCAAGGATGCCAAGGGAGTAGTGTCCTTTATTCCCTATTAATATGATCTTAATACTACCTAGTTCTTGTGTATATCTAGCGTAACGCCCGAGTCGAAAAGGGCAAGACACCCCAAAACACCAACGAAATGCCGCAACGACCACGATATCCTTCCCAATCGGCCATCGTGTACATGGTATTGCGCACAGCAGGCATTCTCGTCAATATCGTCTTCCTTGTCTTCCTTGGTGGTTTGACTGAAATTCACCATGAAACATACCCAGTAGCTTACGTGGCCGTCTGTACTCAGCCATCTTACCCCTACCACAAGCACAAAACTAACCACCTTTGCCAGGCTGTCTGGGCTCTCTGTGCTGATGCGCTAGAAGTAGGGGTGCTGCTTAACAAGAGCCGCTCTATTCCACGCTTGTCTGGCGGAGGACAGCTAACCCTGGATGTCATTGGCCTTTTTCTGCTCCCAGCTGCGGTTCTTAATTGGGTCATGTCCAATCCACCCCGGGATTATGAGCCCTCTCGTGAGGTGGATGAGGCAACTACGTGGACCGGGAACGTACTCTGGGTGGGTTCTGCCTGTCTGTAGGTAGACTCCAACATCCCTTCTCCGAAGGTGCATTGCATGCTGACCGTCAGAAGTGGTATAAGGCTCATCCTATCAGTGGCCGTTTGTGTGGATTTTTGCTTGGCCCGTCGTCGAAAACAGGGTTAGCAACACAGGCAGTGGTGCAAAGTAACGGCAGACTTCTACTGCTCCCTTTCGGAAGGTTTTGTTGGAAAGCGGAAGCATATGAGTATCTGGAGTCACTAGTATCTTACATACAATGATAATGCAAAGGAGGTATCACTCTTCTTAACCCATTTTCTCTAGCTAGATTTTAGACTACCGGATGAAGGCACCCAGATAGTAGTGGTGAGTGAGTCTCGCGATGTCTAGATAGAATAGGGGTAACCAGGCTGGGTAGGCTGGTAAGAGACAAAGAAATCTACATAGTCAGGGATGGGAAGGTAAAGTGATATACCCAATTGGGTAAAGGTCATCTATATCAAAATATTCCTTTTCTCATGATGCACCTCATGGCACCAGTCACCAACCCAGACTATGTCTGTGCAGTCCATTAAATTCAACAAGTTTTTAGACACAGTGATTGGACATTCTGTGGCACTGTCATCTCTTTTACTACTTTCGTTCCTACATTTGTAAGTTACTTAAGGTTGTGACTCAGTTTACCCGTTGTGACAAGTAGTAGTGTCGCTAATGCATGAATGGGCTGGACTATGATTATCTGGCTCCTAGGCATGTCCTGCTCTGCCAAAGTCATTGGCCAAGTTCCACTTTCCAGTGTAACTGCATGTATACCCCTTCTATGCCGCCTATGGCGATTGCGTTCAAGAATCACGCTACTTATTGCTGTTAGTTGTAACTGCGGAGGAGTGATCTGCAAAGAGTAAATGCTCTAATGTAGGAAAGCTTGGCAGGAATGACTGCGGCTCTCTAATTCACCAGGCGCGTCGTAGTCGCTGGCTCTCAGTCATTAACCCCACTAGGTGTAGAGAAGATAATATATACACCATCTGGAGGAACTGAGCTTCTGAGAGATTACTTGGCATCGAGTTCACTATGAAATTCTGCTTGACGGTGATTGAGAACTCAATCTATCCGTGGAGGCATTATTGCCATGTTGCTTCCAAAGCAATAGCCATTAATGGTATATTCCCACCCCTGCTGGTGGCACGGAATACATTTGCAAAGTTACATACAGTAGAATTAAAGCCAAATAGGGAAGGTCATGGGAAGCGTGCAATATCGTATTACGCTGAAAATTGCACTTGCTGGCAGAAAACTCAACAGCTTGTTGAAACTGACGAAGGGTCTTGACACAACATTGATTTATGGCGTTTGTCTGTCTGAGAGTATCATCAGGTTTTCCTCACTTCTGATATGAAAAATGGGAAGTTTCAAATCATATATTCCATTTCTAAATAGTGCACATAATCCCCAGTGACTTCCTACCAGATCAAGAACTTTCACGTAGCAAGTCCATCAATCCAGGCAATACCTCTAGGCTAAGCACCCAAAATTACTCGTCGCCTGGGTTTCCCCCTTCCAGAAACTTGAAAAACGTGAGCGAATTTCCATCGTTGTCCTTGATTGTAAATTGACGGAAGCCCCAAGGCTTGTCTTCGATGTCCTCGGAAAATACCACTCCGATTTGGCTTTTTAAATAGACGTAGTAATCGTCGAGCTCGCGAGTCCCCAGACCGATCATCGCCTGTGATGACTTGAATGTTTCAGGGGTCACTTTCAAGAAATAGAAGTTCGCATCCGCCTTCTTGCCAATGGCCAGAGAGCAGAAATATAGGTCGGATCCATTGTCCTCGGGTTTGACGCTGCCAAGCTCGAATCCCAGCGTCTTGGTGTAAAAGTCGACTGTGAGAGGAATCGAACGGGACTCGAACATGGGAATCACTTTCCATGCGGACTTAACAATTTCAGAAGCCATGCTCAAAGAACCAGAGGATCTGCTATACACTGAGATGGTTGATGGTTTCAAAAAGTTCGTTTATCTTCAGCAGCCGATCTTGCCAGATCATCAGATCGCCAACTCGACATTGACTGTGGCTTATTGTTGCCTAAAGTACAGTCACTTGCGACGTCAGCAAGAATTATCTAACGCTAATCGGTTTAGTGTTAAGTGTCCCGAATGCAGACACCAACCCCTAGACTGGTTGTGGATTGGATATATGGATTGATCCACACTAAGGTAGTTTTGCTCTAACCCATGCGGATTAAGGGTTGATCCACCAGCTATCTAACCCACCCTTATATCCATTTGGATTTGATTGCGGATAATAAATATATCCATACTATCTTGTTAGGTGGCCTCTAGTATTTAGATTACCATTTCTTTTTCTAGTATTCTAGCCACACCACTGGGATAACTACATACTTTATATTCTAATACAATAAGTCAATATATACATAATATATACTACACATTATATAGGCTCAATAACCTTATATAGGGGGCTAGGGGGTGACCCTAAGATTACCGTAAAAGTAACGCAGTGATAGATATACCTTACCACCACCATCTTAATCATCTGAAATCTGAAATCTAAAATCTAACATAACTCTGATAGTTCCGAGTAACCCTAATGTTTTTATTTTACATATAGATTGATATGGCTATTCTTCATCTATATATATAAAAGTATTACCCTATCCAGCCAGACTGTAGACAAGATTAGATAAGATCATAAGCTCATCAGTGATTCAGTTCTAGGTGGCCCTTATGATGGCACTGCTCATATTCCAATGGTATGGTAGTATTTCGATAGAAAACTAAGCATAGAGAAGAGGGGGAAGAAGTATGTACATAGTGGGGAGATATGTAAACAGAGGGTGGAACAGTGCAAACAATCCAAACAGCCCTGGAGAGGTAAGTAGTTAAGATGGGCAGAAAGCTCCATGTAAGGAGGTCTATAGGGAACATGGTGATGGATTATCACATTACCCCCCCTTTAGGTTCTGGATGCCCTCATCTAGGGTTTATCGTCATCAGGGTGATCATTAAGGAATATATCATCTTCGGCTGCTTGTAGCCATTCTGGTAGGCGCATTGGCGGGCCTGGCATGGCTGGATATCAGGCGTGGAAGTCACAGAGTAATGTTAGGGAGTTCCTAAAATTTTAGGCTAGATACCAGGCAAGATCAATGTCATGACCAAGCTATCTTACCCAGTACTAGAGCTTATAATAGTAGAGTTAAGATGCTAGTATCTTATCAACCTCCCATTCATCTTTGCTGTTAACTTCTAGTAGGGGAGCCGGGTCCTGGAGCTAGCCAGGCAGAGGAGGTATGGATGGGGCTTTATAAAGCTTCTCAGGCATAAAGATGGGGTGGACTTTTATAGAATCTAAGAGATCTAGTTAGAAGGCATTCCCCTCTTACTTCATAATTTAGTATGGTCCAGTGAGCTGGTCAGTAAGCTTCTAACTAGGATGGTTAAGCTTCTAATCTAATGTAGTAATGAAGATATAATCATTAATATCAAAGTTAATAGCACAGTAATACTTATTAGCCTGTTGCTTCTATTAATATTAAGCAGCTTCTATACCTCTATAAGCATATGACTAGATCTCCTCTATACATCTAGCCATCTGCTGCGCTTGCTTATGATTAATATCAAGGTCTAACAGCCCAGTAGCTGCTAACTAGTTAAAGGATGTGCATGGTTCAAAGCCTCTCTTAATAAAGAAGGGTGATATCCTAGTAGATTTACTTAGAAATGCTGCAGTGGTAAAATTTAGTATAGACAGCCACTAGTCCCAGTCATCCTGGTAATAATTAATGAATGGTTATAATTACTATACAATCCACTGGTTTATAACTTCTGTTTAACTATTAGTCTGTGGATGATGTCCTGATGATAGCTTAAGGTAGATCTATAAGACCTTACATAGTTTATCCTAGAAATCTGAGATGAACTAACCTCCCCTATCTAAGATGATTATTTCCGGTAAGCCAGTCCATGGGTAAATATAAGTAATAAAGAGACACGCCATGTTATAAGTAGTAGTTATCTTATAATAGGGGATGGCAAAGGCTCTCTTCCCTAGTCAGTCCATTATAATGAACACAGCATTAAAACCTGTCTTAGAGCGCAGGAACAAACAGAAATCCATAGTAATATATTACCAAGGTTGGTTAGGGATTGGAAGGGGCTGTAGTAGACCCAGTAGAGGGTCTCTATATATCTTTATTTAATAGCAGATAAGGTAATTATCTATATAGTAGTCTACATCCCATCTCTAGGAAGTCTAATAGTAGTGAGTGTGGACAAGTCTCTTCATCTTAGCCTTGCCTAGGTGTGTGGAAGATGGTGGGCAGTGGATTTCATCTAGTAGGTAAGTGCATAGGTCACCTTTATTAGGCACTACTAGGCGTCCTTAGAAGAGTAGAAGTCCATCTTAGAGTTCCTATTAGTTACTACCCACCTGTGTGAGCTCTTACTTGGGCTGGAGGCTGTCATATAGTTAATTTACTTTAGATACCTAATCCACTATTAATATTAGGCTGGGGGTAATAGCTGCTAAGATTTAGGGGTTAAGGTGGTCTGGCTTGAATATTAACTAAATTTAGTGATTATCAGTCCCTTCTAGGTCTTGCGGCCTGGAGAGTGTATTAGCTAGTGTATTAAGCTTCCCTGGCTAGAAAGTAATGAGGAAGTAGAAGCTAGATAGGAACTTATTCTATTAGGTCTGTTAGGGGTTCAGTTACTGTTTCTGCATGAAATATTATAATGCTTGGTGGTCTATAAATATCTTAAATAGTTCAGCTCTTTATAGGCCCTATAGCTCAGCTCGCCATTCTTCTAAAGTATGTATAATAGCTAATAATTCTTAGTTATGGATGCCATAGTTATACTCTGCTAGATTCATAGTTTTGGAATAGTAGGTAATAGGATACCACTCTTCCCCCTGCTGCTAAGAGAGCATACCAGCAACCATGCTGTCAGAGGCATCTGTCTCCAGCTTTATGGGCAAGGATGGGTTATAATAGGTAAGAAGCAGAGCTTCTGTAAGGGCAACCTTTAAATAGTAGAATGTCTTCTTATAGTTGTCATTCTATATAAAGGGAACATCCTTCCTTGTTAATATAACTAGGGGTTTAGCAATATAACTATACTCCTATATAAACCTCTGATAGAAGTTGCAGAAACCTAGAAATGACTGGACCCCCCTTATAGTAGTAGGAGTCTTCTACTTCTATACTGCAATAACCTTTTCTAGGTCAACCTGGATGCTGTCTATTAAGATAATAAAGCTAAGATACCACATCTTTATTACATAGAATTTATATTTCTTTATTAAGGCTTGTAGGCCGTGCTCCTGTAAGCACTATAGAATAGCACAGATGTAGAGCTGGTGGTCCAACTCATTGTTAGAATAGATCAGTAGGTTGTCAATGAATGCGGTCAGATATTAATCTAGGCAATCCATGAAAATACTGTTCATGAAGTGCTAGAATATGGCTGGTCTATTAGTAAGTCTAAAGGGTATTACCTTATATTTAAAGCTGCCGTATCGCGAGTGGAATGTGGTAAGGTCCTCTGAGGCTGGGTCCATGCAAATCTAATGAAAACCCTAGTGGATGTCTAGCTTGGTGAAGATCTTTGCTTTAGAGATATGCTCTAAAATCTTATTAATTAAGGGGAGAGGGTAATAGTCCTTATATATTATAGCATTCAGTTTATGGTAGTTAATATAGAAATATAGTCCTCCACCTAGCTTTTCTGCTATAAGAATAGGAGAAGTGAAGGGAGTGTTACTAGGTATAATAAATCCCTTATGGAGGTTGTCTAGTATATATTCCCTTGCTGCTTCTAATTCTTCTATATTTATCTTATATAGGGGCCTATAGCTAACTGCATTCTCCTGTTCTAGTTTAACTTTATGGTTAAATTCCCCACAGTGGGGAGGCAAAGTATTAGAATTATGTTTAGAGAAAATGTTAACTAGGTCCTAATAAGGTTCTAGTAGGACTTGCTTAATCTCATCTTTGGTAATTGCTAGACTATGGTTGGTTAACTAAGATGTCAAAGACTAAGCTGTAATAGTTAGCTGCTGAGAGAGGGAAAGGGGTTGTTTGCCCTATTTCTTATTAATTAGTTTATTAAGCTTATAGAGGGAAGATAAGAAGATAGTAGCATCTTTCTTATGCATATATTAGTGGAAGGCTACTGCGCCTATTATAGTAATATTAATAACAGTCTTACTCAGTGGGTGGGTAGGTTATGATGTTAGTTCTATACCTCTTCCTTATAGGGCTTATTCTATCTTAAGGGCGCAATACTGCTGATTAATTTCCTCTATTCTTATAGGTCAGTATTATCTGGTCTTATAGAAAGGTGAAGTAGTGGTTATTAGTGTTACTAGGTTAGGCTCCTTAGGGGAATAGGGCTTGGGTGCCTCCTTAGGAGCTATGGAAGGAAGCACTGGGGACTAAATATATGAATGTTCAGAGGTATTTAGGGACCCTTAGATTATTCTAGAAAAGGGGTGCCATGACCTTACACCATAGCCCTATGGTTCTCCTATTAAGCTATATATATTTAAAGGCTTGGTTACTGCCCTGGGAAGAACCACAGGGCTAGGGGTGGTTAGGGAGAGAAGAGAAGATAGAGCTAAGAGAGGGAAGATATCCCTTTTATACCCTACCCATTGCCTAGCGCGGCGCACCATGTTATATTAGTAATCTTAGTTAATAGGTTGCCTAATTAGGAAGTCACAAGGGACCTCCCAGTTCATCTATATAGCTATCTTATCTTAGTAGGCAGGTAGCAAAGACCAGATTAACCATTTCCCTGTGCAATCTACTAGTACACAGTGTTCCGCAAGCCATATCCTTCCTAGTATAATATTATGGCATCCCAGGTCTAGTATAAGAAATGGCATCCATCTTATGATGCGATTGTCCATGGCTATAGTTAATATAATGATATGGGTAAGGGGAATGGACTGCCTTCCATCAAACCCTATAACTATATACTCCCTTTCTAGGGGCACAGTAGGTATTCTAAAATATTAAGATATCTAGATAGCTAAGGAAGTGATCATACATGTGTACGCATTTGCTCTAGTATTGACTAGGGAGCTCATAGATACTAAGAATCTATTAATAAGGATAAGAGATTTTAATTAGAAACTATCTTCTTTATTGCCTAATAGATTCTATAAGTCTAAGTTATATAAGTTAACTAATTTTATATCTAAGAAGGAGACTTCTCCTAGGCATCCTTATTTTCTGGTTTAGGAGTGGGCTTAACAGGCTATTCTAATACTTTAAGCTGCGCAGCCTGCTTCATGGGGTAGCTGCAGCTAGTATACCTAATCTAAAAGTATGTAAAGTATTTACCCTTATTTATAAGATGCTTCCTAATCTCATCATTAAGGTTGCTAGGAGCTGGGGAAGCTGTAGTAGTATGGCTATAAGTAGTAGTATTATCTACAGAGGGAGTGGCTGCAGCTAGGGTAGTAGTATAAGATATTACTCTAGTCCCTCTGGTTTAAGTATTAGCACTACTGTTTAAATGAGCCTTAATTCTCTCTATATTCTTAATATTTATTACTGTATGGCTGTAGTAGTCTATAAACTCCTAGAAGGTCTTATCATTATTATTATATGCAGGCATAGTGAGCTCTTACATGCAGAGAGATAGTTTATTATACAGGTTATCTTTCTAGGTCTCCTTAGGGATGCTTGCTTCTGCTATAAGGTATAGAAACTTAGAAATAAAGTTATTCTATTTAACTAATGGCTTCATATAGAGGGTATTATATTTCTGCTTAGCAACTCACTTATAATTAGGGTCTGCGAATACATTTTCCAGGTGCTTAAGGAGGTTGGTAGAGTCCTAGTATAGGTTAATAGCATCTTCTTGCAGATAAGGGGTAATATACTTCTGGGTGTTGCCCTCAGTGCAACTAGTCATGTAGGTGATTCTCATCATGGGGTTAGGGAAGTAGTTAGTATTAGTAATAAGCTTCTACTTAATAGCTAATAACTAATCTTTAAAATGAGGGTCCTTTCCATCACTAAGGAGAGGGGGGTCTGGAATCTTTGCTAACTTACTACTAGTAGCTGAAGCCTAGGAACTAGTGTTTTTAATACTAGATCTGCAGGCTATCTGCAGGGCGAAGTTATTTTATTCATAGATTGCCTCTTTAAGCTTCTCTCGGGCCTTGTCATGTTTAAGGTTAGTAGTGATGAGCTGGGCCTAGGTCTGTTTATATTCCTGACAGATCTATTCATTCTGGTGCTTAAGATCATTAGTCTCACTCTGGCTCTTAATAAGTTGCTTATTTAGGAGAGCTGCCTCTGCATAGTTCTGGTTTGCCTTTGTATCTAAAGTAATATAGATCTAGGAGATGGCTTCCCAGCAGTGCTTAGGGTCCATTCCCTAGTAGGCAGTGAATTCTTTGTAGGAGATGCTGTCAGCCAGCTTATAGGTGTCTTTATCAAGGCTGCTGTTCTCTGTCTGGTTGAGTAGGGCAGTCAGCCTTCTAGCAAAACCTAAGCCTGGTCTAGTATGCTGAGTAGAGGGGTTATAGGTTCTATTCCTAGCTCCTTGCTAGTTCTCAGGCTCCTCAGCAGAAGCTATAGGTCTAGCCATTATTTATTCTTTCATGATCTCAGTTGATAGATTATATTGTTATCTCTAACTGTTGGTATTGTTAGCACGCGAAGGGTTCTTTGCAAGAGGAGGTAAGATTAGTGCTTGATGTGAAAAAGAACATGTTTATTACTGGATCTTGAACCTTCTAATAAAAGAGATGATGCAGGAAGTAATGCTTAGTTTTATATAATAGCACTGCTTATATTCTAATAGTATGGTAGTATTTTGATAGAAAACTAAGCATAGAGAAGAGGGGGAAGAAGTATGTACATAGTAGGGAGATATGTAAATAGAGGGTGGAACAGTGTAAACAATCCAAACAGCCCTGGAGAGGTAAGCAGTTAAGATAGGCAGAAAGCTCCATGTAAGGAGGTCCGCGGGGAACATGGTGACGGATTGTCACAGCCCTAAGTTACATGCACCTAATTATATCTATTAGGTAAGGTTAACGTATTTATCTGTGGTCGGATATGGATTTGCGGATTGGGTACCAGTCTATGACTCCTTAAGTTCTTAACGCAGTTCCCCGGTCGTCTGATCACCCACTCTGCCACTCAACGATCTGAAGCAATTCGCAACAACGCAACAACGCAAATATCAATTTAAATCCATTGGCTGTTATATTACTCCCTTTTTAACTCTTATTTTGCTGCTTTTCCGCACGTAGAAGGCAATAGAACGATGTTATGTGTCAGACACCGGACGGGGATGAATGCACACATCGAGTGACATGTTGGTCGATATCAAAGATAGCGATGGGAAACGGCAGGAGGAGTCCTGGTAGAAGTCACCAAAACAGATGAGAATGACTGGCATGAGATTCCTTGTATGTCATTATGGCTGTAAGCTGAAATTCATCCTGCGGGGTGACTCGAATGACTTTAGCCGGACCCCGCCTGTATAATAATAATGGCTCTGTCCCTCATGACTTTGGGTTATAGCTCTCTGACCTTTCCCCAGTACTCTCTCATATCGTCATGTCGTCAATTAACCCTATCATACCGGGTTTCGCACCAGATCCGTCTGTCGTCAAGGTAGGCGGATGGTTCTTTCTCATCAACTCCAGCTTCCATCTATTTCCTGGGCTGCCCATCTATGCCTCGCAGGACCTGATTTCGTGGCGACATATAGGTTTGTGTCCCTATATGCATAAAATAACAGGTGCAAAACTAATACAACATCAGGAAATGCTATTAATCGCCAACCTCAACTGAGTCTGTCCAAATCGGAGACGGACCTACACCCGTTGCCCACAGGTGAAGTTCTGGTGGCCACCGGAGGCCTATATGCGCCCACAATCCGATACCGTGACGGCACCTTTTATGTCGTATGCACCAATGTGGTTCGTACAGCCACAGGCGACTCCAGGCAGAACTTCATCATCTCAACCAAGGGGATCTGGGCCAACAACTGGAGCGATCCAGTGTATTTTGAATTCAATGGTATTGACCCGAGCCTCTTCTTCGATGACGACGGCAAAACATACGTCCAAGGATCCGCCGCAGCTGGATCTGTCACCACGATCAACATGTTCGAGATCGAGCTCAGCTCCGGCAGAAAGCTCTCAGAGGAGAGAACGATATGGCGTGGTACCGGTGGTATCTACCCCGAGGGTCCACACCTGTATAAGCGGAACGGCTATTACTATCTGATTATCGCGGAAGGGGGAACTCATGAAGGACATATGGTGACGATGGCGCGATCAACGGCCATCTGGGGTCCTTACGAAGCGTGTCCCCACAATCCGATACTCACAGCGCGAGACACCGACGAGTACATCCAGTACACTGGGCACTGCGATGTCTTCCAGGACGACAGGGACCAGTGGTGGTGTACCTGCCTTGGCGTGCGGAAGGATAAGAATGGCCGCTATATTATGGGCCGAGAGACTTTTCTGACGCAAGGGAGCTGGGACGGAGACTGGCTCTCCCTGGAGCAGGTCAAACTAACCCCCAGTGGGCTACTAAGCAGCGACGAGGAGAAGGGGCTTATTGCCAACCCCGGCCTGGACTACGTCTACATACGTGATGCCAATCTGAGCAATTACACCCTACCCAGCAGTACCAGTGACCGCCTGACTCTGACTGCTTCAACCGCTGATCTGTCGCATCCTCAGCTCAGTCCTAGTTTTATCGGCAAGAGGCAGCGACACTTAGACGGGTGGAGTGGTGTCGAGCTGGGCGTTGTGGAGGCGACTTGGAGAGCGGCGAAGCTGCAGGCTGGAATGGCCTGCTACAAGGATGAGCATCGCTTTCTCCGAATATACTATGACGCTACAGAGCTTGCTATTGTTATTGAGGTAATCAACAAGCCAAAGGACATTTGTCGACAGGAGCGGCAGACACTCGAGAGCCTACCCAAGTCAATAGCGTTTCGAATGCAATATACGGAACAGGAGTATCGGCTATTTTACACTGTTGGAGATGCCTCTCAGCCGAATTGGACGTGTGCATCGACGATTGACACTCTGGATCTGACTGGCCCCGATTTTACGGGCCCGGTCATCGGCGTCTTTGCGGTGGCAGAGTCAACAGATACTGCGGTTCAGTTTGGGAATCTCACGATTTGCTAGATGATATGGCGTTTGTATCTCGAGACCTCAATTAGCCTATGAACTGAATGCATCAATTTACCCCTAGCAATGCCCAAAGTCACGTTCACCCGTCTCCGTTACCCTTGCGCTCAGCAGCATGGCGCTGGCTTGCCAACAATCGCAAGGATCAAACTGAAACAAAGCAAATTCAGCCTATTCCCAGGGCATCGCTGGTTGGTTGGGCGGTCTTGTTGTTTGCCCACCTGTAACCGTTTATGGAAGTTTGTTAAATTGGCGTCTCTTGGAAATCCTTGGGCTCTGGGCATCGGCTCAAGGAGTCTTTTTCACATGCCGACTATTGCCCATTCAAGCTGAACGGAGTATTCTCCCGGTGGAGATCCCAGCACTCCACTCCACAGTGCGAATAGAATCCTGTCTGTTTTCCTCTGATAAATAATTGATCTAGATTGCTGTTTATTTCCATGTGGGTATGATCTCCAAATTGCGGGGTTGATCCCGGCTAAATGTACCTGTATAACCGGTCAATTCACGATATTCTCAAGGATGTTGTTATAATGCTCCTGATGCTATACAAGAGGCCATTCCCAGGCTACCTGAGTCAGACTACTCTTCTTCCATGGCGTATGGCTGTGTCTGTCATCTGAACTTCAACTAATTTGCCATCTCAATCCTCCAACATGGGCTTCCGACTTCGACCTCCAAAGCAGAGCCAAAGGGTCCTCCCTGTGAAGCCTCCAAAGGGGCACTTCTTCTTCGCGGGCAGGGAATTCGCTCGGCTCCCCTGGTGGAAGCGACGGAACATGCGCACGCTCTATATTTTCATCGTCATTCTCATTCTCACCAATACGGCCAATGGCTTTGACGGCTCGATGATGAACGGACTACAGTCCCTGTCCTATTGGCAGAATTATTTTAACCATCCCCGCGGCTCTATTCTCGGTCTCTTCAATGCCTCTATGAGTCTCGGCTCTTTGATCGGTCTCTTCATCGTCCCATACCTGATCGACTGGGCAGGCCGAAAGATTGGGCTGGTTATTGGCTGCCTGATCATGTTACTCGCTGTCGGGCTGCAGTCCGGGGCCAGGAATTTCGGCATGTTCGTCGCGGCCCGGATTATCCTCGGTTTTGGAGACTGTATCGTTCTGGGAAGTGCGCCTCTCTTGATTGCTGAGGTTGCTCATCCTCAAGATCGGGCCATCCTTGTCACGCTCAGCGGAGCGTCGTACCATTCGGGAGCATTCATAGCCAGCTGGGTGACCCTTGGAACTCTACAGATCTCGGTAAGTCCACCACAACATTTCTGCACAGGATGCTGAGATGCTAATCATATACTTTGGTAGAGTGACTGGTCATGGCGATTGCCGAGCTTACTACAAGCCATCTGCACCGTAGTCATTATTGCCGGCATCTGGTGGATGCCCGAAAGCCCTCGTTGGCTGATGAACAAGGGACGACATGAAGAGGCTCTAGAGATCCTGGTAAAGTACCATGCCGAAGGTGATCACAATGATGAGTTTGTGAAGCTTGAGTACTCGGAAATCAAAGCAGCTATCGCCCTGGACAAAGAAATCGGCCACACTGGCTGGGCAGACTTTTTGAGGTCCAAGGGAAATCGCAAGCGGATTGCTTTGATTACGGCGCTTGGTCTCTTTAGTCAATGGAGCGGGAATGGCCTCATCTCCTACTACCTCAAATATGTCATGGATAGCGTCGGAATCAAAGACCCCCAGACTCAGCTCGGTATCAATGCAGGCATGAAGACCGAGGGGTTGGTCGTCAATTTTGTCTTTGCCTTTTTCATCGACATACTCGGTCGACGACCAGTCTATCTGGTCTCGACGATTGGGACATTCGTCGTCTTCAACGCCTGGACCATTGTATCAGCGCGGTATGAGATCGCACCAAACAAAGCGCTCGGCTATGCGTTTGTGTTCCTCACGTTCCTGTACGGAGTCTTCTATGATATCAAGTGAGTATCCTGCTGCCATGTTCTGAATTCTTATTGACGACTGGATAGGTCCGGCCTTATGGCGAACTATACAACGGAGATCCTCCCTTATGGACTTCGTGCCAAAGGCTACACCTGGCTCAACTTCTGCGTCACCGCTGCTCTCTTCTTCAATCAGTACATTAATGGCATCGCCCTTGATGCCTTGGCTTGGAAGTACTACATTGTGTACTGTGTGTTCTTGGGATTCGAAGTGTTCGTGATTTACTCCTTCCTCATTGAAACCCGATACACCCCTATGGAGGAAATTGCCAAGTATTTCGACGGCGAGGACGCGGTTGATGTTGGCCAAGTTGCTGCTGCGGACTTGAAGGAGCAGGGTCTAATAGCATCGGACGACAAGGGTACGGCCACCATTCACATTGAAGGGAAATAGTAGGTTGTTGAACATGGTTATGTTGGCCATGGATGGAACTGGTCGTGGTCATGCTGTCAATTACAACAAATATAGGCTGCGCGAGGACTCAGTATACCTTTGTCTGTGATGTATCAGGACATGCTCTCTCTCTAGGTAGTCTAAACCCTCGTTCGAGGCTTGACGGTTTCCAATACCATTCGTGACGGCCTAGCTGAGGCTGACAAAATGTTGTAGAGCCTAACGTACCATCAACGTAAGACATATTCTTAGGGGCCATAACTGTCGGTGATTCCTCTGGCTCACCTAAATTCTTGAAAGATGGAGAGGCCGGGAAGGTGATGTAGAATATGGCGACGTCAGGGAGGCAGAATACTAGCATCACACATCCTTCTAGATACAAACAAGAAGGTATCCCAATCCAGTGGTAAGACCTCATTTTGTGACTAACTATCGTGACTATGCTGGGCGAACGACTTCTAGTTGAGACCTAACTGGAAAAGCAGCTCTCTCGCCTCTTCAATATGTTGCTTTGGCTTCCCTGGGTTTCTAGGCGTAGCATCCACCCGGCTCCCTTTTATGCCCCTCGACTGATTGAAGACACCGTACTTGATCCATGCACTCAGGAGTGTCGAGAATTCATCCGCACCCCTTTGTCGATAATATGACGCTAGATCATTAAGGTACGTGTTCAAAGGACTAGAAGAATCTGTACACTCAAACACCAAATGAGTGGCACACTCGACCGATCGCTCGAGATCCATTTCGCCGAGTGCTCCACGTTGAAGATCAAGTTTGGCCGCCTGGATTCGGTCAATCGTATCACTGTGCCGATAGGGTGTCGTCTGGAATCCGAAGCACTTGGGAAGGACTATTGATTACTGCATCCCGCAGTTTGAAGTATGGTTCTCCCAATGAAGCCACAACTGATGCTGTGTGCTGCCCTTCGAATATAGTAGGCAAATCGGCCTGTTTAAGGACCTTGACGGGTGTCACGCTTCACCTTTGCATCTAGTGAAAATGCGCGCAAAATGGCCAGGAAGTAGACGTGAAGAAGATTAGCCGGGTCGACACGGCAGACTCCATCTTGCCTGACGCCATACACGCATACACGCAGGACAGTGACATAGCCGAGTTTCCGCTCTTGCAATTCAGGAGCTGCACCAACATCCATGATCCGCATATTTTATATTTTACCTGAATACAGCTGTAGGTATTAAGTCAAATTACGGATCGCCAAAGTAAGAGAGAACAAGTTTATATATAAGTTTAGTGGGCGGAGGACCATTATCTGTGCTTTTATTAATAAATGCGAAACGCCAATTCTTAGAATATTCTATGCTCGGACTGCCGAAGCAATTACTATTACTGCCATGTTACACATCTTGGCTTTTTGAGACTGGCTTCTATGGCTGGTCTGTTATCATGAGCGGGGATTGAATGCGCCAGGTAGCAGAAAGAGCCAGTGATAGTATCCCGGAGGGCTTTCATGCTCCCAGTTAAGCAGTAGCTCAGGCGAACACATGCTGGGAATTGTAAGCGGAAGGACGCTGGGAGGCTGTCCATCTCTCTAGCTAGCACTGGCCAATGCTCTATACACTAAGTAATATGCGATGTTCCTGGCCAGAATGATCATTCATGCACACATACTACCTGTACGACTACGCCACATGGCACCCGCACCCGCAGTCTATGTGTACAGTCGACGGAGAGCTGAATGATATACATTATGCGGGATGTGGTGGACCAGCAACTGGAGTTTATGAAATCTTGATTAATCAGAGCAATCAGTTGAAAGGGCAGGACCTGAATCGGAGACCATCAACCTCGCTGAGCTCTTCTGCGGTGAGTTGGGAAAGTGTCACTGGTATGCACTAAGAGAAGTTGACCATCCGAATTTACCATTCCACCTCTACCTCACGGCTTTAATCAATGTAATCATTATACGCAATGCGTTCGACCGAGTTGACCGGTATACGGCATACAATGACCCTCCCTTTGAACAATCCATCTGCCGATCTCACACTTCACACAGATTCGGATCTAAACCACCTCTGACAACCACAGTGCATCCGACGACTCAAGACCCATTAGCGGGTTGGCGATACACGACACCGTCAATAGTTGTAGTCAGCGTCCCATTGGCTTCAAAGATGTTCGTCACGGCATCAATAGACAGCTGGAACCCCCCTGGACCCGTCTTCTTCGTCGCATTGACAACGCCCGTCTGTTGAAGATCCGACAACCAGTTCAGCCTGTTCATCCAGGGGTTGGAGGAATCAGGATTGGTAGTGACGGACTCGTAGCCGTTTATTATATGTTTGCCATCATCGGAGTAATTGTCGTACTCCACGGAGATGGTCTGATACCCGCCTGTTGTTGGGTTGGCCACGATGGCGACGTCTGCAATGCCGCTAATCTGCCCTTTAAGGGTGTAGTTCCCTGCTGGGAGTTTGTATTGCTCTGGGACTGTAGCACCAGGGGGAAATGGTGTCGCCCAGGGAATCGCGGCAGGAACTTTGAAAACTGGGGCGGGTTTCGTGGGCTGGCGTCTAGTACCACGAGCCACCATGAGACGGTAGCGGCGTCCTCCGTTCGCAGTCGAGTTAGGGCATACCAGCGGGTTCACGCCTCCACAGGCAGGAGACGTCACCAAGGCTTGCCAGAAGACAATGCGAGTGGTATCTGGGGAAAAGGCTGGATCTGCGCGGCCGTTCCAGTTAGGATCGTTAATGCTCCCATTGCTCCCGTCGCCTTCAGCATTGACTTGCTGACCAAAATAGTCACCACGGTCACCATAGCGGTCGATCAAGATAGGTTGAAAGAAGCGACGCGGGCCATTGTTGCGGGTCGAAGATGCAGCTGTGACAGTGACAAGGTCAATTAAGGGAGGGACCATGCGCATGCCGGACATCCACATCTGGCGATCGGAGCCTCGGGTATCCATTGCGACGAACCACTTATTATCATGAGAGAACGCGACAGGATCGGTATATTCAGGGTGATTCGTTAGACGCCGAACGGCGCCAGTGACAAGGTGGACAGCAAACACATCGATATTATTTGCCTCCCGAGGGGAACCAATGTAAAGAATCTCATCCCCAGAGCCGCTGAATCCGCGCAGCTCTCCGACCGTGATGGCCTCATCGTGTAACTCTAGTTCATCCCCATTTGCCATAATGGCAGCCGGCCCGTTGGGCTGAATCAGCACGTTCACATCGACCAGGTCATAGCGAGGGGCTCGGACGTCGCCGGTCGATGGGTTCTTGTTGAATGTAAGTCGGCCAAAGTAAGCAAACTGTCCTCCATTCGACGTGAATGAGCTCCATCCCATGTGCTCATCATCTGGATGCATACGCATCTCACGGGGAGCTCCACCTGGTCCCGAACCATCTGCGTTCACTGGCCAGTAAATGGGGTAGATGAAGGTCTTATTCGGAGTGCATTCCTCGCTGGTCAAAAGCAGACCGCTGCATTCCACGATGTTGTGGCCCCAGAGAGCCCTTTTCCCACTGCGAGCAACATGCGGATAGTCTCTCTGTGGGTCCAGTGACCGGGCATTTGCAGCGGGAACACCACAGCTAAGGCACCTCCACGGGTCACCGTTGGTAAACGTGGTGCCGTCGGCTTTGACGAGGATAAGCTGTTCACCGGTATATATGCTGGCGGGATCAGGAGCAGCCGGAGCGCCTACGAACTCAACATTGACAATGACATGCTTTCCGTCTGGTATAAAATCACCCGCCTGAAATTCCTCTGAAACCTGACCAATACAGCCCGTTCGACGAGGATTCACATCAGTGGTGCAGGCCCCAACGGCGCTGCTCGACACGACGGGAGGGAGGGGAAGTTCGACAACGGTGAAGGGTTCAGGGTCCGGAGGCGCTTGCCCTGAGGCTGTCGACAGCCAGAGCCCGGTTACAAGGACGAGAGAAAGAATAGCCATCTTTGTTTCCGCAACTTGGCTTCAGTATCATGTCTGAGGGGATATATCGTTGTGGAACGGGGGATTTATTGTGTTCATGCGTCGTTCTTATCACTTGCCCATAAACCGGCGTCCGGTCGGCTATAGACACATCTGGATTCTCGGTTTCGCCTGCATCCCGATGGATGCTCGTAAACCATGCCGCTGAGAGACTAGGTCGCTGACTGGCAGCGAGGTTCAAGGGGAGGTAATAAAGATCGCTCATCATTTTGCCCCGAGACTCGACAATCAGGAGTCGATCGGTCATATTGTTAGCCCGAAGGCATGACTTGGGTGAGGTCCACAGAAATTACGACTCCCTCACATCTGGATAATGCCATCGCCTGATTCCCATGTCTCGGGATTAGACTGGTTTACCCAATCCGCAAATCCATATCCAACCCACCCAATCCACATGTATATGGGTGGATGACACCCAACCCAAATGGGTATAGATAACCCATTTGGGTGCACGTGACCGGCAGAATTTAGTAGGTCTATGGATTTAGTCATTTAGTGGTTTATCCAACTTATTTAATCACCCAACTATCTGTGTCTTAGCCTTGAGAGTAAAAAGGAAGAAGGTAAGAACTAAAGCCTAGCCTCGCCATGTCAACATTCCAGTATGTTTATAATAATATTGATGGGCTTCTGGGTTATGGATTATCCATGATATCCATAATATTCTCTTAATGAGAGATCTTCCCGCCTACTAAAGTAGTATAGTTTAAGATCATGTGTAAAATATGTGGATTTCAAGGTGGATGACTAGTGTCATGGGTTAACCCAAAACCCATATGGGTTGGGTTGAACCCTATGCGGATCCATCCAAACCCAACCCATATGACCAGTCTCCTCGGGATATTACAACTTACAAGCTAATTTTGCACTAGCAGTGGACCCGCTAGATCGTATATCGTATCCTTAGCCTGATGCAGCAAGATTTACGGACCCCACAATCCCTGGCCAGGTTTAATATCCGCATACCCCGGATTCTGCTCGACCTTCATCCACAAGTACAACCCCCCGTGAGAAACCAATGCCGTCGCGTCGATCCCACTCCAAATCTCACCACGGCTGCACCCAGTGCAAGCGGCGCCAAATAAAATGTGACGAAGCCCGTCCGGTCTGTGGTTCCTGCCGCAGGAAACAGCTCCCATGTGATTTTCAGAGCTTTGCGCCCCAGACCTCCCCGCATCCGTCAATTGCCGATGTCATTCTAGAGCGTCCGGGCGGTTCTGTACTCCCTCTGCTGGACCTGGAGCTGTTGCATCACTGGCATACGGCGACTGCGAACTACCTAGCGGATGCTAAGCCGTTGCAGGATGTCATACGCACCGCCATGCCACAGGAGGGGTTGGCGAACCCTTTCCTAATGCACAGTGTTTTGGCAGTCTCTGCCCTTCACCGGGCGCACAGTGCGCCCTTGAGCCATGGCCAGATGTACGAGGAGGCCGCTGCGATGCATCATAGCCGGTCCCTGGCATTGTGTACCCCTTTGTTCAAGAACATTACCCGCCAAAACTGCCACGCCCTGTTTGCGCTGTCTTGCCTGGTTCCGGTCTTTGTATTCGCGTCGCGGAACCTAAGAAAGAACCCGAGGATCCGGAGTCTGATCGCAGTGGTCGAAGCGTTCAGGCTAATTCGTGGGGCGGCCTCCGTCGTGAACCAGGCCAGATCGTGGATCGAACAAGGACCCTTGCAGCCCTTGCTGCGGGTTGGTCAGTGTCAAAAGCCGATAGCAACAGTGGCAGAACAGTCTGCTTTGGCTCTGTGCGCGCACTTGCTGTCACTGGACCTCATTCTGCCGCAAGCGGGGCCATCACCGAACTCGGTGCCTTTTAACCCGGCCCTGAACGGCTCAATCAAGAACCTCTTAGATCTACTTCAACTTTACCTGCAAAGCGGAGACTCGCGGGCCATCATGGCCTGGCCAGTCGTGGTCGACCTGTGCTATTTTGACTGTCTGCTTCGCAAAGAGCGGATTGCACTCCTCACCCTTGCGTTTTACGGGTGCTCCTTGCAGATACTCTCGGGGCATTGGTGGTTAGAAGGCTGGGGGGAGCTTTTGCTCAAGCTTGCTAGGGATCATTTACCAGGGGCGGACAGAGAACTGCTCAACAAGATCAACGTACCAACGTAAAATGAAGTCAATATATTTTTCTCCTACTCCTTTTGTCCCTTAGAGTGCAATCGATGGGAATTTGAAACCTTCAAAACACTGCCGTGCAGCATACACTGCCCTTGTGCCCTCTCCACGACAGCGTAACAAGGGCTAGTAGTGAGATATGCTGAATTTACCACCGAGATACCACTCCAGCGGAATCTCTATGTTTTTAATGGGAATATACTGGCAAAAGTACCGGACATCGAAGCAAGGCGCCTCTTATTATAGGACATATTCCGTAAACTATTGTGTATCAACCAGGATCCCCCACCATTATTGTCCACTGTTACTAGATACAGGGACATCCTCCTACCCTCCCGTTCATATGGACCGCCCCGCAAGCTGCCTGCGGTTGGAACTGACAGTTCTCTCCTAGCGTTCTTGGCGCTTATTCTCCTGAACAAGGCGCTGAGTCGCTGTCTGCGTCTTATGGAATCTCCACGGCTTGATCCTTCTCTCAAACAACTCATCCAGTTCCGCGGAGGAACGCCTGGAGTGGCCTTATCAGCCAATTTCTTAAATATTCAAAGGTAGAAAACGTACCCAGCAGTTTCAGGAATCAAAAACCACATCCCCAGGGCAAAGGGGAACCCGACCCCCGCGTAGAACCAGCCCGTCTTGAGGCCCCAATTCCATTCGTTGGCATTCGTCATGTAAGGTACGAGGACGTTCATCACAACTCCCACCACGCAGGTTGTTGCGGCACCGAAGCCGGCGGTATACGGGCGCAGACGCTGGGAGGAGATCTCGCCGATATACCCCCATCCTGTGGCTCCATTTGCGGCCAGACCGACATCTGATACGGTTGGTCACTGTAAAAGTCTCGTCGGAAGGGGCTACTTACTCCAGAAACAGGCAAACATGACGAAGATATATGTAGAGGCCTTCACCCGGGGTGTGGTCCCGATGATGCCGATGGCGATGCAGGACAGCCACGAGAGGGTTGTCCCACCACATGCAAGATACCTCCTTCCCACAAAGTCTACGACGGCCACCAGCACCAGCACCGTGCCGATCTGAATAGACGAAGTGATGACCTTGACTCTGAACGGGTCATCAATGCCGGCCTGCTGGAAGAAATACGTGCCAAACGACCCAAACAGGGTGAGACCAATGAATTGCTGCGAGAGATTCGTCCAGAGCGAGATGACCGTTCGTAATCCGTCGGTTCCCCGGAAGATCGCGTACCATTTCTCGCGGCGTTGTTCAATTGCCACGGCACGCTCGTGTTCCACCGCCAGGACCAGGACCTGTAGCTGATGGTCGGCGTCGTAGTCTTTGACTCCTCGATGGAGCTTCAACAGCTCCTTTTTGGCTCTGTCAAGCTTGCCGGCGCTGACACACCATGCTGGTGTCTCCGGAACCAGGAGATAGATGAGCAACATGACGCCGAGCTGTGCCCACTGGGTGTAGACCGGGGTGAGGTAATCCGTCGGATCACTCCGTGAGAGATGCTGCAGCGCTACCTGGGCGAAGAAGGAGCCCAGAGTCCACCAGAAACTATATGCCATCAACAATGCACCACGGATTCGCGTGGGGCTACTTCGGATATGTATGCTGGCACGGTGGATTGCACGCATCCCACTCCGATTCCTGCCAGCAGCTTGGCCACCAACCAGCCCTGCCACGACCGTGTAATGCACTCGGCAATCACGCTACCAACCAAGATAAACCAGTAGGTGTACATGGCGATTTTCCTCCCGTATCGACTGGACAAGAATGGCAAGCTTGTCATGCCTACGATTTGACCGCAGGACATGATCGAACTCCAGGCGCTGAGGATCGAGGAGGCGAGAGCGGGGGAACCATTGTGCGATTTCTTGGTGGCAAAGCGAGCCACGAAGCCCTTGTTGGCGATGACACTGGCGTTGATACTGTACCTTGTTAACGTATCGTTTCATACAGCCAGTGGGTGATACGAACCCAATCTGATACCCGTCGGTAGCGGCACTGAAGGCCATAGCCACGCATATGAAGCTGGCCAGTTTGAAAGTCTTGATCGTTTCCATGACACTGAGATGCTCGTATCCGGTCATGGCCTGCCCCCTCGTTGCTGCATCCACTGCTGCGTCCCCTTGACGGGCGCGCCATCGCTTGTTTCGACATGCTCAACCGCTGGAGGCTTTTCTGTGGCGCGTGCGGACTCCATGGCTCAATGACAGGCAATCGATCGGGACAAAAGGTAAGTTGCATGAAGGTCTGGCGTTACTCTGTCCTGAGCTCGAGATCAGGCTCTTTAATCATACTGGTTTGCCTCTCATGGCATAATTACCCCCGAGTGGCTCGATCTTGTCAGCGCCTCGCAACTCTATAGACTTGTCTTCTATACTGTCCTAAGCCACAGCAATATGCACTAACTCGGGACAACCGGATTCTCGTGCCATCAATGGCCGACTCTCCTCCCCAGATTGCTACAGTGCGGGGGCGGTCCTGGGGATGGATCTGGAGACGTACCCGAGTCCGCCAGGACCAGATCTGAAAATCATAGGCCGACATGCCGAAAGTCTCCAAGCATGACCCTTGTGGCAATTGCCGTCATACTTCGAAAACTATACCGAAAAGGGGAAGAAACTCGATGTGGCTGCATTTAGCGTCCATTTTAACTCTCTCCTCCTGGGCTAGATTATGACAGGCCAATGGCCGTGCTCTACCTGGTAAAAGATACGAATATTGATGGGGGATGAAATGAATTAAGCTGCGAATTGAACAGTATACCATTCGTACTCTATACCTCTACCCACAGAAAAGAAGTCTATCGCGAGTGTTTTCTACGTTCCCGGAACGTTTCATTCAGATACAATGCAGAGCGCTTGGGAGTTCGCACCAAGGTCTTATAATCCACGTGGGTGATGCCATAGCGAGGGCCATAGCCGGCAGACCATTCTGGATAACGAATTGTCAGACAAGGCATCAGTAAGGGGAGGCGAGAACATACCAAAATTATCCATCAAACTCCACGCATAGTACCCCTCAACCGGGACCCCATCCTCATAGATGGCTCGCGAAATCGCATCAAGATACAATCCAAAATATGTGATCCGGAACTCATCATTCACTGCCTCCTCCAAGGACATTTGGCTCTCCCCCGGACAGGGACACCCATTCTCCGTAACAATGATAGGCAGCTTATACCGATTCCAGACCCAGTTCAAGAGTTTTCTGAACCCCTCAGGCGCAACCCGCAGCCAGGACATCCCCGAGACGGGGCCAATAGCTCGTCCTTGGGAGTTTGTGGCGAGTTCTTCCACGTTTCCCGTGCAGTCGTCGTCCGCCGGGGTTCGGGGAGAGCTCTGGCGAATTTGGTGGAGTAGTGGTTCATTCCGTAGAAAGCGTTGAGCGGGGCGAGATGCTTCAGCTGGTCCAGCTCCATGGGAGTAAAGGACGGCAATCGATCGCCCAATTGCTTTCGCATGGCCGGTGGATAATCCCGACCTAGGAAGATGGGGTCGCCAAACCACCCAATGTAAAACTCGAGACGGCGTTGCGCAGCCTCCTGATCACTCTGGCTAGACGCGTCCCAGGGCTCGTAATAATGCCCATTCAGCACAATGGAGATGCTCCCACCCTGCGACTGGAACTCCCCAGAGTAGATCTGTACGGCAGCGGCATGAGCGAGGATCAAGCTATGTCCGACCCTCCACGGCTCCGTACGGGAATCACCACCAGTGGCAGTGCTCCGGCCCGGCGCAAGAACACCGCTGTGATGTCCAAAGATCGCAATGATATAAGGCTCATTAAATGTAATCCATTTCTTCACTCTATCCCCGAACCGGGCGAAACAGAGGCGCGCAAAGTGTGCGAAATCAGATACGAATTCGGCTGTGTTTAGGAAGGCGCCGTATCGGTCGCTGAGACTCTGTGGAGCATCCCAGTGATAGAGCGTTACCACCGGTTCGATGTTGCGTGCTAAAAGAGCGTCGATGAGCCGGTTATAGAAGGCTATGCCTGCCTCGTCAATGGGATCGTCCCGTCCACCGAGGGGTATAATTCGTGTCCAGGCGATGGAGAATCGATATACATCGACGCCGTAGGAGCACATGAGGTTGACATCCTCGAGCATGCGGTTATAGTGGTCGCAGGCTATGTCACCGTTCTCACCATTTGTCCGGGACGGGACGAGATGGGTGAAGGTGTCCCAGATTGACAGGCCTTTTCCTTCTACTGAGGGAGCGCCTTCGATTTGGTAGGCTGCTGTTGCTGTTCCCCATTTGAAACTCGAGGGGAGAGGGAGGTCTTCAATAGGTGGGAGGGGATCGTAGGGGGTTCCGGCGAGGCAGACGGTTGAGAGTTGGGATCCTCCGCTTTGAACATGTTGACGTTCATTTTGTCGGTCATTGTGTCTTGGACTTGGAAGTTGTGCTCAGTCCGAACGTGTCACGAATGTAGGCTAGCCAGAAGTCTGCACATATAGACCCGGAACTTTTACCCGGAATCAATTGCCGAACGATCCTTGGGATAAAGATGCGCCGACCATACTCCAGTCTCCTTCCAGCTTACCCCGAATCTGAGACATGATGCATGGGTCTCGTGTTAAATCGCACCGAAATCGTAGAAATAAGCGGTTGACCCGCTGAAATATGGTCATTGCTAAGCACTGGCGCTCAATCATGACGCGCATTGCCAACGTGCAGTTTGAGCACTATCACCCCCCTAACACCATCGGGGTGGAGGAGACTCGTCCGCGAATTTCCTGGCAGTTCCGGAATTACCCACCTGGTTTCCAACAGGCTGCATACGAGATTGAGGTCTCAGAAGTGGCTTGGAATTCGCAGGTCACTGTTCTTTCTTCTACCAAGCAGTCATCGCCCTCATCGTATCTCGTCCCCTGGCCACATTCTCAGCCTTTGACCTCCCACCAGAAGGTGTCTGTCCGGGTCAGAGCCTGGGATCCGGATGGCGTTGGCACGGAATGGAGTGAGCCCGCGTCTCTAGAAGTCGGTCTGCTCAATCGGAGTGATTGGAATTGCGAGCGCGTCGCGGCTCCATGGGGCCCAGGTACCTCCGAGCCTGACACGGAGCAGTTGTATCGCAGGGAAATCAGGCTCGCAAGCTCTATTGCCAAAGCCCGTCTTTATATCACCGCCCAAGGAGTATACGAAGCGGAGATCAACGGTCGCCGTGTGGGCGACCACTTCCTCGCTCCCGGGTGGACGACATACGATGGGAGACTGCAGTACCAAACCTACGATATCACGGATTATCTCTCGGCTGGGGACAACTGTATCGGTGTTCGTGTGGCAGAGGGATGGTTTTCTGGTCGCATTGGCTTTGAAGGTGGGCATCGCAATATCTGGGGCTCCCATACGGCGCTGCTGGTCCAGATGGAAGTGACATCGAAGGATGGAGGGTTGCAGACGATCACATCAGACGGCTCTTGGAGCGTCACGCGAGGGCCTATCCGGCTGGCGGAGATCTACGATGGGGAAAAGTATGATGCTACTAAGGAAATTCACGCTTGGTCCTCAGCTGGGATCTATCAAGATGCTCCTGGCTGGTCCCCCGTTCTTGTCATGCCACGTTTACCCGACTCTGTCAAGCTCACTGCCGGGTTTGGAGAGCCTGTCCGGCGGATTGAAACACTGAAGCCAGTGTCTAAAATGGTTAGCCCATCTGGAAAGCTCATTCTCGACTTTGGCCAGAACTTAGTGGGTTATGTCAAGCTATCCAACATCAAGGGTCCCACCGGGCACAAGGTAACTCTATCTCACGCCGAGGTGCTCGAAAATGGGGAGCTCTGTACTAAACCGCTTCGAGTTTGCAAGGCTATCGATGAGTACACGCTCAGGGGCGATGATCAAGGCGAGGAGTATGCCCCGAGATTTACCTTCCACGGATTCCGCTACGCGCAGATAGACAACTGGACTGGGGGCCAGCTGGAGGCATCCGCGCAAGCAATCGTCTGCCATACAGATATGCAGCTCGTGGGCGGATTCTCCTGTTCATATTCGCTACTTAACCAGCTGTACCAGAATATAGTCTGGGGCATGCGCGGGAATTTCTTCTCCGTGCCCATGGACTGTCCCCAGCGTGATGAACGACTCGGTTGGTCGGGTGATCTGGCATTATTTGCTCCTACGGCGGTGCTCATATATGACTGTTTCAGCTTCTTAAGAAACTGGCTGGTCGACGTAGAGTATGACCAGGGTGTTCTAGGTGGAGTGCCGGCGATGGTCACGCCTAATGCAACGCTTCCCGACCCAGTCTGGTGTCGACGCGTCCCTTGTGCCATCTGGCACGATGTTACAATTCTCGCGCCTTGGGCATTGTACGAGGAGACGGGAGATGAGAGTATTCTCGCGCAGCAGTATAACAGTATGTTGACTTGGATGCGAAAGGTGCCCCTGAATAGCATTGGCGCTACGCACTTGTGGGACACGAGTGTTTTCAACCTTGGAGTAAGATTTCCCAACTCGGGTGATATATGAAGCTAATAAGATAGGACTGGCTGGATCCTGCTGCACCACCCAATGCCCCGTGGAAGGGCACCACGGACGCGAAAATGGTCGCAAATGCCTTCCTTGTCCATAGCCTGGACTTGATGTGCAAAATCTCTCGCATTCTTGGGCAAGATACCGATACATCGCGCTTCGTACGCTGGTCCGAGTCGGCGCGGAAAGAATTTCAAGACGAATACGTCACTGCGAATGGTCGCATCGTCTCCGACTCCCAGACTGCATACGCCTTGGCCATCTGCTTTGACCTGTTGAAACCCAGTCAAAGACAACACGCTGGCGACCGACTAGCATATCTAGTCCGGAGGAACGAGTTTAAAATTGGTACTGGCTTTGCTGGAACTCCCTACATCTGTGAAGCACTGGCCTTGACTGGGGATATCCAGGTCGCGTATGCCATGCTCCTTGAGGAGAAATGTCCGTCCTGGTTATACCCAGTCACCATGGGTGCGACTACAGTCTGGGAACGGTGGGATAGTATGCTTGCTGATGGGTCGGTTAACACTGGTGAAATGACCTCGTTTAATCACTATGCTTTCGGCGCGATTGCGAAGTTCATGTATGAGCGGGTTGCTGGGCTGCAACGGGTTGAGCCTGGTTGGAAAAGGTCCTGCGTTGCTCCAGGAATTGGAGCGGAACTCTCGAGTGCTGCTGCTAGGCATGTCACGCCGTTCGGGTTGCTGTCGTGTTCATGGAGAACGGAAAAGAATGGAAATGGATCTGAGAGGTTGAGGTTGGAGGTGTCGGTTCCATATAGTACGACCTGCGATGTTATTCTTCCTGATGGAGATGGGGAGAAGAGGGAGACCATTGGTCAAGGGGACTGGGTCTTCGAGACGAGCTTCACTAGAGGCTATGAGTGGCCTGTCGAGCCTTTGCCACCTAAGTCATAACGGGCCTTGTACCTTTCCAAAGAAGTTAAGACCCTACGCTATTTAGCTCGAACCTGACTTGGTGGTCCCAAGTTATAACCGCTATAACCAGCACAGAGGGTCTCTAGCAAAGCTAGTGGAACGATAAGCCACCGAATATAATAGGCACTAGACTGACTTGGGCAATGTACCTTAACAAGGCATTTTTCGATGTAAATCAAACAACTGGACGCCACTTCCTGCCTGTGGACACAAAATGCCAATGCTGGCTCAATGTGCAGGGAAATGCGTCCTGACAAGCCACAACGAGCACAGCCCATACAAATGACCTCGTTCTATTTGCTATTGAGAATGGTACCAGCCTCGTGCACTGGCCTCTCCTATGCGCGGCTAATGTGGTGTCCTGACTGGTGGCTGCATTGGCAATGCTACTGAGACAAACAAATATCGTCTGGGATGGTTACGATGGCACAAGAGCAACCGCAAGAACAGCCTTGTCTGGCACCAGCAGGTATTGGGCCGGTTAGTCAAGTACTCTGCTGTCGGTGAGGAGAATGAAGATGCTGTTTGTTTAGAGGATACAGGGGTGATAGTTGCTGATATTACCCCTCCTGTGTGAGACAGTGTATACATAGTCACGGATGGAATATATACCATACATTAAGTGCCGCGCAGTACATGAATGAGTATAGTAGACTATATAATCTGACTCATCATCAATATGCTTCTGCTTCCAAGGAACAACACCAGACTCCCAAAGCAAACCACTATTGTCTGTGTCTAGGCCTTTTCCCACCACTCATCAGGGGCACTGCTAAGATGTTCATGTTTTGAAAGATACTTCATAAACCAAACGTATGTGTCACTGTTCTTCTTATCATTCCTGTCCACAATCAGGAAGTCGGTTCCATTGTTCATTTCGAGTTTAAAGGCCTAGAAACAGTCAGCTTCCAACCACTAAGATAGAATCTGGCTATGAACAGCAATACTTGTCCCCTTAAGGAAATTGTTTTCCGACAGATTCGGGTAGTACCCCTTCAGATTCCATGTCATTCCCAGCCCCTTTCAGTCGGTGGTCGATTTGTGCCTGCATGAGATGATATAGGACCCTCTGCACTCAAGAGTAATAGCCTTGACGTGACAACTGTCCTTATGCGCGTTAGTAATTGCTGTATTAATGCCATCAGGAGCCCACGAGCTCCAGCTTCCATTTCGCCCTCGTGCATACTATGTACTGTTTGGGCCCAGCCAGCACATCTTGAGATTATGCTGCCCCCGCTCGTTGAGGTACGCTATGTGATTCTGGTAGGCCTGGCCTAGGCCTTCAGAGGTCTCTATCCTCTATTAGCAGTGCATCTGCCCAGCCTTAGTTAAGGTTATATACCCCACCTCCCGTGCGAGTAGCCCGCAACCTATTACCCACAACTGGTGCTGCGAGAAACATCACCCAGGCTGGCAGCTCTAATCCATGAGGGAGCCCATTTCTGTACAGGATTGTCGCTGTTCCAGGAGATGTAATTCTAGCTAGCGCAGAGATAGTACCCGTCACTGACTGTGACTAAGTAGGGAGCGAACTCAGTCAAGTTAGAGTTTGTCATCACAACTTAAGCCTAAGCCTGGCTTTATCATTATTAAGCTTTTGCCTGCTCCTCTTTTTCTTCTTACTCTTATTATTACCTCTGCTCATTAGCTTTCTCCCGCTCCCTTCGCCTTTATTACTCGTCTTCTTTCTCTCTTTATCTTTGCTGCTTTTCTAACTTGGCCTTCTCCTCCTTCAATCTGGTCGCATAATTGGTCCTGGCACTCTTAGAGCAGCATGTGAAGCGAACTGCGAGGACAGCGTCAAGATATTGACGTAAAGACCGAAGCTTGAAAAGATTCAGGATAGGACTCCAGTTCAAACCCCTTGATCTTCAAGTTCCCTCCCATCAGGTTTCATGACCTCCTTGACATACTCCGGGGGCATATTTAGGAGTAGATATACTTTTATATATACCATAGAGGTAGCGAGCTATCCTACTAGGTCGTAGGGAATCATCCGCAGTACTGTTATGAGATTTCTGCCATGAAGCTATTCCCATATGTGGATGCCCTAATATCCACCATTAGAATACAGGCTAACTTGAGAAAGCGCTATGCGGACCATCGAATCTGGCAGTAAGTAGTGCTATTTTTAGTGGTCGCAACAGTGAGGGGTCGAGCCCTGCCAAGGACTCTGGGAAATTACGCTTGAACTTGACAAAAACAGGGCGAGTTAATCAGTGAAGCAAGAGAAAGTACAACAACTTTCATGGCAACTGGCAAGTCTCAGGCTGGGGCGACTCCCTCAATCAAGATAAGCGCAGCCTCCCTCCGTCTTCGGGTTTTTCAGATACCTTAGGATCAAACTGCAATCGAGTCCTTCCTTATTGAGTAAGCTCGGGGCTAGTATCTGACAGGGGTGCTGGATAAATAGAATAACAGGCTAAATAGTAGTATATCACCATGTCTTTTAGCTTATATGCATGGGCATATCCCCGGACTTCTCGGAGGCTGTGTAACCCCCTGGACTAGGGATATGGTCCAAAGCTACCAATCCGCGTGTAAGCATTTTAAGGGGGGCGTAGCACTTGCTTATTAGTGTAAGTAGAGGTGAGCCTGCAATCCCGGCTCCTGACCCTACTTATTTCACAGGAAATTGGCCCATTGTTAGGGGAGTAATTGTGTTCCTATTTGGATGTCCGGCGCCTTCGGAAACCTCGCCTTTTTATAAGTTACCAGACTTCAAACCCACCGGTTCATCACTTCCATTCTCCACAACGCTTGGTACCCCAACAATCTCGAGAGCTACAGATGATGGAGACTGCATCGGAGACTGCGCATCCCGCTGGGGCAACCACGGACGTAAGGGACGTAATTGAAGAGCAGCCTGCAACTGGATATATGCATGGATGGGCTCTCGCTTCTTTGACCTTGGCTTTTATGTCTATCTATCTCGTGCTAGCTATTGATAATACCATTCTAGGTTCGTGCTTTTTCCTAATCTGGCGGACGGAGCATCAGACCTAATTGTCATACTAAGCGACGGCGATACCCAATATCACCAGTGACTTCAAAAGCCTTAACGATATCGGCTGGTATGGCTCGTCCTACTTGATCGCGCAGATGGCACTGCTACCGACCTGCGGCCGTCTCTACGCGTTCTATAATATTAAGTGTGTGTACTGCATCTCGCTGGCCGTCTTCGAAATCGGCTCCATCATCGCGGCAGTGGCGCCGAATTCGATGACGCTTATCATAGGGCGAGCAATCTCTGGCCTCGGCGCCGCTGGTTTGGTGAGCGGGACGACAACTATCCTGTCATATTGCGTGTCTCTGAAAAAGCAGGCGATGTTGTCACCTATCGTCCTGGGCATGTACAACATTGGATCTGCTATTGGACCACTCGTGGGCGGTTCAATAACCGATAACAAGGTGCTGACTTGGCGGTTTATTTTCTGGATCAATCTCCGTAAGTCTCTTTCGACGAAGAAGCCCATATCCCTCTCCCATAAACCAATTAGCTAAGATTTATCAAGCTTTCGGAGCTGTTGGGCTGGTCCTGGTCTGGTTCACCTTAAGGAAACCTCCACCCGCAGTAAAAGGGGACCTGCCCTGGAACCAGAAGCTACATCAACTTGACCTTCCTGGGGCTACTCTGCTGCTCGGTGCAACCGTGTGTTTGAACTTGGCATTACAGTGGGGTGGCATCGTCTACCCATGGTCTGATGCCGAGGTGTTCGGCTGCCTGATCGGATTCGGTCTACTCCTGATTGCCTTCCTGGGCTTGCAATTCCGAGGCAAGGAAAAGTTGGTTTCTTCTCTTGCGATTCAGTCCCTAACCACATAGAGGATACTTATCCAGCAATGTTTGCTAACATCAATCCAAGCGCGAATATCCCTCTTCGCATCTTTCGAAGTCGTACCGTATCGGCATCATGCGGCTTCATGATGCTCGTTCAGGTGGCTATAGTCGTGCACTCGTACTTTTGGCCCATATACTTCCAGTCGGTCAGGGGCACCAATGCCAGAGACTCGGGAATCAATCTGCTCCCATTGATCGTGTCGAACAGCCTCGGCACGCTCTGCGCGGGCACTATAGCGTCGAGGTTCGGGCACTATGTACCGTTCATGTGGGTCGGACCTCTCGTCTTGGCCACCGGAGGGGTCTATATCAACTAGTCCGTGCCGACAGTCCGCTCGGACAGTGGGTAGGGTTCCAAATCCTGTCAGGGCTTGGTTATGGCATCTGTAGCCAGATGCCGATTCTGGCTGTGCAGGTTGTCCTCAACCAGCCAGATATACCAACGGGCCTTGTCATGATCATGTTTTTCCAGATGCTTGGGGGCGCGCTAGCTCCTAGCGTTGGGCAGAACCTCTTCACTGATGGGCTTCTAAAAAATCTCAGCAAGGTGCAGGGAATAGATGGTGCAGCCGTAGTGGCGGCCGGCGCAAGTGGATTCAGGGACATAGTTCCTGCCGAGCTCATGAGTGCCGTCGTGGATGCGTTTAATTCTGCTTTAAGGAACGTGTTCTGGGTGGGGCTTGCTACGCCAGCCCTTGCTTGGATAACAAGCTGGGCAATGGAGTGGCGGCGATTGCCTGACCACAATAAACAGGTTACCCAAACCCCAGCCGAGGAGGCCGGGGAGAAATAGCTTGGATAGCAATGAAGAGTGTGGCCTGGGGGCTAAAATGGAGTGTGCCATGAGCCCCGGCTTCGACAGTAAATATGCCCCCGCTCGTCGCATCGTAATAAATAAAGTACAAATCCAAGCAAGATATAGCCGGCGGTCCATTGGGAAAGGAAAGTTGGAGCGCCCCAGACCTACGCCAACACTTGACAGGAAACTCGCAATAGGTGTGCTTGGGCAGATTTGCGTGGAGGCCTGCACTCTACGCCACGGCTGGCTGGCGCTTATGCCGGCGACCAGAATCGGATGATAGGTAGAGATTCCCGATTCGCTGCTGTGCGCTGACTGTGCATAGCACTTTGGGTTATCAGGACCTCGTCTCCGGTGGGTTGTTAAATCACCTGCATAGCACTCGCAGTGGGGCCCACATTGGTCCATATGATGCCCATTCGGATGCACGCTACAAGCCACTACATCATCGTCTGTAGAAAGTGGTAAGGTAGGATGTCATTGGTTGGCTCATCTGGCCGAGGGGTTACGGTGCACGCATATTAGGTGAGTAGATATCATGTAACTAGAATAGGACGTCTATGGGCCGGACTGTGAACCAAGCGTCGGGTTGTGGACCATCGGTGGTAGGTGGAAGAGTGTGCAGTGCCTTCAGAAATTCCGGATGCCATTTGAGTATTCCATATTGCGTACCTACTAGCCAATCTACCACCTCTTCGGCCGTATTTCATACCCCTATTTAGTTATACGGTTGATTCTTGCTAAAGTATAATTATTATCTACAATGTTGGCCTGAACCGAAGAGGGTAACAATGCAGAATGAGATCTAGTTGCATATTTATATATCTTGCCAACAACATTGGGGCCCAACCACATCTTCCATAATCAAGGCATGATGAACATCCTAATTCTCAATATCTTTAATGTCCGCTGTCCTAGTCAACCAATTGTCATTATTCATGGTCATGTAGACGTATATGTCCACGATGGGGCCAATACAATCCATGAGCAGAAACGCCCACACTTGCCATCCCCAATAGGGGTACCGTTTAAGAAATTCTCGGTATGTTGAAAGATATCCGTTCCATCCAAAGGCTATATGCGTAGCTGTTGATGAATGGGGGTGTGAGATAGAGTGATGAATGTGTATGCAGCACGGGTGGGTGAAGTACTCACGCGATCCATGGCGCTGTCTACAACGTTTGAAGCCAAGCCCAAACGTAGGCAAACGCCCAGATAGGGCGAGCGAAGCGCTGAACCATCTTGGACGTTGTATATGGGTGTCTCATTAGAGGTAGAGAGTTCAATTAAGCAAACCAGACAACCCCGTGACGAAGCTCGTCACCGAGACGGGGGGACGACCTACTGCATCAATTTTCTATAGCCAGGGAATACCAAGATGTACCCCAGAAACGTGCGAAAGCTTCCCCGGTCCCAACGAAGCAGTTGCCAGACAAACCTGTGGTCCCGATGAATGTTGGTGGTAACTTAGGCTTCGGGGGTATTCTGGATCGACACCTTCCATTCGCGGTCGAATACCAACCCCGTCAAAACGACATCGTCAGCGGTGTTCACGATCCTGCGTCCGATGACCTCCTGTGTGTATGCATCGGCAAAGCTCTGGTCCTGGAGGATAGAAGCACGGATGAAAAGTGTTCGTGCCGACAGGCACCAGCAGGCTCCATCCGCAGCGAAGTGCACCTCCCGAGAGCGTTTCCACTGGTTCAAGTCAAATGTCGCAGTTGCTTCCCAGGGAGTAATCGCTCGTGCATCTTGGCGCTCGGGCGGGACCTCAGCGCTGATAGAAATCTCAGTTCAGTCTTATGTTGTACCCAGGGGTAGGCATTGAATCTGAGGTCTCTCTGACCTTTGTATACCGGCAACCGCACCGACCTCGGCATCCTCAAACGGAGCCAAGACGTAGGGGACAACGGTGTTGACGCGCCAGTAAACATCGTCATCCACCAAAGCAAAGATTTTTCCCCTTGGCTTTGACACCGACGATCAGCTGGTGACGTTTATTGGCCAGCGGCGCCGTCACGAGGATGATTTTATCAGCATTCTGCCGGAATGGCTCGATAAGCTGCTCGACACGGGCCTTGTTCCGCTCGACAGTTGCGATGATGATCTCACGAGGATTTGACCTGAGCCAGAGGCGCATGCACTCGGTGAAGGTCGATTCGGTGTCAATTGTCGGAACGATAATGCTCACGTCTTTGTGGCTGTAGTTTTGCCTTTCGGGAAAGGCGACAGGTTTTTACTTGTTACCATAGTAAGATATGGCAGAACAGTGTGATGGATATCTCCTTTGACGAGTTCTTTGCTAATATCGAGTATGCCATGACCAGTCTCGCCCGGGACCGCCACTTGCACCAGACAATCCAGGGTGTCACGCACCAGTCCATGTTGGACGCCAACGACGAGCACCTTCTTGAGAATCCCATCTTCAGCCAGCTGGCTCATTTCCAGAGGAAGCAAGATGCAGGCGCCACGCAGACCGGCAAGGTCGACTTGAAAATGACTCTTGGTACCGTGAAAACGATGGAGGAGGCTGAGCAGCTCATCCGGGACGCCACGCTGACCAAGTTCGCCGTCTTCCTTGACGGCCCATCGACGAGATCAGGGTCGATTAGTCGCTTGCTATCATCGGCCTCGACTCCCTCGTCAGCATCGAGTTGAAGAACTGGATGGTGCGTACGTCCCAAGTCAGCCTCCAGACGTCGGAACTGGGCGGTGCTGGCAGCATTATGGCGCTGGCAGCGACGGTCGCCTCGCGGTCGAAGCTGATCCCCGACGGCATCCGCCAATCGCGGCCACAGGAGGCCAACACCCAGGCGGAGATTGGGAAAGTCCCAAAGAACGGCGCGTCGGGCCCGAATCATAGCTTCTACTGTTGCAGGGCGAGCAAGGAGCTACCTCGGCACCCACTTGTCGACCTTGACGAGGCAGTCAACGACCTCCTCAACGGCATCGGCCATATTACCCACACGCAGGAAGAGTATGCGGAGCTCAGCCGCAAGGCCCACGCCCTCGCTGCACCGGGCAGTCTCGGCCGCAGACTGTACAACCAGCTTCGCGCCAAGGCCGATGACCCACGGGTGGAGAGCTGGATCGCTGGCCCCCTTCTCAAGGCACTGTACCTCAAGCGGAGATATCCTATAGTGCCATTCAGCAGCTTTCTCGGCACCCACTTTGACAGTCCCGTGCCTCACTCACAGGCCCAGCGAGCGGCTGCGCTTACCAGGCCCTGTGCGAGTTTAAGCATGACCTAGATTCTAGGAAACTGGAGCCCGACTTTCTGGGAGAGCGGCCAAACTGCGGCTACTCTCTGACGTGGCTTTTCAACGCCCTGAGAGAGCCAAACGTGGGCTGTGACAAGATGATGAGGTATTCGGGGGTGGAGCACATCGCCGTGTTGCGAAGAGGACACTTGTTTCGCGTGTCACTCAGGGAAGGAGACGACATCGCCTCGTATCCGAAGCTGAAAGCAACATACCAAGCAATCCTTGACCTCAGTCTTGAGGAAAGGCTCTGGACGGGTATCCTGACGACAGACAACCGTGACAGTTGGGCCACAGTAGGTCTTGCCTCTGCCTCCGTATCGCGATTGGTATACTAACTATGTCCCCTAGAACCGACAGAAGCTCCTCTCGCTGGACGCGAGGAAGGCCGCGTATATCAAAACGTTGGAGAAATCTGTCATTGTCATGTGTCTTGATGGCAACAGCCCGGTAACGCGTGAGGAACGGGTCCGGTCCGGGTATCTTGGTGACTCGTTCAACCGCTGGCACGACAAGACACTACAGCTTCTCGTCACGGTCAACAGCAAGTCCGGTACCATCTTCGAGCATTCCATGATCGACTTCATGACCACGTCTCAGATCTCGCGGAGGCTACAGGGCGCCATCGACACCCTGGACCCAGAGAACGCCAACACCGGTCAGAACGGTCGAGTCGCCGTCGGTCCCGCCAGTTTGGAGGAGATCCCCCTGGTGGCGACGACGGCGGAGATCGAGGCTCTCATGGCGATGCTGCGCGACAAGTACGCCGCGACCACCGGGGCGAAGATCTACACGCCGCACCTTGTCCCGTCGTTCGGCAAAGCCGTACTCCTCGCCCACTCGGCGCCCATCAAGGCGACCGTGGACCTGACGATCCAACTCGCCAACCGGCTGTACTTTGGCTACCTACCGGCAAGCTGGGAAACGGTGTCGACGGCGCACTTCCACCTAGGCCGGCCCGAGATCGTGCAGATGGTGCTGAAGTCGGTGGTGGACTTCTGCGACGCGGCGCTCGACAGCAGCGTGCCGCGGGCTGAAGCTCTGAAGCTCGTGCCCAGTTACTGCGGGCGGCGCGCTCGATGAACGCGCAGATCGTCAAGGGCGGCGAGGGCCGCAACTACTTCCGGCTGATGGACGTGCTTGAGGTCATGAGCCACGAGGCGCACGACGACGGCGCCGCCGACGCCGAAGCCGTTCCTGAGCTGTTCTCCGACCCGGTGATGAAGAGGAGCTACCCGCGCCTGATCATGCAGACCATGATCGAGAAGAAACTGGCCCAGGATCCCGGCTACACAATGGAGGACCCAGAGAACGTGTGGATGAACTACACCGTGAATGAAGATTCGTGAGTAGCCTCCCGGCCTCTCTGTCCAATGCGGAGCATGCAGCTAACCTACTTGCAGTCTGGAGGTGTGTTTTGTCAGTCCTCGAACGGGCGCCGAGCGCTTCAAAGCTGCGCTAGACCGTGCGGCAGATATCGTGAAGACGACTATTCAGGCTGGTCGGGCATAAGGGGTTACGTTACGATGGGAGTAGAATCCTGGAGCCGGAAAAGTTGTGGTGAGTGTCGTTCAGGACGAGGGCTGCACCGACCGCCATGTCTCCCGAAGACGAAAAGGCGGATGATGATTGAGGACGAGGGCTATGGCAGCTAGTTTCAAGAGTTAGATTCTTTCACAGTTAGAGAGCTCAAGTGCGAGTTACGACAAATATAAGATGTGGACTGCCAGCCGACCCGGCGAGTCTATAAACCATCCCAGGAACGATGCTGCTCGCTCCCGGGAGTAGGATTCACGCTCCTAGAGGACTCGTAGCTCCCGGCAGCGTATAGCTTGGATCCTGGAGATGAAGAATTTGTTCCCGGCACTGACTCTCTGAGAAGGCTCGACTCAATTAATAGTACCTTAGAGCGTAGGAGTATGATTGGTCTGTTTTACTCCTTTCTTCAATTTTGAGTGATAGTTGAGTCTACGCGTAATTTAACATACCAGATACTCGCTCACGCAAAACTGAAATCAAACATGCTTGTTGTGCACATGTTGAAGAAAGTCCATGCGGGATCTCTTCGATGCAGTCTTCTTAGCCTTCTCAAACACGCTCAATGCCAAGCTGCCACCGCAAATCTGAGAGGTGTCACCCTCGCATTTCATGTCGCATTTGTTTGCCGCGATCTTAGAGCTGCCTTCCATATTGTTACCACAGAAGCATTGGCCAGCGTACTCAGTGCCTGCCAGGCTAAAGCCTGCATTTCCGCAATACTCCATACAACCAGTTGAAGTCACATTGCCAATGCCCAGATCCGCGAACTGGACCCCAGTGAGCGCACGAGTAGTCTCACTGTCGGAATAGCAGCCAAGATATGACCAGCCGATGATACTGTTCACTGTAGTAGAGACTTGAGTAGGTGTGTTAGATAAGGTCTGAGATGCAGACAGTATGCTGGTGGTAGTCGATGTGCTTTCTGGATCGGATGAACTAGAGGATGCGCTCTCGCCTTGACCCCATCCAGTTGGTGGATTGTTGCCCGGCAGCTTCTCGAGAACACCGGAAATCTTCTCGGGGACCAGGTTGGCGATGTTGCAGCTGTCGGAAGAGTCGTTGATTGTGCCAGCGTCGGCGCACTTGTCCATGCCCGAATCGCCGGCATCACAGTTATCAATAATCTTTTGCAAGACGTCTACATCCCAGCCAGAAATCTAGATAAACTTTGTTAGCAATAGTACCAAGGACTCATCAGGATAAGAAAACCCACAAAATCCCCGTGAAGAGAGTACCCAGTGCGGTCGCCATTTGCCAAAATAAAGGGTTGCGTGCCATTCCCTTGCTCCCACATGTCCGCAAACAAAGGGGTGTTCCAGTAAACTTCGTAGAAGATATGGGGTAGGTGAATCCATCCTGTCGGGCAATTCATTTTGCCCCCTGTGGTTCCTTTGCTGCTCGGGAACACCATATTGCTGTTGAAGTCATCGAGGCCAGCCTCGGGGTTGTAGCAAGAAGGAAAGTGAATATCAGCACGCAGCGGGGATGCATATCCGTCACAGTTCATATGCGGGAAGCCAGCCCCAGCCCCAGCATTATTCGGGTCTTGAATCCCAACACCATGCAATCCATCGGAATCTGCAGGATACGAGGGAGGATCATAGGAAGTCCGTGGGCATGTCCACTGAACTGGTTGAATGACGCCTTCATTCGTGTCCAGGACATTGGCAGCTCCGCCCGGTGGGGGAGTTCGAAGGCTACTGTTCCCACTGACCATGCGGAGGCCGACAGGGAAGGCTTTGATATCATCATCGGTCGGTTCGAAACTGTTCCTTGTTAGTTGGCAACTGGATTTCTCATAGAATGCGGGACTTAAAAGCTACGCACAAGTAGTAGACATTCATGTAAAACATGGGAACCGAGATGAAGCTTCCATTTGTGGGATCTTGGAAGTATAATGCCGGAGTCCAGTAATTGCTCTTGTCCGCCTCCACGAGGGAAGAGGTGCAACGTGAGTCCAACAGAACATCGTTACCCATGGTCAAATTGAAGTTACTCCCCCCTGGATCGCGTGCACATGACTGGATGCAGTACCGGGACTGATAATGGGATCCATACGGCCCATTGTTAGCGGACCCTGGCCATAGAAGTGGTTCACAGCGAATGTTCGAGAGTCCTTGGCAAATGCTGTTGCATAAAGGCCAGCAAACTGAATAGCTGCAGCTTTGAAATGCATCTTCGTATGATTCAGTCGAAGTACACCGTGAAATCAGTGAAAAGAAAGGAGCAGCCACAGCGGGTAGTACCGTAAGGAATGTCAGCGAGGAAAAAAGAATGAACCTCGTGAGTAACCAGACCCATGAGAGAAGTGAATGGAAGGTTGTGGGGAACAACTAAACGCAAAAGAAGAATGTAAGAAGAGGGTCCTGTTTTATATATGTTCACATATCCCCTATCGTGATTTCCGGGTCGCAATTTTTTGACGGTAGATGAAGCTCGCTCGACAGTTTCCTTCGACGAGGGAAGTTAGATGTCAATCATACTCTAGGCTTCAAGCCCGAAGCTCTGCGCTTGCCGTGAGTGGGTTATTTCATGCTCTTAAATTAGCATTGTGATGCCAGGGGTAACGCCACCGAGATTTCAGGTTAGCCTGCTGATTCTCAAGCGCCGTCGCCTGGATTCTATACTACGTAATGGTAAGTCAAGGTTATGAAGATGTTTCAGAAGCAATTAGCTTGAATCAAGGGTCTCCTTTACTCATTTCGAGGAATTGCCGTTTTGGTACTAAGCAAAACAGGATCTTGGCATGGATCAGTGAGGTTTGGCAGAATCTACTGTACTAACTAGTAGTCCCCATAATGAGCTGTCAAAGAATTCTTCAAATTTGACCAGAACCGAATATGCCGTCCGCGAACCGACAAAAATCTTAAATAGAATCCTGAGATTTAGAAGGTATCCATGCCCTAGGCTCACCCTCACCACTCCGCGTTGATAAATGATCATTAACTGCCATACTATCTACCATATTAGTACTATACCTATAGAAAATTAGCATTTTTATATAAAATATATGATCATTATTATCATACTAACTTTCAGGCTCTGGGAACCCTTTCCAACGCTCCAAATCTTATCGGTTACGCAACTGTAGTCTCTTCCTTTTTTAAGTGTTTATTGTTATTTGTCTGCTAGGTAACTAAAGTAATTTCATATTATTATATAGGAGATATAGATGTCTCGTCGATTACATACAATGCGGCTGGTGGCAGGCCACTCACCGTCAACAGCAACAAGGGTATCATCGAGGGCCGTGGCTGCGCAATTACGGGGCCTCCAACATCATAATCCAGAACGTCCACCTCTACAACATCAACCCGCAGTATGTCTGGCGTGGCGACGCGCTCACTATCCAAAACGCAGACCAGGTCTGGGTTGACCACTGCAAGTTCAGCCTTGTCGGTCGTCACATGATCCTATCTGGCTGGGAAGCCGCAGGCCATGGCATCATCTCTAACTCCGAGTTCGATGGTCGGACACACTGGTCCGCGACCTGCAACAACGAGCACTACTGGACCCTCCTGCTCATCGGCGCGAAGGATTACTACACGTTCTCACGTTCTCGGGGAATTACCTGCATCGTCTGTCCGGTCGCGCCCCACACTACGGGACTAGTAGCAATGACGCTACAAACCTCTTCCACGCCGTCAACAATTACTTGGAGGATATGGCCGGTCATGCCTTTGACACTGAGGCGAATACCTGGTCGCTTATTGAGGGAAATGTCTTTAGCAACGTAACCATCCCCAGGACCACCGCCTCAACCACAAAGTCCAACGCCATCTTCAACATGCCCTCGGGCCCAAAGAAGCATTAATAAGGAAGCCAATCATCCGTGGGTGTGTGCTGAAACAATCTTTTGGTTGGCTGATCTTGACGTGCAGATAGAGGCGCCAAGCAGGCGAGCCTGGGTCCCTCGCAAAGATATTCCATGGAGGATCAGGAAGGAAAGAGCAGTCGACCTGGACGGTTTTGCCATCGACAATTTGATGGACGTCCGCTCCGACCCACAGAAAGTCAACAAACAAACCATGCCATGGCTCACAAATAGGATTCATTCGGCAAGACATTTATAGGAAGCCCAGACTGTTTCCAAGCTTTTTCACGACGCATTGCATCTAAGCTGTTTCTTTTGAGGCCATAGGTAAAGTACACATTGAGCGTCATGTGTTACCCAAATTGAACTCATATCTGGCCCCGAAATGTACTCGACCCGCTCCCTTTTTCACCTTGCTTGAACCAGACTCTAAATTTCCCCTTGACAGAAAGCCGCCGACTTGTCAAAACCTGAACGACCAGCGAGAGGTCAGACAAGCTTAATTGGCTGCGTTAATTGGCAGTTCACATTCAATCAGGCTCTGGGAACCCTTTCCACCGCTCCAAATCTTATTGACATTAAGGCCTGCCCCCATTTCGATAAGATTATACCAAGCTGCGCGGGTGCGTTCCTGAGCAGACAGGAGCGTCAACATGACCATGTCAAGTGCTGTGGCCTCCCAGTAGGCACCTGTCTCCGGTATCACGTGCTCATGAATCAGTAGTCTGCTGTATCCAGGCTTCATGGCAGCTTTGACTTGCGCAAGAATGCTTTTGCATACATCGTCTGGCCAGTCATGCAAACAATTATGCATATAATATGCTCGGGCGCCTAACGGTGTGAGTAATGTATTTTCGCTTTCCAAGAAAAAGACGTTGTGGTACCGTAGGGGTCTTACCATTGACGGGCTGTTTCGTATGGAAGTCGTACTCCATACGGAGAATAGCCGGGTCTAGGTTCCGAATTTGGCCAATGACCACGGGTAAATCCTGAAGAATCAGCTTTCCTGGGACCCTGGGGTAAAGTGTGTGAAATAGCTCTAAGTCATGGCCCACGTTGCCGCCAATATCGACGAGAAACGGAGCTTCTGGATCAGTATTTGCCCCGTCGATCAGTTTCTCTTTCACTGGATAAAATCCAGGGGCCATCCAAGGCAAAGAACCAAGGGCATAGCCACTCATGTGGTCGTTAAAGTGTGTACCGTAACCCAGAGATTGCTGCCACGCAAAAGTATTCATGCTGGTTCCGTAGGCGTACATCATTGCCGTGTCTTTGGCATCCGTGGGATTCACCCAAGCTCGCTTCCGGGAGAACTCATGAAACCTCATAGGACCTGCACTTGTGCAGGAGAGCCTGTGGATGTGAGCAGATACAGGGAAAGCATTCGGGCCGAGAGATTGCGCTTACATGGCAAGGTAGCCATGGCCAATCGCCGGAATGCTCATCGCCCTCGTGTAATTCGTCAACCGGTACTCGTCCACACCAATCTCGATGAGATACCCCATGGCACTGAGGTGTCGCATCAGGCGACCTCATAAGGTATTAGTTAGACTGGCCAGAAGAGCTACCGCGGAACATACTCAGAAGTACATGATCAATCCCAAGCTTCGCTGCCAACTCGCTGACTTTTTGTGGCTCGTCGCCGTTTTGCGCCATGAGTGTCCATAAACCCGAGTCCACACCAAAATTGAGGCCGGCCATTGCACCAGTCTATTCGGTAGTTAATCCAGTTAGGTCTGCCAAGCGCTGAGTACGTGGTCCTTACCTGTGCCCAACAATGATAAATCATGGTCTCTCGGGGAGTCTCCAGGGCTTGAACCAAGGTGCGGCATTTGGCAAGTAAGTCTTTTCGGCCTACATTGCGAGTAGTAAAGGCATCAGAAGATTGTGTAATCTCCTTTAGTAGCGTCGGGACCGCGTCGAGGTTATTTGGTTCGGTAGCGATAGATACGTCGACAGGGGATTGGCCTTGGCCTGTTGTCTGGGCTGGCATACTGCTCGTAAATAAGCACTCAGGTGCGATCAAACTACGAGACAGTGTGGTATACAGACCTGGTGTACTGCTGCAGATGTAGGCAATTATGTTGCAGGGACCCGGTGTACGTAACAAGGTTGAATATATTGATCAGAGGCTAAAAGTCGAGACAATTATTGTCACTTGAAACACTTGAGGACACCGTCTACTTGAAATCTCGGCATCGATTTACACCCTAACCGACGTCTCCGCTCAACTTAAAGCAACTTATGATATTTGGTCATGTATATGGTCACCCTGTAGAGGAAAGCCTTGTGCTGATTATTCGAGAGAGGGTTAGTTGCTCCGTTCCCGGCCACGTCAAGAGTCGATATTAGGTCATGTGGTTACACAAATGAGTGGTTACACAAAGAAGGAGATTAGGCTTGCGTAGCAAGCTTTGGGTTGAGCAAAAATGATGGTTAGGTATCCAATGTATCGTCATCTATTGGTGATATTCTGCACGCTATCATCGGGTAAAGAACATCTGACCGGGTGACTAAGATATAATACCCAGTGGAACAGAATAGCTGTTACTGAATGTCGCTGTAGGTTGACAGGGTTTTACGGGTTGATGAGATGTCATAATGTTTAAACTCGTTGCAAAGGTCGGCTGAAAACATCATAAAGTCACTGTAAAAGTCGGTGAAGGACTTTCCACAGTCTGGACCAAATGGAGACCTATCACTTTTACGATCAACCAGACTCCGATGCTTTCTGGCGCTTGGTGGTAAAGATTGATATCCCAGTCTACCTCCACCGGGCACCTCACCAGACATTGTGTTTTACAAACTTTAGGCGAAGAGAAAATACCTCTTTGGAACCCCTCTTTCATTGCCAGTGGGGTTGGTCTCCATTTGCTGGGCACGTTTACCACCGGCGTATCTGATCGGTTTCTTTAACTCACGGTTATGTTTGGATACTTCGGAGAGCACATACCGTCTGAACTTAGGCGCATCAGTCACTGGCTAGAGGATGTTAAGAAACTCATTGCGAATGAAAAAGGGCGACATTGATATGCCTGCGAACAGTATATGACTCCTTCAAAAGAAACATATGGCTCACTACGAGTGGACATTTTTAGTAGCAACGCTGAAGCTGGTCGTTGACGAAATTGGCGCCGACCGCATTCTTTCCAGAGACTTATGATAGCGAGATATAATCCAACTGCCAAGTCAATAACTCACTTCGCCCTATATCGGAGCTCCTCCTATCAGGCGAATCCTCCTTCCTCGCCTCTTGTAACAGCAGCCCGGCCTCCTCTTCTCCACCAATCGCCAGATTACGAGAAAAATGTTGTATAACCCTAAAAGATTATGCAGTCTATGCTGCAGGAAGACTGGTTGTCATGGCCCCAGGATGGTCTCGACCATTTGAGGAACAGTACCCAGAAGCCGATGATACTGATTGGACGCATCCAAATATGGTCGAGATTTTGAAATTTTCCAGAACCTCGATAACATATATGCTTTGAGATTTGGTGCAGCTACACGTTGACGACACGTCCACGCTTGCTATCCCCGTACCCAGCCAGCTTGTGTGTCTAAGACCCCATGCAGGACATACACTGCAGAAGAATAACTATCGACAGGGCAGCCAATTAGTGGGGCATGCAGTTACGGTAAAGCAATCACATCCCATAAATTAAACATTTGCATGCTAAGCCGTGTCACCGGAGCCCCTTGCTGCTCATTTATAATGATCATTACAGTCGAGTACTTATTGCGTGGGCCGGACAAGCGAAGACATTCGACCAAGGAAAAGTCCTGACCAGGCATTTGCACCTAACAATATTACAACGACGCCATACCCTGAGAGAACGCCTCCCAGCCAAGGAAAAACTATGCAACTTACTTTTTAACCGGCTGCGTCTTCATGGGGTCATATTCATGTCCTGGCTGGAGGCAGCTAGACATCGCCGTTGTTGGCGGCGGGATAGGAGGAATGTCCGCGGCGACCGCCCTGCGCCGTGCCGGCCACAAGGTGTCTATTTACGAACGTGCCGATGTCCTTCGTCAAGCCGGTGCTTCTGTTTCCTGTGCAGCGAACGGTACGCGTTGGCTACACGAGTGGGGAGTAGATGTGGCTAAGGGCGATGGGGTCATCCTAAAAAAGCTCATCAGCCGCGATTGGACGACCGGCAAGATCCTGACTGAGTATGAACTGGATGACTACGAGAAACGATGGGGATACGTGTACTACATGTTTCAGCGGCAGTGTATGCACACAATGTTGAGGGATTCAGCATTGGGGGAGGGCGAAGGGGTGCCCGCGAAACTCTTCATGAATCACAAGGTAAGGTGCAGAGTCAGTCAGTATAAGCACGCCTACTTGCCCCAGGCCCTTCCGCAGCCGATCTAATATTTCTTATTTCAGTGCAAGAACATCAATATCAATACCGGTTTGATTGAGTTTGAGAACGGAGAGATGGCCAAGCATGATCTCATTATCGGCGCGGATGGCATCGGATCCGCCGTTCGTGGTATTCTCGGTATCCGGCCTGAGAAGCGACCCGCCGAGTCTAGCTGCCTACATGCAAACGTCGTCACTGAAGACGCGATCGCCGCTGGTCTTGCTGACTTCTCTAGAGATAACGCCCTGCAGTTCTGGGGCGGCCATGGGGAGGTCTGGGACAAGATCGTTCTCTCACCATGCCGAGGGGGCAAGTTGCTATCGTACTATTGCTTTTTTCCACGGGAGAAAGGAGACTACATGAATCATTCTTGGGGGGAGCTGACCGGCCGGTGGAAGAGTTGCTGATGCCGTACCCTCAACTCGAGACGCAAGTCCGCGGACATTTGGCCCTTGGCAAAGAAATCCAGCCATGGCGTCTATGGATGCAGTGAGTTTATCCTAACGCATAATCGGCCTTTAATCGAGGAGTCTGATTGTTCGCAGTGAACCGTATCCGTATATTGCAAGAAACATGGTCTGCTTGCTTGGTGATGCAGCTCACCCAGTATGTCACAAGTCTTGAATCATCCGGGTTAGCGGAATCAAACATTGAAACTGACAGACATTCAGATGATGCCTCACCAAAGCCAAGCGGCCTGCATGGCAATTGAAGACGCAGCTGCCTTGGGCATTCTTTTTAGCAAGAAATACTTCACGGGAGATGTGGTTGAGTCACTATCTATCTATGAGTCAGTTCGTCTCCCGAGAGCAACCAAGGTTCAGGCAGCAGCGGCGCGAGCCTCACAGAATATCAACGAGCGAATCGGTAAGTTAAAAGCACTTTAGAGAACCCCGAGGCAGGCATATTAACATCTATCTAGGTTTCTCTAGCAACATTCACAGTCCAGTTTACGTGGTGAAGAGTGAGCAGGGGAAATTGACAGTGGAAGAGATGAATGCGTGAGTCGACAATCCTTTTGGAGAGCTCTAGTCTAATTGGTATCAGTTATAATATACAGATGCACATCGACGAGGTGGTCTCCGGACGCACCAGGCAAACCTACACTCACAAGTACACCCGCGGTCTGCCAATGGGGCTAAAGCTATCAAACGGATACACTGTTGGAGCTGACGATTGGTCTTACGACTAGAGTATGCCCGCTACGAGCTAGACTCAGTATGGTAATACATGGCCCTGCCATTTAGACCCTTTCCTCAACTACTCCACCCTTGCGCGTGTGTTTAGATAGTGAAGTGGGGAAGGAGTCCCCCTACATGGTTGAGACGCATGGCCTAGTACTGATCGGGCTGGTCTCCGCCTGGAAGTATGCTAGTTGGACAGTGGACAGCGTACGGACGTTCAGTTAGATAGTACGAGAAGGGACACTTTTGCAGCTTTGTCTGGTCTGATCCCCGAGTGTAACCACAAGATGCCAGCGCCAATGCTATTTCTACGGGTCGATGGATTGGTTGGTAGTATTACACCTGCTAGATTGACTGTACAATAATGACCCATCATTCAGAATTGGTGGAAAGAGTAGGTCTTTGAAAATCGCCGCCATAAAAGATAGCAAAGTCTCATAGCTTGCGTCAATGTTAACAAGCGTTCTGGCCCCTACCTCTAGATTGTCCAGCTCATTGTGACGCAGCCTCTGATCAACATTTTGCGCGGCGCAATGTCTATCTTAGTATCCATTGTATCCCATCCGTACACTGGAGGGCGTCCACCACAGACTAATGCTTTCGGGTTTCGCGCCCTGAAACCCGCACTTACAATCTATCCGCAATTCCTCGAGACGCTTGTCAACAGACTCTCGTCCACGGATCATGCACTATGTGCGAATGCGCTTCAACTCATCAACTCGCTTATGCGTGACTCCATCGCAAATGACTCCGAGCTAGAATGGCCCAGGTTCATACAAAACTTCAAGATCTAGGGGTAATTCGAGCAGTTTACGCTCTCATGCAAGGCACAACCCTGCAAGACTTAGAGGCGGTCTAGACGACTGAGCTGCCAGGGAAACCCTGTAGCTTGTGTAATCCCTTTATCAGCTATCCAATTTGAGTCTTCCTACACCTATCCTGGCCCTGACTAGGAATCGACAACCGCATTATGCTCAAGTATCCAATGCCGTTTCGCCTCCATTGCAATTTCGATTCGACGTAGTCCTTCGATCAGATGCTTCCGGGGTAGAGCAAACGTGAGTCTGAACCAGCCTGGTTCTCCGGCGTTGAACTTAGAGCCAGCGGCAACAGCCACACCTGCCGCTGCAAATTTCTCAAGTAGCTCCGCGTCTGTTTCCTTTGTCGCTAGCTCACCCCCAACCCGCGCCCACATGAAGCATCCAGCAACTGGGGAATAGAACGCAATGTGATGGAATGACAGGAAATTTCCCACCATCTCCGCCGCTATGCGCAGGCGAGACTTGCTACGGTCCAGTATGTTTTCAAGTGTCTGAAGATTCGAGAGGAGAGAAGCAACAGCTGTTGATGCTATATTAGACACCTTGAATCGGTTAAGGACCGCTAGTGCTCGGCGGAGCCCAGGATTCGACTGTGTAACGAGGTATCCCTGAGAATGTGTCAGAGTCCGCTTGCACCAATATACGCAGTGAGAATGATGACCAACCAGTCGAACCCCGCTACTACCAAGATCCTTGCTGATACTGTAAGCTATATGGACACGAGCAGGATCGACCTGCAGTCGCTTCAGGTCTATGGCCAATACCGATGTGAACTTCGTTTCTAGCCCAATCACAACCTCGGCGTTGTTGACGTCTTGACTGCATCTAATCGCCCCAAAATTTGAAAGGGCGTATATTTCGTCGGAGATGAAGTGAATATTATGAGCTCCACAGAATTGAAGCAGTGCCTCTAACCAGATGGTAGGATAAATCTGACCCAGAGGATTGTGGGGGTTGCAAACGATGAGGCCCCGAATTGGACACGTTGCATTTTTCATCGCTTCGCTATAGTGCTGTATGAGATCTGCTGCATTTGTCGGTCGTCTCGAGTATTTCACGGGAAATATCCGCACGTTGTTCCTCAGCGTTGAGGTGACCGCAAACCCATCCCACATGGGTGTCTCTAGTAGGAGACCATCTCCACTATCGCAAATCGAAAAGATCAGGGTCTCAAGAATTGATGCGCATCCTGTGCTCGTAACGATGTGCTCGGGTAGAACGGCAACTTGAGGAGAGAAGAAGCGATTGAAAAATGAGGCGGACACATCCAAAAGCCCTGGAGGTCCACCTAGCTCTTGGGAATATGAGAGGTCCTGCTGTTTCAGGTTCGATGACACTGCGTCTTTCATTATAGGAAGTACGTCTGGTCGGACAAGCCAATTTTCCGCCATGTCCATTTCCAGTACGCCCTTTGGATGCTCTGGTTCAGCGGAGGCATGGTCTGAGAGCCAGGACAGGCTTCGCTTCATGCGGCCTGAGAGCATCGACAGCGAAGAGCCGATGCAACGATGGACTTACATGCGGGGACGCAGCACCTATGATCTTTCATCTATTTAAGAAATTGGACGGGGCTTGCGTCTTCGGTCTCAACGGGCGATCAATGCTGTCACGCGCGATTCCAACTCACCGCTGCTTCCCTATGAAGTCCTATGAAGAAAAAGGCGGTCTGCAAGCCAACAAGAGCCTAGAGCACTTTAATCGATCTATTCAATAAGCTGGCACTTCCTTACAGATTCCCGTACCCCAGTCGGGGGGTGTAGGTAGGAGCATATCTCTTCTCTCCTCTAATCGCTCTTCGCAGCAATCAGGTTCTCGTTTTCTGCACTGATACCATCCTTTTTGTAGACTTGGCGGGCGATCATCACGGCAGGCCGGTGAGCCACATTTTCACCCTGGACTCTGTTCCGAGGTTGTGTAACACATACGCCGAGGAATGCAGTTGGGGACTGTCACATTGATAGATCTCTTGTGGTGACAAGAACTGGGGGAATATCTTGCGGCTTGTTGAGGTCATACTTTCGCTGTACCAGTGGACATCGAAGTTCACCTTCGGCCGTACATTGTTGCCTTCCAACCCTGTGCCTCAGACTATAAATAGAAGTAGGATGAACAAGCAGTGATATTCTACATTTCACCCACCTACTATATTCACCATTATTATCACTGAAAATGCTGTGGGAGTCTCTGGACATGCAACAGGCGCTGGCTGTCTTGGTAATTGGAATCACCACCGTACTGATCTATCACCTCTACCATACATACTCGCAGCTGCAGCACATCCCCGGTCCCTTCGTCGCAAAATTCACCAACTTGTATCGCTTCATTCTAGCGCGCCGTGGTTTCCTCCACCTGTACCAAACTCTCGCTCACCGACGATATGGCCCCGCCGTACGATTTGGTCCCAACCTAGTATGCATTTGTGACCCGGAGGCCATCCAGACAATCTTCAACCTGCGGGGCGGATTTCCCAAGGTATGTAACCCATCTCCATCAGGCTGTCTCTCTCCCTAGTTATGGATGCGAAGAATCTTCTGACCAAATGCAGAGCAAGATGTACCGCGCCTTCCGACCATGGACCACAGACGGCCTACTCCTCTCCGTCTTCACCGCAGAGGACGATGCGGCGAATCGACAGATGAAGCAACATATCTCCGTGTACTATTCGCTCTCGTATACTGTATCCTCTTTCGAGCAAAGAATGGATAGTGCTACGCGAATGTTCTTTGACCAGCTTGATCGCCGCTTTGTGCCCACGGGAGCACATTTTGACCTGACAAGTTGGCTTAAATTCATGTCCTACGATACCATGGGCTTGATGACATTCTCCCGCCCATATGGGTACGTACAGCATGGGAGAGACTTACACGGTATCATGGACGACGTCAAGAGGGCAAACCTGAGTATCGGACCGGTAAGTTATAGACCTCGGACGTTCACATGGGATAAGACTCAACTATTAGCAGATGACGCAGATACCATGGTTCGATTGGCTCTTGCATAAGAATCGACTAGCAAATCTCATCAAACGCGAATCCATTGCCCCTCTGCTGGACTACGTTCTGGCGCGTATCGCAGAGCGTCGGAACGCGCGGCGGAACAGTCATAACACGCTCCCCAATGCAAACGCCGACGGACCATGTGCCGACGGTGACTTCCTCGGGTATTATCTACAGGCCCAGGAGAAAAAGGAAAATGTACCGCTTCGATTTGTGTCAACATGGACCTTTGCCAATATACTGGGAGGGGCCGACTCCACGGCTTCCATGCTTAGATCCGTGGTCTGTTTCCTCGTGGAAAACCCTGACGCACTGGAAACAGTACGAACCGAGCTGCAGGATAAGCAAGGCACTACCACAGGGCTCACTCTTCCTATTCCTCAATGGCAACAACTGCAGAACCTCCCCTTCCTTGACGCTTGTATTAAAGAGTCACTTCGGCTTGATCCTCCGTTCGCTATGCCTCTCGAACGAGTGGTCCCTGCAGAAGGAGCGACAATTTGTGGTCACTTTTACCCTGGGGGTACCGTCGTAGGCATGAGCCCGTATATTGCTAATCGCTATCGGCCGACATGGGGGGATGATGCGGAACTGTGGCGTCCCCAGCGCTGGTTGGAAGGCGAACCGTCACGTATTAGAAAACTGGAAGCTAGTTTGCTGAGTGTAAGTCGGATGCAGTCCGGGTCCTTGGTACGTTCAATGTCTGATTGCGCCAGTTTGGGGCCGGGACACGAGGTTGCCTGGGCCAGAACGTCGCCATGTTTGAAATCAAGAAGTTTGTTACTGCTCTGTTCATGAACTATGATGTGAGTACCGGAGCATAACGGCGATAGTACATACTTACGTTTTAGGTTGATCTTGTCGAGCCTCGAGCGAAGTCCAATCCATACTATTGGGTCGTATATCCAGAAAGCGTGCAGGCGACAGTCAGGAAACACAACTTCAACCAGTAGGACCTAGCCCAGAGTAGGACTACAAACACTGGGCTTGTTAGTGCGTTATCAATCCTGGATTCACTAAATATTACTCCGTGCAACTAATCCAACCCAAAGCTGCGAAAGAATCTCGAATCTGTTGGTTTCCTGTGGACTTGAGCATGAATTACGTGAGCTAAAATTGTGATTCATACTGCCATATATTTAAGTCGTTTTAGTCCCACAACATTGAAAATGGATATTCTTTGGAACCGTATTCATTGATCAACAAGTAGTCTTATACATACTGAACCAGGGAAGCTCGCGGACAAGTTTGACGTAACAGAAAGGGGCGGATAGGATCGCCCAAATAAACCACTAAAATACTATATACACCACCATGGGACCAAGGAAGACATATCCGGTCCTTCAATCCCGGCGGAACCCAAATGTTGAAACTGAACATCATTGTCTTAGAGCCACATAAACAGCAGCATCAAGAATTCTTAGAGATAAAGTTAGTCTATCCTGGAAACTTTCTGCTAAGTTCAGCCTTGATTTTATCGCTGAGCACTCCAGTTCTTTGCCAGATCTCTCCACGCAAAGAACTGGGGTCCAGATAATATTTGGCAAGATCCAATAGTAAAGCTGGGATGCGGAAGAAACAGTAGGGATCCGAAAACACATGCCGATCTTCATGCAGCCAGCCTCTGATTGGATTCCACCTCCACAGTCTATTATGGACACATATATCTGCATACATCAGTAAATACACATTTACATTTTCTTTTCCGATTTTTGCCCAACCAGTTCTTCACAAGTGAGTGATCTGCACGTGGACTGCTTCCGAAACCTTCCCCATCTAACGGTTTATTAGTAGTTACAATACATATGTAGGCGTTTCCACTTCATGCAAATAAATGCTGGTTAATACTCCACATACGTCTCCGACAACCCTTAATAATTCAATAGTTCAATGCCACAGAATAGCACAACCGTCACCTGTCTAGCATTCGTAAGTGCCTTTGTTGGTGCTATCTATGTGCCGGCTCAGGACGAAATCATGTCAATCTTTGACTGCAGCTACGAAATTGCCGTGCTCCCTCTTTCCTTGTTCAAACCTCGGACTTGCCTTTGGGCCCATCATCGGCGCGTCTCTTTCCGAAATCTACGAAAGGAGGGCTGTCTCCGCTGTCACACCGCCTATCTTTATTTTGTTCATGGTTGGAGCGGCTGTGTTTCAGACGATGCGAGACCTGACCACCTGTCGCTTCTTCGCTGGCATTCTTGAATCCCCTAACATCACCAATGCCTCCGCTACGATTTTGGACTACATCCCTCAAATGTACCGTGGTGTTAGCCTTCGGATATACTATTCGATTCCATCTCTTGCCCGACGCTGGGCCCACTTGCTGGTGGCTTTATTATCCAGCCAAGAGACTGGCTTTGGACGCAATGGGCTGCGATCGTAATGGCTGCCGCTACATACCTCCCTGTTCTCCTAACGAGGAAATCTTACCAAGACGTGATTCTTAAGCGTCGCGCGAGAAGCTTTGGTCTCGTGGACTCTTCGCCCTAGACGATCTCCCTTTGAAAGTATGTCCAATACTTCTTTGGCACGTTAATTCAGCGACCACTACATATGCTGGTTACTGAGCCTATCGTTGCATTGGTCAGCTGTTACAATGGTCTGATCTTTGGCTTGATTATGCTTATGTAGTCTCCATTCCTTGGACTTTCAAAACCTACTATAATCTCGGCAAGTCTGCACAATCACTCTCCTACCTCGGTGTGTCATTGGGAAGCTTGGCTGTCTGTATTCCATTCCCTTTTATCGACATCTTCTTTTACCAGCGGCGCCTACGTTCTTGGAGACAAACGTACGGAAGCGAGCGAATGCTACCCAAGAACCGTTTTATCCCGGCAATGGCAGCTAGTCTCTTGCTCCCCGTCAGTCTTGTAGTTGGAGGCTGGACGGCCCATTACCGTGTCCACTGGATGGTTCCGATTTTATTACAAGGAGTGGCGATGCTTTCCTGTCTTCTCATCTATGCTGGCGCGATTTTGTGCGTGTTGGATACCTATGGACCACTTTACGGAGCGTCTGCATCTAGTGCAATGATGTTCAGTAGGTACTTTGTGGGCTTCTTGTTTCCTTTATTTTCCCTACGCATGTTCAAACGACTCGGCGTCGGGTGGGCAACCTCATTGTTGGCTGTGTTGATGCTGTTGATGGCACCGATTCCTTGGGCATTTTGGATCTACGGCGAGCGAATAAGAAAGAGAAGCAGTTACGAAACAAACTCGTGGAAAAATAGGTCTTCCAGTGCCGGTAGTAAACTAGCTTTTTTTTTTTTTTTTTTTTTTTCCCCTTCTGCCCTCATTACCACAAACTGGACATCGTCGTTTGAGCGCCGTCAAGATATCGATGACTGAGGAAAAGCTGTCCATTCTCCGCAAGTGCGCTGTCTATTATCAAAACCTCACAATACGTACCTGGAATCTGGCGACAAATCGGCTCGCAGAGTAGAATCACAGTTTCTGTTCGCTCTGCCATGGGACAATCCGTATGCGCCACATGAAAGTATTATATATGGTAGAAGGCGACACAAATTGAATAACCAAGGGTATATGGCGGTACACCCTCGGATAGAAACGAGAACACAGCAATGCTAGCTCGCATGTTACCAAAGCCTAGCTTCCATGCACTTCCTACTGAGCGCGGTCATGCCCACCGAGAGTCCTGCTGAACCAGCAGATGACAATGCTCAGGGATATAACCTTCCCATACCAATGGGGAATAGCGCAGCATTGGGGGTCGTGGGTTGTTCCACAATAAGTAACGCGAATTCCAGGACTCAGGTTCCCATCAATGAAAGTACCAAGAGACGGCAACAGGCTGCTGCCCTAATTCTCTCGGCAATGCAAGTATGGGAATACAAGTTTAGAAGGTTGTTACCCCGGTCTGCTCTAGTCGGATCCCGCGCCAACCATCTCCGCGGCTATTCGGAATCAGGACCTCGTCACCGGGTATCTGAGTTCTCCATTGTCCGGATGTCCGTTCTTGTCTGGTCCACCGGGTTTTGCTCGTAATTGTCATGGAATCCAGGACGTCGCTGGTATTTATAGTAACCTCGCATTGCGCAGCAGGCCACTTTCTCAGTCAAGCACCATGCAACATCAGAGATACTGCACACCACCAACCTTCGGAATCCACTCTTTGCGGGATTTCTGGCGCTTGAGCAGCGGGTTGCCTTCGAGGCATGGTCCTGACACCGAAAGGGCGATTTCTGTACGATAGTATCATCCAGAAATCTCAGCAAAGTATGTGGCCCACCTCTACGCCAGAGATCCACCAGTTCCCTGATGACTACTCCAGAATCCACCAAGAAGGCTTAGGGTATTTCACTTATTATCCTGTGAACCCATCATCAATGCGGGCCGGAAGATGTGGTGATCTGGAATCGCTGATTCAGGATGGAGTCGTCTCGTTTGAACCCATCACGTACGAAGGTTTCTCGCCCATCAGTGCTGCCGGGATTTTTCAGTCCAACCTCAACGGCGAAAGCACTGGCAGCGCGGTTTCGCGGGCGGACAAAGAATCCTTTGAGACGCACTTGGGCGTTCCTGTGCATGACACGTTTGATTTGTATCAGAGAATGCAGGAGGCGTCTATCACGGAAACCTTCAAGGCGCTAGGCTCGTCTATACCAAGTTGAGCGCGGGCTAACAAACTATTGGTATTATCTATACGCCCTATGTGCCTTGTGAGTAGACTGCTACCCGAAAAAGCCGAATATTAAATGCCCCCTACTGTGCCGTCGTCGGTAATAGAGTTGAGCCATGAAGTATCCCAGGTGTCTTCTTCCTGCCCTCCAGTAGCATCGCAAGGCGATGTTGCAGTTGCAGAATCTTCTGGCAGGGTAAAAATGCCGCTGTCAGCTGGGCCATGGCAGAGAAGTAGGTTCTGGGAATTCTTACCCGCTGGTGCTGGGCAAATCGGGACCGGCCTATCTCCATCCCCGGTATCTAATTCCTTCGCTGTCCTTTGGAGTCGCCTCAATGATCTTTCCAAACCATAATTACAGCCCCTTTGGTATTCCCACACTGTGGACCAAAAGAACTCAATGCACTCGTGATACCCATCATTTTCTGCTTGCGTGTGTTGTAGCATGACAAGAACTGCACAGTAAGTAGCGTATGAAATACCATAATGAGCTCTCCGGAGTGTAAAGGCCTTCCTGTATGCGTCGACTAGTTTCCAAATATTGAGCGCTGCCCGGATACAGTTTTGCCTCAACTCGTCCTCAACAGGAGGGTCGAGTGTGAACCTGAAGTGGCCTCGATTGAGAAATGCTTGCTCAACCAAGATTACTAGAGTCCAATACGTCGTACTGGAGCAGGTGTATGAGTAAGAGCATCATATCATAGTGTGCATATCTACGTTCCACTCACTGTAGGGTCATTTGATGAGGAGGGGGTGTGGTATCTGTATTAGGGTCGAACCTGAGCCTAGCTGAGAGATCCTGGTCCCACTGCTTGAGTTGTGTCAATATGTCCTGTCTGGTTTGTAGCAGGCGTTTGTCTGAACTTGTCACGCTATTTAACGCATAAAATGCATCGATGATCTGAGCTGCAATCTTGCAGAGCTGCAATAATGCTTCAAACGTGCTGATCGCATGAGACGGTCTTCCATGGTAGACGGGAACCGTGGTGCCGAATATTGGAAAGGCAGGATCGTAATAAAGGGTCCATGCTTCCATTTCCTCGAATGAATCGAGGTAGTTGCATGTTACGTTCCCGGCTGCTTCCTGCATTGCAGGGGGCTGGCCAAGGCAAAGTGATGGCAGCCGAGTTCAATAACCATTTAATACGCCATCCCAGACAATGCCGAGCCTGCGCTTTGTTGACCGTATGGCACGAGGCATGCACCGCATGTGAGTAGAGCTACCACTGTCGGGATTGTAGGGATATCAATATATTGAGGTAGCAGCTCCTTGAATCGTTTATAGTATACTAAGCCCTTAGGATTTTGCTCTTCGAGACCCAAAGACAAGGGTGCTCGGTCGCTATATAGGCTGCTTTGCATGTAGATCGCGTTCAAAAGCAGCTTGTTTATATACGGCCCATTCGTGATCAAGCTATCCATAATAGCTGGCCGATAAGTTAGTAGATATGATAAGTGTTGAGATTCCAGTGCAGCTCTAGTAGATGCATTGTCAGATCCATAGGCACAAGCTCTTCTTGTCTGCGCACGGCAGCGTCTGAAATAAGCTGAGCTCTGGTACTTTCTGTGGTCAGGGTTGATTAACCCCGGTGGGAGGACTGGCGGTTTGCCAACGGGGTCTCATATAAGCGATCACGAAGCAAGCTTGTGGCACCATACACCTGGCTCCCGCCCCCAGCCATTTTTGGCTCTGGTGAGTTGGCATTGTCATGACGGACAAGTTCGGTCGGATAGCCCAACTGAGCACAGTCAGCGGACGCAAGGCCATGGCCCCATTCTAGTTGCTCACTCCTTTGTGGGCTGGGCTGCAGAGTGTGTTGTCAGATGATGGAAACAGTGAGCGCAATGCATGACCACCAGGTCTCGCCGGACAATTAACTGGAGCGTGTTCTTCTGATAGCTCGAGAGATGCTGCGGAGCTATGCACCTTGATGTTGTCCGCCCCCATTGAGCCCGTCGCGTTTGGTTGGGTGCCAGCCCCATATATTTCTCTCCTCAGCTCTTCTATCCGTCGTTGAAATGCCCTCACATCGGCCTTTGGGTTTCTGCTGGCGGTGCGTCATGCCTCCCGTGGACATGGACATCCGATACCTCTGGAACTGCAAGCACCACACCGCGGTTGACGGCCGTCGCATTTGACCTGGTTTTAAGTCAGTCGTGTCTTTCACTAGAAGCGGCAACCTCCAAATTGGAACACAAATGGATATTAGCCCAACCCTACCTTTTCTGCCGGCAGTTTCGGTATGTTCCACATGCTGAATAGGAGTACGTTGACTGCTGCGGGCTTCCAGCTGGTCGATCCATACCACTCGAAGACGTTCGTGGTATGGTTGAGCAATGCATTGTATGTATTCTACCGGTCATGTAGGGTAACAAGTGAAGTGTGTGCGGTTGTAAATGACAACGAAGGATTCAAATCAACAAAGCACGCGCATTGAGGATCGGACTAGGGGAAACCAGTAGTTAATATAATCGGTAAGCAAGCCTCAACTGCAACCAAGCCGCCACCCAAGATTGGGCAGAGCCGAGATCGAAGCTATTTTCAGCCCCTAAAACATGATTATATTACTAATTCTAGTTATTCTTACGCTGCGGAGTGCGGACATTGCAATCACTTATAGCCTAGAATATGGCGGTCACTACAGTGTAGGGGGCCTGTTAAAACTTAAGGGTGTTATTCTGTATCTACTACCTACTCTATAGGAATAGATGGAATAGCTTTATTAGCCTGATTCCTGTGCTAAATAAACTCCTGCCCCTCCTAGATAGAGAATCCCTTATAGCTTCTATCTACCTCCTAGATTGCTTCCTCTTTTAAAGCTGCTTCTTATGTGTAGTGTTATCCAGTATATAGATCCTCATTTCCTTTGTAAGAAGGATAGTATTATTTATTGCTATCCCACACCCCTTAATAATCTGATCTAGCATAGCCTTAGTAGGGGTAGAAAGTAGAGTTGCATTCAGTCTGAGTTTGGGCAAGTTCAAACCTAGTTGGAACTGACCTGCTGTAATTTTGAATTTTTTGAGTCCAAATTTTGGAAATCAGAACCAAACCTAATCTGTTCTAATTCAGGTTGAGTTTAAACACAAAAAACTGCTACTAGGCATAGATAGGCATAGCTAGACCACTACTAACTAACTATGGTTAGATTCACTTTGGTTCAGTTTTGATTTATGTCACATACCCCCGCCGGGGGCCCATCCCCTTGCTTAGATAATAGTTTGTCCGAACAACACTACTCCCCATTAAATTATACTGTTATAAGAGGTCTTCTGCAATGCTGCAAGGCAGATCTTATTTGATTCCTTGCATTCCTACCCTCTATGTATTGAAACTCTTGGTATATTTTGTGACCAGCAACAAGTCAAGTTCTATGGGAAACCTGAGCATCAGTCACCTGAAAGCGGAAACACTGATAACGCCCGTGATTGAGAGCCAAGTAGACCTCGCCATACTGCTTTTTGGGTAACCACCGGTAAACCTCCAACCCGCCAAGAGCAGGGCCCACATTTTACTGTATTACTTTTGGAATACGCAAGATTTGTTATGATAAAGAGCGTAATGAAAACTGTATATTACCGTGATTTATTTGTCTTGGTGGGCTTTTTTGTCTGGGTCAAACCAAACATTTTTGCAATTTGGCTAGGCCTAGTCCAACTAACCAGAGTTGGGAGGAAAAGAATCACGGCGGAATTGCTTGCCCCACTGCCAAGCGGCCAGTGAGTTTGATAGTTGAATTGTGGACCACGCCCTTTCAGTGATCGTACCGCCCAAGGTTTACCCGCACGCAAGCGAAAGACTTAAAACTGGCAGCTTGCCTGTTTCGCAACCAGTGCAATCGATCGCTGATATGCCAATGCAAAATGCGTCGATCGACCCGACAGGACCTCTCTGAGTTGACTCACGATCTGGAGGTCAGGCCCGATGCGAATCATGGCTGCCCCGAGAATCCAACCAATGGAGTCAGTCTCGCTTTCCCTGAGGGTGGCCGTGAGGCATGGATGTGCCTATTGGGATCCTGTCTGATGATGTTTCCATCTTTTGGTTTCCAAACGGCAGGTGAGGCACTTTGGTCAAATTTTATCCTAGTGAATCATTAGGGATGTTGACTACTGACGCTCCTTCAGTTGGCTCCGTCCAGGACTACATCAGCACGAACCAACTCGTCGACTACACTATTCGTGATGTTGGCTGGATCACGGCCATCTTAGTGTTTCTGACTTTATTTCTTGGAGTCCAAGTGGGACCTCTGTTTGATCGCTATGGACCTCGAATTCTGTTGACTTGTGGTTCGGCAGCCAGCTTTACTTCTTACATACTACTCGCAGAATGCACGAAGTATTGGCATTTCATTCTGTGCCTGTCCATCCTGGGTGGTGTCGCATCAGCTATCATTACAACTGTGTCAATTGCTGTTTTGAGCCATTGGTTTCAGCGCCGACGCGCTCTGGCCTCCGGTATCTGTATGGGGGGATCATCGGCCGGAGGTGCTATCCTGCCATTGGTGTTACGGACGCTGTTCTCGCGTTATGGCTGGACGTGGTCTATTCGGGTAATCGCCTTCACAGCCTTAGGATGCTATCTGGTAGGGATCGCATTGGTGAAAGGCCGGCTACCACCTGGCAACGCCGGCAAAGCGACGATTGACTTTCGGGCGTTCCGGTCCCCTCGTCTCTGTTTCTTGACCATCGCTGTCTTCGCCTTCGAATTCATCATCTTCGGCTGTGCTGCACTTTTACCGACGTATGTGCGCTTCGCTGGGCTCTCATCGGATGTGCAATTCTATTCCCTTACAGTATTGAATAGCATGAGCTTACTTGGGAGAGTTCTCCCTGGCTTCGCGGCCGACCAAGTCGGGCGGTTTAACATTCTTTTGTGTTTGGTGATCACCACTTTGCTGGTCATGGCAGCAGTGTGGCTCCCCTTTGGGTCCCGCGATGAAGCCACACTCTACGCCGTCGTGGCTATCTTTGGATTCGGCTCCGGCGGATGGCTGTCACTTGCGCCTGTCTGTGCCGGCCAGCTTTGCAGGACCGAGGAATACGGACGATTTTACGGCACCGTCTATTTCGTGGCTTCATTCGGGGTATTGCTGACAGCCCCGGTGGGGGGAGATCTGCTTCAATCGACCACGCCTCAGGTTCTCATTGGGTTCTATTCGGCAGTCCTCCTGGTCGGACTCATTGGTCTTGCCTTGTCTCGATGGGCTCTCTTAGACTGGAATTGGAAATGGAAGGTTAAGGTATAGGTCTACATTAGATCATCGACCTCCCGATGCACAAATTTGAAGTTGGATGTAGGATGCTGTGGCCAAAAATATGCTACGCCAACAGAGCTGTACAGAAACAGGCCCCAAATAGCCTGGTTACGGCCCTTAGTGGGGGATCAGGGTAAAAACAAACAATAATTCTATTACCAGTACTTGTGTTATTTTTTTCTTCCACAAACGGTATTGAATACCCTGGAGTGCCATCCTATTATTTCTATTTGTACATGACATACCAACTACAGCCCTCGGCTTGTCTGATGCCTGTCTTTGTATTTTTGCGTTGACTAAATTACTAACCATTCATTTCCCGAGACGGATTTAGACACATGCACCAGTGATGAGGCGACCAAAAATCTATTCGGGCATCTGGACCTGATGGTCACCTCGATTTAGACTGAAAGGACTCCACCCTAGTTGTAGTCTTTACGTGCGATCATGCTTACATCATTGGAGCAAACTGTCTCCTGGACCCACTAGGAGAGACGTATACTCCGCAAGGCTAAGCCAGATTAGTTGTAGCGTAGGGCGTGCTTGCTACCGGAAAGTGTGCAACTCCACGCCCTACGCTACGGAGTATGCTGCATGCGTCAAAGTTGTATGTGGATCGCGAAAGCCATCCCTTTGGTTCAATAAGGCTATCGTTTTTGCGAGCATAATCCCCAGGACGGACTTTGGCGAGGGAAGCAGGCAGCTTATGCTCCGCTCTCGGCGCGTTTGGTCAAAGATACTTCCCGACTTGCTTGTGGAGGAAAATAGCACACTATGTTCGAGTTTAACAGTACTCAAGTCCAAGAGAATGCCACGCTCCGTAGTGCTCTACCGGCGTTTTCTGCGGAACAGAAAGCTGAAATAAGAATTCTCCTCTAACATACACCTTAGCAGATCAGGTTGCCAATGTTATTCCAACTACTTTCTACCGGAGAAAAGGCAACCGGGCCTCAGGCCGATTCTTCAAATTGCCCTTCAAATTCATCCTCTTCCGTCAGACATATTCTGAAGCCTTCCAGCTTCCCCCCAGTGAGAACTCGAGCGTTTCCATTCCATTTGCGCCGGGAGATTGACTCTTATAACTGCAGGTTAGAACATTTCATATTGTCGTTGCAGGAACCTACTTTGTCTTTAACAGCGCATTGGGGTCCTCCTTGACATCGGGAGCTCAGAATGCAATTGCTGACTATTTCCAAGTTGCCCGGAGTGATATAAGGATGATACTCCTATCCTCACTTTACATGGCAGGGTTTGCCGTTGGTCCGCTGATCTTTGGCCCGTTGAGCGAGTTCCTTGGTCGGAAGCCTGTTTTATGCGTTACTTTCGCAACGTACATGATCTTCACGATAGCATGTGCAGTGGCCACATCGCTTCCAGCTCTGTTAACGTTTCGATTTCTATGTGGGTTGGGAGGTTCTGCCCCAAACGCGGTAATAGGTGGCCTATTCGCTGATATATATGTTGATCCTCACCAACGTGGAATGGCAATGTCGTGCTTCATCTTCGTGGCCATATTTCCATCTCTTCTCGGGCCGATAATATCTGGCTTCGTTTCTACTACATCATGGAGGTGGACTTTCTGGGCTGGTCTAATCATCGGCACCCCAGGCTTTCCTCTCCTGTTCACCATTCCAGAGACATATATGCCAGTTTTGCTTCAAAGGAATGGAGGCGCCTTCGGTGACATCCAATCCGGTGGGTTTCAATCGACAACATCAAAACTTCGCCCGCGTTCACCAACGGTATCATGCAATATCTGCAATTTCCTCGGTCGCCCATTCATCATGTTCGTCCAAGAGCCAATTGTGTTCTTTTGCTCCATCTACCTCTCTATGATTTATTCCCTCTTGTACCTCTTTTTCGAATTTTATCCTCTAGTATTTCAAGGTATCTTCAACACCTCCAATTTCTGAGAGCTGAATGCTAATTAAGTTTGTCACGATGTTCTCTAGAGTTGTACGGATTGTCGTCTGGTGCGGCCAGCTTAGCCTTTCTTCCCAGTATGCGCAGCAACTCTGGCTTTGGTCTTACATGGATTCTAACAGCGTGTTCAGTCTTGCCAGGTTTAATTGTTGCGTTGATCCTTTTTTCCGCTTATAGTGCATACCATGGTAGGGCCCTGAATATGGGGTCAGCATGGGCGCAAGTGGAAGAGTATAGACGGCTGCCTGTCGCGTGCATCGGAGCTCCCACTATTCCCATCGCTCTCTTCTGGTTTGGTTGGTCGTCAAAACCAATGGTACATCCTGTGATACCTATGATATCGGGGTTTTTCTTCGGGTTCTGCTATTTGCTCATATTCATGTCCCTCCTTAATTATCTCACCGATGCATACCAACAATATTCTCGGCAGCAGCGGCAGCGTCTACTTTACGGTCCCTATTCGCCGTGGCTCTTCCGTTGGCCACCACCGCTATGTACACGAAACTTGGTATCAGTTGGGCTAGCTCGCTCTTGGGATTTGTATCGATAAGCATGGGGGTAATTCCGTTTGTCTTTATCAAATATGGAGCGTGGCTGCGGAAGAACAGCATAATGGCCCAGAGAGCAGCACCGGGCAATAGGGTGCCTGATGTAACTGTCCAACAAATATAAGATCAAAATTTATGTGCTCCATATCCACAACTCGGGCTGGCTGATGTTCAATGGCGTGAATGACTCCTTTAGTGAAGTGCTGATATCACAGTTGCAATGCAGGTCAAATCGTGTTAGATGAATAGGTTGATGCAAAGCTCCCAAATATATACAGAGGGTCTCACACTGGAGTACACCGCAGTGAGGATTTTAGATATTAGACGGGGTTTTATTGAAATTTGTGTATCAAACTCTTGGAAATCATGTTATATGGATGTCATGTTCTTAGACAGCTCCGTATAAGTTTCCCTCGCATCAGCGACTGCTGGTGCCGGAAAGCAAACATGCATAACAGACACCTAGCATGCCAGCTCTAGTAACTACATTATCAGTAGCAACTAACCTCATTGTAAGCCCGTCTCGTCAAAAATCTAATAAATTCGAGCGCCATCTCATGCTGCTTAATAGTGGTCTGATCGCGTTGTGATCACATTATGACAGTTGATAAACTATGAACCCATAGCTATTTACCAAAGATCTGGAACGTGGTTGAACCACGCCTGTACATCATAATAACAACCGTCGGTTTAGCAATGCATAGATTATTCTCCTCAGGCCGAAAATGAAGTCGCCCGCTAGTGCTGGGAAGACGCCGACATCCCAGAAGTTCGTGGGGAAAAAGGAACTTCATCAGTGACACGACGAAATTGGCGATGTACCGAGATCCACTTGTAGGCATTAGTGCAGCTGCCGCCGCGGGATTTGAAAAGAATGAATGTACTCAGCCTTCCGCTAGTGTCCGTAGAGCGTCTAGGTCGTCAATACATACTATATCCTTCAGTAAATTGACCACAAACTGCATTATTTCAGGCACAGTCCCAACTGCGACATTTTCGCACTGCTAGCCTCTAGTAAGACATAACTGAGGGGCAACGGAACGGCCTCACCTTGAGTAAGGAAGACATTGGCCGATCTGGGCTCTCTGTTTCCCAAATTCAAAAGTTATAGACTGGGGACGCAGGGCAGTTGACAAGAATCCCATAACTTTAGTCCTGGTCTGCAGTAGCACAGTTGATCGCCCCATTCATCGATACGCGATGTATAGACAAAGCGGCGGGTGGTTGGTTAAACTGCTGCTCCAACTCTTCGCACCTTGGAATTGATCCGCACATGCTTGGGATCTCGTTTGTAGCTGCCGCATCGTCCCCTCAAGGTCCGGGTCGACCCACTGTTTCTTCCACTCTTGTCAGTATGTGTAAATTTTGGACAATAAATGGAAGAATGCGCTGTCTATCTTTCCGACATTTTGCTTTGGCTCTCAAGAGTATATTGGTTGGATAAAAGCCCTTGGATGACGTTGAGTCGTCCGAGCCTGTAGAGCTATGTCTATAACTTCTGTTTAACTGTCATACAGGAGGAGCGTGGTCAAATCGAGAGAATTACAGTATCGAGACAGGAGCTCTAACACAGTAGACGCCGCCCGTTAGCTGCCTGCGCGTCAAGGAGGTAGCGATGAACACAACATCGACCGCTATTTGCGGGAAAGAGGATGCTGAGATATGCACTAAATCACATTCATTGTGCCAAAAAGTCTGCATCAGCCAGCTACAGTGGCATGTCAAAGTTTGATCCAGTGTATTTACCGCTAGTTTGATTATGAATCCGGATAGATCCTTACGACTAGGGGTCGTAATAGTCCCAAGAGGGATGCTGGGATGTTGTTTCCTATGAGTCCTAGACTGAATATATCTAATACTATAGAGCCTAGAGATGCATGATCACATCTACAGTGATAATTATTTGCAAAGGCGCCATGACGTTAATTACTTTAGTCATGTATCTAAAGATTTAAATCCGCGGCAGTATAGTTGGGAATCCCTAATCAGGCTAGCGGTAAATACACTGGATTCAAACTTTTGACATGCCCACTGTATCTGCTACGGCTCGTATTGATAAGCCTAAAAGAGATCTATTAGATATACTTTAGGTTTTCCCGGGTTACCCCACCGGACCCACTTCACAGGGCGTGCAGGCACGCCTTGCCCTGTATGCACGCCTTGCTCCATATGCACACCTGGACACGTCTGACTAGTTTGAAAACACCAGATTCTTGTCTCTCGAGAACACCTGTTCGAGATAGCTGCGCAAGTCACACATAGTGTGCCGCCTTATCTGCTCGACTTTGAATCGCGAACATTAGTGCCGTTCTCTGCCACTAATGGGGCTGTTAGTGATCACCTTTCTCAGATGCTATCCCGAGCCACCTTTGTCGACGAAGTAGGTGCGCAAGTGCTTCCGGAGACGCCAGAGGTGTCGCTCCACCCCCTTCAAGAACCCGGTTTGGATTCGTACACTGAAGTGCTGACGCGCCATCTGAGCCGTTACGCACAACAGATGATGGGAAGCGGTATCATCCCTACAGACGAAATGTTCCAGCAAGAGGCAAGGCGTCTACTTTTTGATTCTGAAGATCAGTGGAATCAAACCATTGCTGATAATCGCGAATGGCTGGCTCACTTTCGAGGACAGCAAAGCAATAATAGTCATCATCAGGCCCAGAGGACGCTCTTGTGACCTCTTGTGACCCAAGAAGGGTGAGCGATGACCCCACGGTAGGGGCTTGGCCATTTTGCCACATTGCCGCCACGGCTCGATGCTCCTCACCCGGCCGCCAGGGAATTCCGCAATCAAACGAGCGTAGAAGTCGCAGTTATGAGGGTACAAAGCACATTGCCGCCTGTGTGCCCCAGCTTCTTGGAACAAGGGCAAACAAGCGTTCTTCTGCTTCCCGAAGGGAATATTTGCCCGCTCGGATTCGTTTAGGGGACATCAATTCAGCTGCAAACGAAGCCACCCTGGCCATGTTATCGGGAAAAATGAGATGAAGCATCTACGGACCATACAGCCTATGGTGCACACGACATATAAGCGGATACTTTAGGGTTAGTAAGTTATTCTGAGTGCATGTGGGCCTCCTTCTACGGGCTACAAGGGCACACCTGGATGATCTCGTCAAAGCCGGTGACTGCCCAGGGTGCCAGATAACTTGTGATTGGTAGAGGGTTGGTGTCCAGTTCTCAGGTACGCCCTGGTAATATGCTTGTATCGGCGTTCTGCTTGGCAGCCACCGATGCGTATCCTGCGGGGCCATAACCAGAACGTGAGGCTTTTTGATATACACTGCCCGTATGACGGCATGATTTGCAGCTATTTCGCCGCGAGGGTGGCACATTTGGGCTGAAGCCGTCGAAAGGCTGTAGTCTGCCGCCATCTATTCGGATAGGAGCTCGGACTGGCAAGGTAGATAACGGGAAAATGAAATGGACGGCGCACTGAAGAGCGGAGATGATTGTGTATGTTGTGGTTGGAATTCGTTCGGATGATTACGATGCTGGTGCTTTATCAGACTTGCCCTGCGGGAATACCTAACCCAAACACCACGCTTTAGTTTGTGGTCCTCAATATACAGTGACTATACCTTTTGTTACATGTTGTCTCCGAAACCTTGAACAGCTCCATCCCAATGTGGATCAGACTATGGCGAACTAGGCTCGAGGACTGGACTGAGACTAGGGTACTATTACCAGCCAAACACTCTCTCAAGTAACTCTAACCATCTCTAGCCCAGCGGTGCTGCGACATCGCCTGACAACGGCTACCCTTGGTGCATACATGTGTTTGCAAAATATCACCAGTTTCTTACTGAAGGAGATAGGAAGTATAAGTTGCGTACGGAGCTTGGTCGGATCAATTTGGTCTTTCTTCGTCCAATTTTTGCCATGGAACCCTGTGATTATGCTATGTCTTTCAACACAACTTTGACCAAATGACTTGGGATTGCTCGTAAGTTCTCTGTGCCGTCTCTTCTGACTAGGCACAACCTGATAGAGTTCCTGATCCAAGGTGGAATGCAATGGGTCGCAAATGCCGAACTTGCCGCTGCAGTTAGTAATTCTGGTGGCCTCAGGATTGTATGTGCCCTGCGATGCTCGAATAGATTTGGGTGCCTGGAAAGGAATGGCTTTCTGCTAACAGACTGCCTAGATCTTGGCGCTGTCTCAGCCTACACCCGACGCCCTCCGGAAGGAGATCAGAAAATGCTGTTCTCTAACTTCCAGGCCATTTGGCGTGAATCTTGCGATACTACCAGCTGTTCATCCACCTGATTATCTTGCATATACAAACGTCATTGTTGACGAAGGCGTCCAGATCGTTGGAACGGCCGGGTCAAATCCAGCTTCCATTATCCCGTCACTTGAGCATTCAAACGTTACAATTCTGCACAAATGCACATCCATTCGCCACGCCAAATCAGCCTTGGCGTGGATTTTTTTGTCGATAGATGGATTCGAATGCGCAGGGCATCACAAATTTGATCCTCTTGAACCGTGCCAGGCAAGAGCTTGCAGTTCCGATGCATATGAGAGAGTAGCGACACGGCTATGGAAGGGGCGATAGATTTGTTTATAGAATCTCAAATAGGGCAATCTACACGCTAGACATACTTTGAGCGGGGCTTTTTCTCTTTCACTTTCAGTGATGTAGGAATTCAGCGGATATAATCCTAGATACCTATTTATTCCGAAACGGCCTTGCGGAACTCCAAATCTGTGGGATGCGGTCATGTATGCCAGGAAGTCCGGATTCCACTATAAATAACCTGTTGTTATAGTATGTATTTGTCGACAGCAATCCACAGCGAATCATATCATTTGCGATACTGATATATGTAAGACCCGATTCAACCACACCTTATACCGGTTCTCACGGACTAATTTTACGCAAGGACAAATATGAAGACAATCAGCATTGTTGGCGGTATTGCCTGGCCGAGTTCCTTGGATCACTACAAGACCATCAACGAATACTACAAATCCAAAACCCAAGGCAACGGGCTCCAGACGCCAAACATCTTGCTCACACAAACCAATTTTGCTGTGATATAGCAGGCCCAGGCAGAACGGAAATATGATGAAGGCGGCAGACTGCTTACAGTGGAGGCAAAGAAGCTCAAGGCTGCTGGCGCAGACTTCTTCTTGTTGACATGCAATACAGTCAACACCGCAGATCATTATATCACCAGCAACGTCGACTACCCTATGTTACATATTGTTGACGCTCCTGCGCAAAGGGCTATACATCAGGCTTCAAAACAGCTGGTCTCCTCGGTAGTCGATATACCATGTCTGGAACATACTTTGTGCGGCGCCTTGAGAAGAAGTATAATCTCAATGTGCTAGTTGCAAATGGACAGCATGAAGCCAATGTGCACAATGCATTATACCACGAACTTGCCAAAAATATATTTCTCCCGGAAACACAGAAAAAATTCAAATCAGCCATTGCGGACTTTATTGCGAGAGGAGCAGAAGTGATCATCCTGGCCTGTACAGAATTTGGTATGCTGGTTCATGTAGAAGACAGTGAGGTTCCAATTATTGATACCTGCGTTGTTCATGCGGAGGCTGCGGTTGATCTTGCTTTGAGTTTATACTAAGACACAAAAGATGTAGGTTTAGTCGTTGGTACATGGATTAGCAGATAGATATGATCCAATGCAGTATCAATGCTAGGGCGTGTGTTGCATAGATCACTCACAGTCCAAAATCTTTCCCCCGATGGCCCTTTGGAGACAACCACTTGGACATCTATGGCGGCAGCTCTTGTTCTTGCAGGATCCGGACTTCCCACTGCCGATATTCGATTTATTTTGGACATCCAAGACCAAGCGCTTACGAGCAGAGAGTTACCAGTATTTCGCGTTATTCCATACCAATTCTCGTCACTCAAGTACTACTCGCACCCTTTCTGCTCTTCTCACCTCTCCGGGCTCTCTGCCTCACACATTCGAGAGCTTCGTCGGGATAATGGGCACAATGGATTCAATGGAGCCTAAGCCTGACCAGGAGTATGCAGCTGTACCGCCAGGGTAAATGACGAGGAACAACTAGCGTCGCAAATTGGCTCATGATTGGGACGACGCCGATGACCCTGACAACCCCCGAAACTTCTCATACTTCACGCGGGGATTTAGTATCCGGTTTGATACCTCACAAATGCGTGTCTCGATTTGCTTAGTGTAGGAAGTGGTGACACTAATTCAGATCATTAGGTACCAAGCCTCCAGCAAGCCCCGTACCCGGCCCCTGGGTCCCGGATCGAGATCCGTCCAGTCGGATGCCGATCTGCAGTTTTTGCTCGTCGCTCTGCAGAATTCGCAAGGAAGGGCCGCTCCCGGACGTAACCTTAGCTCAGACTACATGCGGAAGATACTGTCACAGGACAAGCGAATTTTGCATATTGAGAGCTTTATCTACCAATCACATAAACTCCAAAAGCTGGGCCAATTTTTTGAAGGCCAGTAATTGTCATAGATTCTGTCTGACTTCCTCAAAACTCAGCTAGCGACGCTTAACAGCACCAGCCTTTTTGACGTGTGTAACAGGGCCCCTCGTATAACTCGAACTTATCATGCTTCTTCCCCACAGGGTCCGACCAACCGGGCGGTTGCTCATCATAGGCCCGTTCGTCCAACTAGCTAATTAAAGCCATCCGACTTTTGTTAAGCCGTGACAGATTCTAACTACTACGGACAGAACAGTCCTCATCAGGGGCGCGGCCCAGGGCCAATGATACTATAGACCGGGGGTAGCGGTGATGCGTAGTAAAAGTCTCTGGGGGCGCGGTGTGAAACGGGTTGTTCCAGTGGATTGAGAGGTGGAAGTAGACGCCATTAAGCCCATTATTGGAGTCCGCAGATATTGTTGGGTATAATATAATCTCATGGCTTAGCATATATTATATTAGCCATATTATGTGGTACATAAGTGTTCCATGCCCTCCCCTAGCTAGATATATCTTAGTCGGAGTTGAAACTGTGACCCATGTATGGCTAGCTCTAGATGTTTATGTTCAATGACTCAGTTATTGATGAATTCTATTGTTTCTATTTGCGGTAGGAACGGTGTGTGCCGAGAGATCCTATATTTTTACTCCTGCGATATGGACCCAAGATAGGTCAGGGATACTCCTTCGCTAGTAGACTTTGTAATGTAGTTCCAGCAATTATCTTAGCTAGTGTCTGCACTGAGATTTATAACCATGACGCCACTCCGGGTGGTATATAGGAGAGATTAAGGCGAGGGGATGTAAGATTCTTTCTCTGTTAGGCTGTGATGTGGACACAGATGAAAATGTATTGTAAGGAGTTTTTAGTCAATCACCACAGCCCATACTGGATGACTATATTAATAGAGCATAGGGGCTATAGTTAGCAAAGTTAGATTCACATGTGCTTACTCCCTCAGTGAAGCGTGTCTGGGGTGACCTCGGTGTGTCAATTAGAATTAACTATGCTGCTACAGAGACCAGCATTACCATGGGAAAACAGCACGGTTCTCTTGATGAGATTGATGAGGTGAGGTAATCGCTCACTTTGCATGATATGAGTCTAGTTTTGGTGGGGAGGAGTTTGGACGGGTTGGATGACGTCCGTGGATTCGGGAGTATTTGCCCGGCTGAATCGTAGCGTTGTGCTGGCAGCTGGCGGCACACGGGTGTCATGTTACGACCAGTCCGATGCTTTACCGCGCGGCAAGGTATGCCACTGGAGTGTCCAATTACCAAACCAAACGGTCGAGGGCTAACCCGTCCTCGACGTCTGGGGAGGCCATTTCACAGTAGGTGGAGGTGGAGATGCCATGTAATTCCTTAGTAGCGCCTGTATCTCAGCGCTAGGCATGGGGTTCTCTCTAGGATTGGAAGATCTTGTTTCCCCTATCACTCACAGGTCGATACAGCCGACCGGATGGATACGTCTGAAGACCTGGAATGAAAGTATTTTATCACCACTACCAAGATTTGGTCGTGCATGGCCGCCTATCTCCTGAGAGCCCGGTGCTGGCAGAGAGGACCACAGATTACGCGACCAGCGTGGTCACATACCTCCGCCCTGTACGCAGTAAGGTGCCTGCCTCACTTGTGGGTTTTGATTTCACTCCGTTGCACGATTTGATTGCCAGGCTGAATCAGCTGGCTGTGTAGTTTGACAGTTACGCTGCTGCCTTAGAGGGTTGTGTCCAGCAGGGCCGGTCTTGGTGGGATTTCTGGACTGAGTATCAGCTATAATCCCGGATTCACGCCATCAATCAAGTGCACATTGCCTTTGAGCATATGTTCTATTATGAGCTAGGGCTGGACGGAGAAACCTGGTTGAAACATGTGGTCTTCTCCAAAAGGGCATTGCATAAGAACCCAGACGCTTTTCCGGCCCTGGGAAATGCTCTGCTAGAGGGAAAATCCACCGCGGCTTATGTATGAATTCCTCTCCTTATGCTCCTGATTCAGACAACGACTAATGGATATCAGTAATGGCTGGGATTTATTCCGGGCCGTATTGACGCCGCAACAAGTTGACTAGAGCGTCATGTGTGGCTGTGAAATATCAGGCAGTACTCCCATAGCTTTCCTGTTAAGTCAGTGGTTAGCAGAACAGAGATCCTCGAAAGTGTCAAGAGACCCAATTTGCGGAGAGCAGCAAGAGATGGGAGTGGTATCATTCATCATTCGAATTGTGGTTCTGGTTGTGGTTGTGGTTGTGGTTGTGGTTGTGGTTGAGTCCCGAGCGGGAGCTAAACACGGCCCGGTCGCCCAGTCGCAGGAGATCCTGACAACAACTCAGTACCTGAAAATCCCGCAACCAACGCTCGCATTAGGTCATAGGACTGGCCGAGGAGATCATCCACGGCAGTTACAGGTCACTATGTTAGATAATAGGAGTCCTTGCATCACTAGCCAGATGATCTGGCTGTTAATCAACAACGTCAAACCCCATCGTCCACCATGGTAAGACCTCCACAAGACGGTCGAGTCGCCGCAGGCACAGATCCGAAAGATTGAATGCGGGCAGTAGACCATAGGATGAAATATGAGACTACAGAAAGAGATATAGATCGTCCGATATCGGATCGAAACGCAGACCATATCGAACCTAAAATCACTGAGGAAATCAAGTTCACAGACAACCCAACAGTCCGCCTGTCGCACTCCGCCAATACGATGCTGGCCATTTCCAAACCATACTACGCCAGGGGGCTGATCCACACGTATCCATAGAAATTATACACTCTCGAATCGAATTATTTTTCTGTCCGTATCTACAATTTTGGGCTTTGATAACCTACTCAGTCAAATTTGAGGATTGATTGCGAATTGGTGGCATTATCGGTAATACAAATCGTGAAGATACGCGTTGGGGCGATCGTAATTTGGTGGCTGATTGCCTGTGATTTTCTTCCCTCTCATCCGGGGCCCCGCATCCTCAAGCAAATGGACAAGACTCGCCCGTCTTCTAATTAAGCTCATGCACCATCCTCCGTTGGCTAGGCTTTCCAGCTCCGAGTCCAATAAAAGGGGAGTTCGTAATGTTCAGCTATTTTTAGTAGCTTCGGTTAATTGTCTCCTGTCGAGAAAAATCGGGAAAATCCCGGTGGCACAAGCTGCATGGTTAGTCCTAGACGCATAATATATGGATACCTACTAATGCCCCATACCATTATGCGGGGTACATCCAACACGGGCCAGATAAACATGTCGAAATGGAGCCATCACTCTCCAGTGTTGCATAAACAGGGCCTCGTGACACGTATTAGGCTGCTTCTGGCGAGCATCAGAGGCGGAACAAAACATTCCGTCTAGCTAAATCATAATGGGCCAAAGACTCTGAAGATCAATTTCCCCGCAACTAGAGCTGACCTATACAATTAACGAACCCCTTGGCTAGTGCCGGCAGATTCCTCCCCGCATCCCACATACACGATATTGGAAGCTTTACGAAGCTTTATGAAGACACCCAAATCATAATTCCAAGCCGTCTTTGGTTCCACTTGATCCGTAGCCTGTGACCTGTCTGTTCTACAGTAATCCTCTTAGCAAGACAACTCGGTAAAAGCTTCGGCAAGCTCGTTGCACTACTCCGTATATCCGTCAGTACTCAGCAGAAGGCTTCATCTCGTCACAATTCTTCTTATCTTGGAATTCTGCAACATCTTGAGTAAAACGACTGCACTGGCTTATAAACATCGACACAAGGCTTCAGATCGAGTATTATCTTATAAGGTCTTTCTGTCTTGAAAGTCTTATTAAGCTCCTTTGAGAAGATTGGCCTATTATATAGGACCACAATGGTATTTATGTACTTCTCTGCTATGTCAGTTAGATCCAGATTGTCCCATAATAATAGCCCTGAAGTATCATACAGGTTTTGAAGACTGTCGCTTAATTTGATGTTATGTCTGCTTCCAGTATTAACCGAGCTTCTGAGGACTAAAGTTCACTAGAGTATACTATCAAGTAGAATGTATAATCTAGCTATAATTATTGGAGGAAATTTCACGCCACTTCACTGCTGCATGTGACGATAAGTGTAAGACATGGACAGCGTGATGAACTGGATCAAGACTATAAAAGAGAGACTTGATGGCTTACAGCCCTTCAACATACCTGTTTACTTCAGTGGCCATTTCAGCATCTCACTGCTGAGTTTAAGACACATACAGGCGGGCACATCCGAGTGTTCCCCACTGAAAGCGACCAAACATGTTCCCACAACTACGCCTTGAATATGCCAGCTTGCTTGCTCTTGGCCTGGTTGCCACAGGCTCCCTTGTCGCTGCTGGGCCCTGTGACATCTACTCCTCTGGTGGCACGCCATGCGTCGCCGCCCACAGCACCACTCGCGCCCTGTACAGCAGCTACAGTGGCCCACTCTACCAGGTAAAGCGCGGCTCTGATGGTGCCACAGCTGACATTGCGCCTCTTTCTGCCGGCGGTGTCGCGAATGCCGCCGCACAAGACTCCTTCTGTGATGGCACTACCTGCCTCATCACCATCATTTATGACCAGTCAGGCCGCGGTAATCACCTCACCCAGGCTCCGCCCGGTGGCTTCAATGGCCCGGAGTCTAATGGCTACGACAACCTGGCTAGCGCAACTGGCGCACCGGTCACGCTGAACGGTCAGAAGGCATACGGTGTCTTCATCTCGCCTGGCACCGGCTACCGCAACAATGCTGTCAGCGGCACAGCTACGGGCGACGCACCTGAGGGCATGTACGCGGTCCTTGATGGGACTCATTACAATGATGCCTGCTGCTTTGACTATGGCAACGCTGAGACCAACAGTCGTGATACAGGCAACGGCCACATGGAGGCCATCTACTTTGGTGACAACACTATCTGGGGCACTGGCTCAGGCAGCGGCCCGTGGATCATGGCTGATCTTGAGAATGGCCTATTCTCTGGCTCCAGCCCTGACAACAACTCTGGTGACCCGTCAATCTCTCACCGGTTCCTCACTGCGATTGTCAAGGGGAAGCAAAACCAGTGGGCTATCCGTGGCGCCAACGCTGCGTCCGGCTCGCTATCGACGTTCTACAATGGTGCGCGCCCAAGCGTGTCTGGCTACAATCCAATGAGCAAAGAGGGTGCCATCGTTCTTGGCATTGGCGGTGACAACAGCAACGGCGCCCAGGGCACATTCTATGAGGGCGTGATGACCTCCGGCTATCCGTCCGATGCCACCGAGAACTCGGTGCAGGCCAACATTGTAGCAGCAAAATACGCCACCGCATCGCTGACCAGCGGTCCCAAGCTCACTGTCGGTTCCTCGATCTCGCTGCGGGCCACCACATCCGGCTACACGACGCGCTACATCGCACACTCTGGCTCTACCGTCAACACTCAGGTCGTCTCATCGTCCAGCTCTACCACCCTCAAGCAGCAGGCCAGCTGGACGGTTCGCACCGGCCTTGCCAATAGCGACTGCTTCTCGTTTGAGTCCAAAGACACACCCGGCAGCTTCCTTCGGCACTACGACTTCGTGCTCCAAGTCAGCGCCAACGACGGCACGAAACAGTTCCACGAAGATGCCACGTTCTGTCCGCAAGCCGGCCTCAACGGCCAGGGCAATTCGGTTCGGTCCTGGAACTATCCCACTCGCTATTTCCGCCACTACAACAACGTTCTATACGCCGCGAGCAACGGCGGGGTTCACACGTTCGACGCGACCTCCTCGTTCAACAACGATGTGAGCTGGGTGATCAGCACTGGCTTTGCCTGAGCCTGGGGAAATCGATAGGCACTGTGCAGATTGAACTCTATCCCTAAACGTTAGTTACGGGTATAGTTGATAGCTGGCTAGGGTGCAGACGACTCTGGAGCTCTAATGGTAGAGGCTAAACCTTCTTAGTAAATAAACTTTTATTACTCAAATACACTTCTACATTCCACTGCTATAAGAATAAAACTTAGATTGCTAGAACTATAATAAGAAGCAGAATTACTAACTTCAGCCCTTTTGGGGAGAGAAATTGTTAAGACCTAGAGAACACAGTTTCACCCTTAGAGGATGAGACCGAGCAGAGAACTAGCTAATAAGTGGTTTTCAGGGTGCAAAAGAGAGTAATAGGACTAGGCGAACTCATATCACCCAATATGCTACCTACGAGTGGGAAATACTGCCTGTGACCCGTCCTGGCCTCCAGTTAATGCGTATGGGGTGTCTAGTCAGGTTGATCAGAGTTGCATGAGTATAATCTACTAAAAATCTATATCGAGGTTGAGCCCTGCATATACCATAACCTTCGTCCAAATATAGCAAGTATTTAGCATAATGCAAAACTAGAAACAGTAACCTTTTAGCATATTAGGCCATTTTAATGATATCCAATTCGGAGTGAACCTGATACGTCCAACAATATGGTGGCTCCTGATACTCTTGATTTCTATGGCAAGGCAAACTACGACAGCCTCGTTAGAACCGCCAAACTGAATGAAGTCGAGCATGAGAAATTAGGCACTAGCTATCGTTCCTGCCACCCCGGAGATGGGACAAAGCACTTGTCTGGAATCACAGCGACTTTACAGTTTTACAAGAATTGACTAGCGACCAGTCAAATTTCCAAAGAACAAATTGGTGCAGTGCAATCAGGTGCTCAAAGGCTCCACTTCTGTCGTTGGCGTCCGGTTTAAGGATGTCACTGGCGGGGAGAAGGGTCAATATGCTCTTCTACTGAAATTACCCAAATTGGTGATGTTACAGTATGGCCAGACATGTCAGACAAATATGCAATTGTCGGTACTATGCCCCGGGATGGTACACTGGTGACAACTGCCTCGTATGTCCGGGATAAGAAGTCAGGTGTCTATGTTGCCACTGGATCAATCTATTTTAAATAGGACAATGGCAAGGTGGTGATCGTGGATCAGGAAGGCTGGCCGGAGAAGGAGCTTAAGCATGACGATTGATCATGAAAATAACTTTACTATTACCTTGATTTCAAGTCAGCAATAAACTATATCAAGATGTGCCCTAGAAGAGCAGAGATGATAAAACATACAGGACTGATAAATTGACAGGTGAAGGAACGAATTGTTATTTATATCCTATTGTTTCATTTCCTGCCTTCCTTATATCAGATTTAGAGACCTTTTGCAGCGCCAAGTTAGCATCACAGAACTAGATCAGAAGTATTCTGGATGTTCCATATTTTTGAAAACGGAACTTCCTGCTAATTACTGCAAATATGCTTTTATTTAAACTTGTACTGGTATGGGTCGTTACACAAATTACGCTGGATAAGAGCGATTTTAATTACAAATGTACCATTATAAAATAAGCGTAGGCGAAGCATCCGTGGCTTCTTTGTAGGCATTTGATTGGTGGACGATTCGGCAATCCCCGCAGAGCTTGGAAACCTTCCGTGGCCAGCCGATCATGAACCTTAAGACCTAGCCAGTGAGATATGTGCCTTTAATAGACTTTAGTGCTTTGGGCCCTGAGGTAAATGACTGAGAGTGTGTACTTGGATAAGTAGCCGAGGACTGACTGTTGCCTCGACACACGATCACTACCCTTGCTGTACTAGGGAAAGTGTACAGTAGTCAGACACGATACCCACAAGAAGTCCATATACTAGTTACCTCTTTCTCTCCATATAACATAAGCTTGAACATCAATAAATAATGGCAATTTACAGGTTGCCTCGGTCTGGGCTCTTAGGAAATACGGAAAGCGCAGTGGATCTGGTGTCTGTGTGGTCTCGGACGATGAATTGATATTGCGATGCCACATAGCCATTACCTTTTATCTCTTTGTTTAATAAGCCTGCACTCAACACCAAGCGTGCTGACCACAGCCAGACAAGAAAGACCTAACGATGTATAAAAGTCATCCACAAGAACTCTGTTGTAGGCAGCGAGTACTTGATCTTGTTGATCCGCGGGGAATGAATTGATAAGTCCAAGCGCACCAGTGTTCAGTGTTACATTTTTGTCTAATTGCGGTACCGCCATGACCGGATAGCCGAGAAGCTTGGTGAGGAAACGTTTTGCGCAACAGATAAGACAATGATACCACCAAGCATTTGCCGATCCCGTAGATGACCTGATAGGATATCCACTTTCCAGCAGATGTGTCTGGGGTTATACTCGACTCCTTTCTTAAATTGATGATTTCCTTGGGGGATCCTTTTCCGCACGACACAATGCTTCCCCTCCACTTCGAATCGCCGTCCTTTGTTGCGACGGACCCGTCGGAGATCGGACGAGAAAGGCGGTTTCGGTAATTTGTTTCAAGGCATTTTCAAGAGGCCTGCTCTGCGAAGTGGTGCGGGATGGCTTGCATGAGCCTTCAAGATGAGTATCTCGATTTGAACTGCAGCTGGTTTGCACAGTGCAGCATCAACTGTCAATGACGTTGTTATTTGGTTCTAATGCGGTCCGTCCCTTCCGCGACACCTATGCTAGGATGCTAAGTAACCAATTGACTATAATATCGCAGCAAAATTATTCCTGCTACTATTTCCTAATTTGATTGCATCTTATGATTTGTAACCTCGCAGTGCAACGTTCGCTGCATAGGGTTCCACCGCTGTTGGTTTGAAAATAAGTCAATGACGTCAAACCAGTGCACTCCTAAAATATATGTATGGCATACCTTTTCCGCTTCTCAGTCTTTGGTTGCTTCTCTTTATCATTGTCTTTGCTTTCCCTCCTTCTTTCATACTATCCGGAACCACCAGTGTCTGGTTGATGCACAGCATATGACAATGTTTGTCTTTGGTTGCAGGGCGCTTTTCGCCTTATTCACCTTCTTGACTGTCTGCTTAGGGCAGGCCAATCAGACGCAGTATGATGTGATTGTAATTGGTGGTGGACCTTCTGGCCTCAGTGCAGCCAGTGGATTGTCGCGTGTCTTGAGAAAAGTGATATTGTTTGATTCAGGAAAGTACCGAAACAATCCCACAAGGCATATGCACGATGTCATTGGAAACGACCGTATGTATCTTTTATTACCACATCCTGCTTGCCTACAGCCGTGGTTCACACTTAATCAGATGTTGTGCCCACCGCCTTCCGAGCAGCAGCAAGGAAGCAAATATCCTTTTACAACGTGACAACCTTTGTAGATCAAGAGGTTACAAAGATCCAGCTTACCAACAACAGCTTCAGTGCTACTGTGACCAATGGTACAACCTTTACAGCGCGCAAGGTTATCTTGGGTAGTGGACTGAAGGATGACCTTCCCAATGTCCCCGGCCTCCGTGACGCCTTTGGCAAGGGTATTTTCTGGTGCCCATGGTGTGATGGCTTCGAGCACCGTGACCAGCCAATTGGCGTTCTCGGTAATTTATCGGATGCCTATGATAGCGCCAAAGAACTGTATCCAACGCTCAACAAGGACATACGAGTCTATTCTAACGGTACCAACAACACAGCCCAACAGACACGCATTGCCAGCAAGGATCAAAACTGGGAAAAAGTGTTTAAAGCATACAATATCACCATCATCAACAAGCCTATCCTGAATATCACACGCGTCCAGAACGGGAGTATCGTCCAGGATGAGGCTATCCGTAAAGAGTTCGACAAGTTCCGAGTCTATTTCACGGATGGAACCTTCGAGGAACGGGGTGCTTTCATTACAAACTACGCAACCTCACAGGCGTCTGAGCTGCCGAAACAGTTGGGTGTAGGCTTCCTGGGAAACAAAATGAACACGACGGCTCGAGGTCTGCGAACAACTGTTAAAGGAGTGTGGGGTATTGGCGATGCCAACAGTGACAACAGCACCAACGTTCCCCACGCAATGTCCAGCGGAAAGACAGCAGCTGTGCATTGTCATGGTGAGACTAAATTCTAAATACCGAATGCAGACACGTTCTTGCTAAGTATAAATCCAGTTGAACTGGCTACCGAAGAGTTGGCGAGGACTAGCGGGGCCTCACCAAAAAGAGATCTGATCAATGACGGTCTTGCACATGAGCGTGTGGAACAACAGATGGGCAATGAGATTGAAGACATCTATAACAGATTGAGACGGCGTTAAGGAGTATGCGCCCCAAAAAGAGTGATATTTGCTTGGCTGTCTGACCTCCAAGCGCCGTAGATAGCGGAGGCAAAACTTCGTACTGGAGGTAAGAAAACGAATAGCCCACTTTTTCTTTGAGGCAAGTCAGAAATGGACGGATGGTTGAAGTAAAATAAGCTCAACCACAATTATAGCTCCTTGCCAAGCGTCTAGCGCCAGTAGACGACGGTTTATATCGCATCCAAAGCTATCGCAGACTTGTTGTTCATGGCACTATTCGGTAGGACTATAAATTGTTTAAAGCAAATTTAAATGCAGATATAGGACAAACATTTTCTCCCAAATGATTTCCGCCCTGCCATAGTGTCCCCAATGAATACTAATTAAAAAGTAAATAAACATTATCCCTTCCTATATAATCAGCTACGTCCTGATTGCGTATTGAAGTGAATCCGTTACGTATGACAGTATTAGCAACAAACCAAATTCGCTGACCCTATTTTGTCTCAAAGCAGTTTTTCATAGGCACGTGCTTCTCTCTGCGGAAACCTCGCCACGCTGAATCATAGGCATGAACCAAAACATGTCGCGCTATTTCGTGATATCTTCCTAGGCTTCTTCCAATTAACACCTTGCATTGTCACACACCGATGGTCAACATCCGGGGAGAGTGACCAAGTTATAAAAACCTTCGTATGCTGACCCTATCAATTCGTCAGACACCGCTAGACTATAGGAATCCCGACGCAGCGTTGTGGGGCTAGCCGGATCGTGAATTACCTGTCTCTCTTCAATGGAGTCTGTTGCCAAAGGAGTATTAGACTACGTATGGAACTTTTGTGTATAGCTTAGGAAGCCTCCGCTATTAGCGCATTAAGCTTACAGTCAGCATCTGTGTCTTTCTAAAGCAGTGGTACCAGCTAAAACTAAAGCCGCTTTATGACCAGCTGAAATCCTTTTGTTATAAAACCTCTTGGCTTATCCGCGGAAGTATTTCAATAGAAAGAGATTGATCCAACTCGTAGTTCCAAGAACTTTCGGATATTCTGTGTATATGTAACTTGACATTTGCCACTAAATCTGTCCCCTGTTATCCAAAGCTTCCTTCTCAACCTGCAAAATCACTTCAATATTGTCATGCTCGGCCACGTCTCAATTCGCGTGTCAGACCTTGAAGCATCTACGGAATTTTACCTACGCGCTCTTCGCCCTCATGGATTTGAAGCAATGCGCTTTCCTACTGTGGTTGGTCTTGGACCTCCAGTGAAGTCTTCATCTGCTCCGACTCCTTGTTTTTGGCTCCGTCAATATACCCCAGCACCTTCGATTAATCATACTGAGAAACCTACTCCGGTACACATATCATTCTATGCCCAGGATTGTGCCGACGTGGACGAATTTTACAAGCTCGGCCTAGAAGCCGGAGGAAAAGATAATGGCAAGCCTGGTCTAAGACCATTTATGGAAAATTACTACGGTATGAACCGCTGAACCCAGTGACTGGTTATGGAATGCAACTCCCCCAACTACACTGCCTTTTGGCGAAAGAAGTCTAATATTGTGTTTGGTAGCCTCGTACATCCTCGATTTAGACGGAAATAATATTGAGGTGGTGTGTTTTTCTGAATGATCGATCATAGTTGTGATATGAAGCATAGGAAAAACGTCTGCGGAATCATCATTATTGATTGATCATAGGTCTAGAACCTGAATTTTGTATATAGTCCTTGAAATTTACTGACGAGAGGATATAGCATATCCAATCTCCCTCTGATTATAATTCATATAGGTGAAGACATACCTGCCATTTAACTGACTATTAAACAGGCTAGGTTCTTCTTTCGCGCATGACTATAAATAAGCTATAAGCCAGCTTGGAAATGGCAGTTTAAAAGGCATTTTTTAAGTGCAAAAGCGTTCTTGTTGACTTCCTCTGAAAGGAAGTTAGGCACATAGGTCCACATCTAAGAGAAAGCTAGGTAAGAAGTATTTCAATAATAAGCTAAGAAAATCATAGACAAATCTAAAAGAATGTACTCATCAAGAGAGATACCTCCTAGAATAGTTGCCTCTCACAAAATCCAATAAGATAAGTGCATATTATGGCCAGTTGCCTTCAGCACTCTACCGCAGCGCCTGTAATTGCAACTATCCTGACTCCTTATGGGGCGTGGCCGCCACATAATTGGTAAGTAAATATCCACCTACCTATATAACAATTTCGTGTCATATTGATGACTATATTCCTATCGGCAAGGTAGTTCTCGGTCAGAGAATAGTTGGGTCTAAAACGTACTATAGGTGTAGAGATAGTTTACTACCTACCTTTAAACTAAGTGCTTCTGACCATTTCAAGCCGTAAGGAAGAGCTGGTTCCCCATCAAGTAGCATCTCAATTATTAACGTTTATTACTTCTTAACTCGTTCTGTCAGTTGAGATACATAATTTCTCCAGAGGCAGGGTTTACCTGCACTGCATCTCTTTCTATAGTGGTAAGATGCTTTCTATGTTTTCTTTGGACAAAAAGGAGGATAAAAGCAGCTGTTAAAGCTGGAGTAACAAATAATATCCCTCCTCTAGTTGCGGACAATGAATGTGAGTGCCTCAATTATTTGCCGTCTTTTTATAAATACATCCGGCTGCCACAGAAGATCTCCTGTATCAGTCACTTATGTCTGGCCCGTATACATAAGCACCTCTGTCACACACAATACAGGCGGCATTTCCCTTGCCTTGCGCAGATGTATGCCGGTTACCCTGATCCGAAGCCATTAATCGATGAGTTCATTTCATTATGATCGTCCAACGGTGAATGGGAACAATAATATCTGGTCGCCGGTGAGCTCGATACATGGTAGGCTTCCTGCGCGGCTGCCAAACTTGAGGTCATTTGCTGATCTATTTCAGTAAAGCTCTTCATCAAAATTACATATACGCGTTTTTGCTTCGGGCGATCCCAATGTATGAGAGGACGTACGCAGCAGGCTTGCCTTTTCCGAGACTGAACCAACATGTCGCGTGATCTGGCTATCCACATGTGTCCTACCTACTCTGGAATATTGTATTGAATGAATAAAATATATACCACAGCAAGTAATGTTGTGAAGCTGAGTTTCCTTATCGAGCAACAACCAGAAGTACTTCTCAGTCTCCAATCACCGACCTTTAGGTACGCCGGGCCAAGGAGAAAGAAAGAAACATACAGAAAGTGAGTTGTGACGCGAGCCACTCGTTGGACTATACTAACCAGCCGATCATACCGGTTGCTGTCGCTGCCCGCTTCTTTCGCTCTCATGCTGCCACTATCATCTATGATTGTCAATATTCCACTGATTCAAATTGCTATCGTTCTCACCACGCACACCAAGCGGCGGCTACTCACCGCAATAGACCACCGGTTTAAACATGGGCAGTTCAATAATTTGTGGAAGATTTTCCGGGTTTCCGAGGGACGTTGATTTATCCTGTCTGCGCTTCATGGCCTTTTCGATAATGCTTTGGAGGAAGCGATCATCTTCCAGGGTGAAGTATCCGTTCAGCTTTGTTCGTTTGACATACTGCATGATATCTTCCAATTTTTTTTTCCTGGTTGTCTGTGCGGTTAACTCTTCAGGTGACAGATCGGGCGTGGGTTCCGATGGAACACCTTGTCCATCGTCGTTTCCTTGTTCTGGCTGTGGGCATTGGGTGTGATCTGAAGATAAATCGGGGCCGTGTCTGGAGAGATGCCATCGCGCGAGTCGCCATTCGGCTGAGGCAGTGGGGTGTCATCATCGTTCTGCTTAGGGTTGCCGCTGTTGCTGCCGCTCCAGTGATCTCCTGTTTGTAGCAAAGTCAAGATTAGACATTCTTCTTATACATCCCACATTGAGTGAAAGACTGACCGCTCTACAAATGTACTTGCCTCTCGTACGTGGTCAGGAACACGAGGACTCCAGCGCCCGTACCATTTGTGGGGAAACCTGACTCCAGTGAGAAGGGGCTTGTTCAACAATTTAAGTATAAAGATAACAATGTTCATCGCCAGCGTCACCACCTCCGCGGGCTCGCTCACTAGTCCCACATGCTTGTGCAGGGCGTGAATGACTTGCGGATTTTTGGTCGCCTTGGCTAGCTCCCTGCCATTGGAGTACGTCCACAAGAGTCGTCACAGCTGGTGGGGTTTTCCCTTCTTCGAACTGGGCTTACAACTCGAGCCAAAATATGATAAATGGGAACCTTGGGTAGTCAAATTGGAATTTGCCTTAGATGGCGAGCCTGGTCAACCTGCAGCAGGGTCTAACTCTGAAGCAGAACCAAATGATATTCCCCGCATCGGATCTGGCTTCTATCTCAATATCAACGGAGCCACTTACCGCGGCGGCCAGTCGACGTGATTCTCACTGCGGGTCACAATCTTGTGCAGCCCAACGGAACGCCCACCAAGAAATCGAGCGCATCTTCCCGCGCAGACGACCCGGTCGGTGTCGAGGTCTGTCCTGGTTATGGTGGAACGCCCATCCGAAAAAGACTGGGGGGCGGCGATTTTCTTTCCCAGGGACGCACACAAAGCGAATACAGGCCCTGCGGGATTCGATTTCAATCTCCTCTATGGAGAAGAGGGCGACGAGCGCCAGGATCTAATCCGAGAACTGTCGAAGAGTGGGATGACTCGTGGGGGCTACACCGACGGAGCCGAGCTCGGAGAACCACGGACGAGTGGCGTTCAGGACGTGCACCCTACTCGATTCTCCCTACGATATAAGTCCGCTACCAACCAAGGCATCAGTGGCTCCCCAATCTGGGGACTCTGCGAGGAGAGATCTACGGTGATAGAAATTCAGTAAGTACAGGCCACTCTTGCAAACACTTGCTCCATCAACTGTTGACCGGAAACTGGGTTTAGCACGGGAAAGGGGGTCCCAAACCAGCGAAGGCAGAGGCGTTCGTCTGAGCAGCAAGTTTTTGCAGGAGATCTTCTCTTGGGCTAGCGTTGGATACTGTTCCAAAGTTCTGCGCGCCCACAACCGACCCGCCTTCGCGGACGGCCTCTATAAGCGGTTCCCCGAGTATGCGGATTTCAGCCTCGTCCATCTGGGGAAAGATGGACTCAACACAAAGCTTTGATATCCTTCCGGCTCTCTCCATGGAGAACGGACTCCGATTTGCATTTCGTTTTATCCAGCCGGGTGAGAGGTCGGAGGGCGACGCGAAGCATCTCTGGGTCCGCTGGGAGACCGACCGGAATCGAGTGCCGCTGTCATCAACGCTTCATCCATCCTGTTTGGTGACGATCCGCCGGAAGGAAAATCCTGAACCCTACATAAACTATGATTACACTTCTGTGGGCCCGTTTAGTTTAATCACAGGGAGAATAATGAGCTTTCGTATCTGGGGGCGACCAATATCCGGCCGCTCGAAGATCGTTGTTACGGCCGCATTGAGAGTGCAGAGGCTTCCTTCGAACGCACTATTTCCAAGGTATGGCTTTGTCCAATGACTGAAGAGATAAAGAGAATGAATGATCTAACTTTATACCGCTCTCTAGGGACGTCAGCTTCTCGTCTTTGAGCAGCCGAGACATCCAGACGAGGAGTCGGTTGCAGTGCCTAGCTCAGAGCTGCCTGTTCCGCGGCAATATGGCTGCATGGCAACAATCGACTTGGCATGTTTTTTCCTCTTTTCCGGAAGATCATGGGTTGATTGTGACTGCTGCATGTTTATCCTAAGATAGCAGCCCCTTGTTGGTAGTTCTACCGGGGAACCAGCAACCCCCCATCTAGTAATAGCATCTAGCGAGGGTAGTACCCCTAACCTATTTGGGAGGGATAATCCAAGTATTATTCTATTTATCTTATCAAGCTATATCGAACTATGCTAGTCATGCAGCATAGATATGTATACCTGATAGGATGATCGACGCTAAGATTGCCTAAATAGTTCGTCGCTATTCAGATGAATTTATTCTGTACTCATTCAATTCGAGTCGTCTAACTTTCTTGCCTGGCTACTCTAAGCCGGATGTGTGCAGTAATTGTAATCAAAGCCTTTCATGGTAGATGCTCAATTATCTACTTGACTGCCTGGCAGAGCCCCAGCTGCAACCAGAGATATGACTTCCTGCACGGTGGATAGCCATTCTTTCCACTCCGATAGCGAAGCAAGGCCGCGAATAAACCGGCGGGCAAATGAAGGCGGATTCAGCGTATGGCATAGGTTGCACGCCGTAGAATTATGCTGTGGCTCCCAATCCAATGGCACGCCATTGCCAAAGCGCCGGAAAAATTCGCAGTAAGAACGCGGCGCCAGCAAATGCGTGCTCCAGAACAAGATAAGAGGATCCATCAGATCCATTTTGGCGACAGCAGGACGCCGTGATGATAATCCCTTGCTTTGCCCTCGCAGGAAATCAACGTATTGAGTCTGGATCCGCGACAAGTGTAAATCCGACTCGGAGCAGTCCACATTCTGCATCGTTGATCCCCACTTTGACACTTTCATTACAGCGGCATACAGATCACAGGAAGAATTTCCCACATACTGATAGTGCTCGAAGATATTGTGAAGCATGGGTAGAGATTGTCTCCCAACTGCCTCGGTACTGGCTTCGATTATCTGAGTCATATTTGGGAAAAGATTGGTCGGGCGCGTCTCCTCCAGCAACAATTTTCCTAAAAACTGTTTCACGAACTCATTTGTCGCATTGTTGGGAGTCAAAGTACCATGACCATCCTCGACACTCCAGCACGTCCCTGGCAGTGGAGTATTTTTCTCCAACAGTAGATGTAGATCCTGACGGAACTTCTGAACAAGAAGAGCATCTCTTCTGAGGATAAACTTGCACGATTGGCACAATTGTACAAACCCCTTATCTGCGAAGCCTTTTCCGCGCCGCGTCGTCCACGGCACAACGGTTTGTGTTTGACATCGAAAGCATTCGATACAAAGATCATCCGAGTCACCAAGATTGTCCCATGCCAACTTTGTCATATTCTCGAAGTATGACCTGCAGGACTCGGGACACCAATACGTGAGGCTGTCCTGATCGATACATCGTGAGGCCAGCTGAAGGGGAATCCTTCGTTCCATAACGCCATTTTTTGGTGTCGAAAACAATCCTCCCCGAACGCTTTATTATGTAGCGTCAATGCATGGAGGACCATCAGAACATCTGTGCCGAACAAGTCAGTCAGATTCCTTCGATGCCAAGTTGCAAATTTCCTACCTAATGGAGGCATCTCATCCCTTGTCCATGCCCATCCGCCATGCTGCCCGTACGGCTTTTCCGATAATTGACTTGATCCAAGCCCCAGCGGGCTCAGGGCCTGTAAATGAGTCCACCAAACGGAAAAGCGATGGATAGCCCGTGAGACATAGATTGACCATCGACGTTCCTCCACCATGGACTGTCGGGCTACGGGGTCTAATTCAGTTTTCATTTCGTGGACATATTCGGCCTTGAATAGACCTTTCGTCTTTGAGATCGTCTGCTTCAAGTTCAAGAAACATCGGAGCAGTTGTTTATGTTGCCCGCATTTCTGCGCAGATAAGATGGGTGCCGCACTTCGCAGCAATGGCGTGGTCTCAGGGGATTCCTCGACCACAAGTTCCTTCCTGTCCACCATGATTCGTCTGCGTTATGGCCGCGAGACAAGAGCAGGGCTTGAGGGTGTTAATGACTTCCCAGGACAAGGCTCCGCCACCAATATTGATAATGTCCCATCAGCTTTGTTATATCAAATTGGTATTTCATTTCCCCACAGGACTCTAGCACAATGATATCAGCCTATCACAGTTCACGCAAACGATCCCTGCTGGCTACTAGAGTACTATGACGACACCGGTCTCTAAGGATGCATTCAACTACAGGTCTCGCTCAGTTCATCCTTACAAGGCTATTCGAATGAAGATCAAGGACGGGTATTATTGTCCAATACCGCTGCCCACGTTTGCTGATCTTGACTATCAAGCTTGGCTCCACCCAACATTTCTATCACATACTAACAGCTACGGCGCAACTGATCCACATTTTTGGCGTTCAATTTTATGAAATGTGTCAATGCTCATGGCCTATCGGTTCCACTGGATAGGCGAGTTCCGATTCCGAGGCCATATTATGACATCATTCAGCCCTTGTCTATCAAACAGCTCAAGACTCTGTGAAGAACATTGCCATCTTGTACAAATGGCTCGCCTATACTAGCCGTCTCAGGCCGTAGCTGTTTGGTCAAGTAGATGTATTAAGAATTCAAAAAATGCCTACGTGATGCTGCGATGCGTTTCCAGCTGTTATAGGACCACGTCGCTGGCGCCGAGTGGCCCACCTGAACAAACACCTTGTGGGCAGTGTAGACGTGCTGAACACGCATGGATTACTACCTGTTACATGCACGATGCCAATTTATGTAGACCTTTGGAGACATTTCTCCACAAATCCTGACAGAATGGTCCAAATCAGTCTTTTGGGGTCACCACTGTCTCCCATGCTTGCCCTTACTCTTGCAACCTGCGCCGTTGCCGTTGTTGATAAATGGACCCCAGAGAGCTTCAACTGGAGTGCCCTAGACACAGGCCCACGGGAACACTGGAAGGGCCTCTATCTGAACCACAATGGCACTGCGGCACACCTTCGCGAGCTAGCAGTGACCACCAGCGTTGATGTGAGGACAATGGCCGATGGGGCCACTGTTTTGGTGGCCCCTTGGGCCATTGGTCTAGCATGGCATGCCTTCAACCTTGTTCTCACTGGTGCTGGCCTGGCAAGCACAATCAAGACCTGCGCACAAAACGAGGGTCAGCCTGATAATATCTTCTATTGCGTCACCGGACTTCTCAGCACCATTATTGGCGTGGGCGGCGAGGTATCCGCAGCCAAGAAGTTCGCTCAGTCCAAAGGATATTTGGGGGTTGCCGCGAACGCCTGGATGCAGTCTGGTCTCGAACGGATCGACCTGCGCGAATTTGCGCGGGACCTGGACAGTCTGCCTGCAATGAATATGACTTCACAAAAAGCCCACAACCACTTCATTCACAACGCTTTGCGCAGCTTGTCCACGGATAATGTGGAATTCGTCGGGTACGCGCCCGATTCTCATAAGTTGGCCCGTCGTGGCTCGAGTGTCCATCCTTTTGCGCCAATGTTCCGCTTCAACCACCACAAGTACGGTCCCATGGAGCTCACTTCTCGTGATACAGGTGAAAGTGGTGCGCACTTTACCATCTCGTATGCGGGTCATCCCACCCACCAAGCGACCCAGGCGAAGCGCGACGAGTTTTACAAACATGAGCGGCTTAGCGACCACCTGATGGAGGGTCGGTTTGATTCGGAAGCCTCCGGTGCCGATCCGGGTGACATTTTGTTCACCATCAAACCACTACACCAAAAAGGTGTCTAGACATCCATTTCTAGCATAGCAGAAATGATAGTGCATATTCTGGTTGATACATTTCCTTCAATGGGGCCGACGCCTTTGGTCAAATTGAAAGGCAAGTTGAGTGTTTTGCCGGCACACAGTGGAATGAGGGTCATTTGCTTTCCGTCCAGATGTATGATCAAGCCAACCATGCGACGTTTGGGTATGCTTCTATTGGTATTTTCCCAGACAACAGTGTCGACTCTGGACTTCAGGACTTTGGGCCTCGAGGAATGCCTTTGACTGGCGGCCAGAATTGTTGAGTTCGGTTCTTTGAGTCAATCGGGTAATTGAAGTACAGTTGGACTGATATCCGGTGAACATACAACTGAGCAATGAGAAATCATTTAGTAAATGAGCTTTTCTACAACAGCAGACAATGAGACAAATTTCCATGCTGTGCCACAGACCACCGTTGAAGGGCGCGGTTGACGAAAGGCTGCAATAATCGCCATGGCCTATACTTGTCTTCTACAGTTACCTGCACTATGTTTAATTCCAAGAACGAATCCATCCATTAAAAAGACGTAAAAATAGCTCTGTTATGGACATATCCCACTACATGCTCCCCCATTGACCACTCTCCTTCTCATGATGATGATTTCATCCGCCAGGAATAATCTTAATGGTGCCGAGGAAATAGAACCCGGAAGATCTACCTACAGGCACTAACCCACTTCCCCCATCCCCCCATCAGCCCTATGTGGTGCAATTCGCGCAACTCCCACTCACTCAGATATTCCCTTCAGCTTCCGGCTTTGCTTTACATAGACCTAGGTTGCAGTCTACTCCAAACTTATACTAACACCCTATAACCAATAGATCACAAAAAGTCTCCCATTTAGTGAATGAACTTGCGATAATTAATGAGCCTGTCTCAAGTTTACTAGACTAAGGAACAGAAAAAGCAATCAAACTCAATCCTTTGACCTAAGTCTCCGCTTGTCAGTAACCTGGCTTGGGGTGGATAATAGCAGTCCTAAACAAATTAGCCTCTGGATGTATATGCCTATCCCACTCATCTAGATCCAATAAATGGCCAAAGTCCTAAAGTATTAGTGGAAAACATGTATACTTAACCAGTGTCCCTTAATCTATATGCCTAAACAAACATCGGCACTGCACATCTTGCTATACTCAAAAGACTCCTTTATCAGACTAGTTCTCCCATGATCTTACTTCTAGTGAATTAACTTACTGTTTAGCCTCAACTTCTCTGGCAGTTTTAAACACATCGTACCTGTCTTAGTATTAAGCGAGGTTCCTCGCTTTCGCTGTGTATTTGAATCAATAACAAGGGGCTCATAACTTATGTTGTTGGAGGGGGCGCGGGGGGCCTGGGAAATGCACAAATTCTATGTTTGCGCAGAAGATAAAAGCTGTATTTCATTGGCGCGGAGGACCACGATTTTCCCTTCAATAGCAACCCTTTCAGGAGAGATGCTGAGCAGTCCTCCCAGGCTACGTGCACAGCTGATCCTTGGTGATGGAAATCAGTATTGATTTTTAAAAGAAACCCCTTGTTGTGAGTGCACTTGTTCAAGAGACCAGTAAGCCCCGCCTGTTTATCCCAGACAAGGTACTATAGTCTATGCAATGTTCTAAATATAAACCTCTTTCCAACTTTAGTAATTTAATCTGGTCCTGGACCATCATAGGAATATGGACTGTACATAAAACTAAAGTAAATTTAAAAGTTACCTAGCACTCTATCATTATACTGCCCTTTCATAAGACACTCCCTATAAGAACTAAAGTAATCCTTCCAGTATAGATGCATCTTGACAGATTCTAATAAGGGAAATGCTCAATCATCTCACATCATAGCTTCAGCTAGATCCTTAAACTATGGTATATATTACTCTTCATCCCAGATTCTATCCAAATCCTCCACTCCATAATAATCAGGAAGATTTAAACTAGTGAAATACTCTAATTATGAGGGTAGTATATTCTTGAGTCTCAGCCCACTATTCTTATTATACTTACCTAGCAAGACCTCTAGCTACATTATAAGCCCTTTTAACCTTATGAATTTCTTTATAGATCCAAAATGCCCCTAATATAGCTAAACTCCTACTCCTATTACTAGTCCTTCTCATTAATTATTACAGAGGCAGATAGAGAGGTATGTAAGTGTGTCTATGGCATGCTACTTAAGAATCTACTTTAGTTTAGGTGTATTATACTAAATAGAGAAAAAGCCTATTCTACTCATGTCTTTAAACCTGAAAGATTTCAGCTAATTAGGGTGGTAGATCATGCTCTCTAGGATCTCCTTAGATGGAGTATAGTTATAGTATAATAAGCTATCAGGGCTAGGGGCTAGTATAGCAAAGTCTAGCTCCTCCAGGCAGGGAAGATAAAGAAACAAGGCTATATTAGTGAATGTGTTAGTGTGGGTCTCTAATATAAGAGACTTAAGGTTAGAGAGCTGGAAGAGTAGAAGCTATTTTCTAGTTTTCTAGGTTAATTACATGAGCCAGAAGAGGTCGTTTTTCTTAAGAGTGAGAGAGAGTGGAGGATCAGAAGTAAATTTACCTTTAAGGTGGTTGGCTGCTCTGGCTAGGAGCTTTAATTCTTCTTTCTATACACTTACTGAACCTTTAAGTCTGAATATTTACTTAAATCTAAACCTAAATCTAAATCTGTATTCATGTTCTCTTCCTCCTCTTCATTAGATTCAGAGTCTGCCTCTTTATCTTCTTCTAGGTGAATCTCCTTAACCTAAGCCGCAAGTCTAGGCCATGGTATTATTATGCAGCAAGAAATTTTCAACCTATTATATAATAGTGCTTTTATTTTTCTATATAAGACCTAGTCAAGGATTCCTTGTATTAACTTAGAAATTAAGCGAAGCTTAAATACCTCTTAAGGATGTTTAGGATTATATAGGTCATCAAGCAAAATATTAAAGATCTAGGTATGGATTTCCAGAGGAAGATGGATGGTCATTTTTAAGAATAGTAAGTGTTAGAAGTCCAAATCTTATAGATATGGGTTTGTGGTGCTTCTTACACCTGATGGTGGGGAGTACCTCTCATGCTCCTGAGCATGTGATGAACACAAGATGTTGAATAACATAGCTGTGCGCTGCTATGGTTAGGAGCTAATTACCATCCTCCTCTAGAGCATATCTAAAATGGCCAGAATTTGTGCCCCACTCTTCCTGAACCAAGTATTTCAGTGCACTGTCGGTGCTGGCCTTAACA